AACATCTGCGCGGAGAAGAGGTCGACCATGGTGGTCATGACTTCCTTCAGGTCCAGGCCGAGGCCGCCTTTGCCGTCCCGGCCTCTCCACCAGTTCCTGTCGGGTTTCAGCTCGGCATCGTACGATCGGGCTTCCTGCTGCAGCGTGGTGACGGGCGTCTCAGGCGGGTCCAGCGGTGTGCCATGGCAGCCTGGACTGCCGGTGCGCCAGCCGCCTTGCCATGGCCGGCTGATGGCGTCTTTGTCCCACATCCGGACGCCCTCGACCCATTCCGCAGTCATGACACGCTTCGTGGTGAGCTCGTCGTAGACCTTGGGGATGTACACCCTGTCCCGCAGCCGGGGCTCGCTTTGGACCAGCCTCGCCATGTTCTTGCTGTTGTTGGCCTCGTTCTGGAAGTCACATTCCAGCAACAACCGCTCTGTGATGTAGGGGACGAGGGAGTACAGCGGCAGGTCGAACCACCAGGTGTAGATCCGTGTGACGACCTTGAAGGCCCAGAGATCCCAGCCCACTTGCTGTGCGATTTCCCTCTTCTGGATCTTGATGGCCACTTCGCGCCCGTCCTTGAGCCGCGCCCAATGGACCTGGGCAACACTGGCGCTGGCGCGGGCTTTCCTCTCCATGACGCCTGCTTCGGGATCCCCATCGAAGGAGATCCCAAATACCTCCTCGGGTGTCCTGCCTCCGAAGTCCTCTATAATGACCTGCCGGACATCCTCCCAGCTATTCTGCGGCGCATCATCGAACATCTTGGCGAACATCTTCTGAAATTCCGGCGGCAGGATGGCCGTCTGCATTGCGATGGCCTGGCCGATCTTGAGGTAGAGGCCGCCATTGGACCGCAAGAGATGGAATAGCCGTGTAGCGTTTCTGGCATGTACCTCTGTAATATCATCGGCGAACCACGGGTTCTCCCGGAAATTGATCTTGTAGTCCAACGCGGCGATCAGGCCCATGGTAAATGTGCGGGTGCATCGTGCGAGACTTGAGGCGTAGAAGTTCTTGTCCGCCACGTAGATGCCGGTGCCGAAGAGGACGAGATAACCAAATCTTCGTATCCATTTCCTTGTCCTCTTGAACTGTTTCGCCGGCACGGCCTTCCCAAGCGATGCAGGCGTCGGCGGAGCAAAGGCGGCGCGCAGGTGGGATTGAGAGAGCGAGCGCAGCGGCTGCCGTGGGGAAATCCGTCGTGAGGACAGGCGACCAGGGCACGATGGGCTGCGAGGAAGAGTGAAGAGACAGCGGGCGCAGATGCGCCGTCCGCCCACACTCATCGAGAGAGTTGTTGAGGGAAATGCAGCGACGCCGGGCGTGTGACCATCGTGGGCGAACGAGGAAGCAGGCACGCGAGGAGAAAATCGTGCGCCTGGGGCGAAAATCGATGACGAGTATCAACCGCTACTGTCACCACTGTCACCACTGTCACCGGCTGTTGACGGCCATGACTGCGGATTCGAGATCCATCTGATCGAATCTCTGGCGGGTCTCGGGGCCCTGACTTCCGTCCCTGTACATACTGTAACTCGTCCTGAGTCCTGGGCGCCCCCAGAGGTGCTCTGGCACGTGTCTGGCACCATGAATTAATCAGACGCGCAGAGACATGTATTGAGTACGAGTACGAGGTACTCATCTTGCGCGTCTACAGTAAGATCAAGTCCGCGTGGGTGACAGATTCCTCAACCTAGAGCGCTCCCCTTCTCTCATCTCATCAATACCGCGAACTGCTCATGGCCAACTCTAAGCAGAAGTCCGCAGCAAGCCTACCCTCGTGCGTCTTCATCCCCGACCACACCTCCCGCTTGATTGCATCTTCCACGCTTTGTCGATACTTCTCTCTGTACACGGCCTTGACCTTCTCCAGATGCCTGGGCTCCCAGTGCATCCTGACCAGTCTGGAGATCAGCAGCTCGGTTCGTTCCTTTCCCGGAGCGGTCTCGCTGATCGCCTGGTGAAGGAGCAGTGCATCGCGCATTGGCCGGTTTAACGCCCCATTCAAGATATGTGCCAGCGTCTCGCCGACCAGGTTCCGTGACTTGGAAATCATCTGCCTTGCGAAATTGACGCCGTACGTCCGCTCGAATAATCTGAGCACTTCGCGTAGGTGAGCGTCGCTGCGGACCACGATGATCTTGATCATCGCCGTCTCCCCACCGGGGGATTCTAGCGCCTCCGCCAGCTGCACCACGTCCTGTTTCACGACCTTGATGTCTAGCGGCGAGGACTCGGGCATGCGGCGCTCTTCCAAGGCGAGGAGGAGCGCCGTGCGGAATTTGTCGGCTCGGAGTTCCCTATCAGTCGAATTTAGCAGGAGTTCGAAAGTAGGCACGGGAGAAGAGACTCACGTCTTGATGCACTTCTCCAGATCATCGTTATATTTCTTGTCCTTGAAGCAATTTTTGATCTCACGGATATCGCTGTTCGAGCGGCCCATCAGACTCTCAATCAGCAGCTCGCGTCTGGATGCACCTCCTTGGTACCACGAATTCGCCCAGTATGCCTCGCTCTCCCACCGTCCGAGCGCAGTCGCGTAACAAGCTTTCCCCAAGTTGCCGGGAATACGCATCTTGATGTGCTTCGCCATATTGATGCCCTGGCCGCTCACTTTGGCATGGTTTTTGTACTCGGCTTTCAGGGCGATTAGATCATCTGTCGTGAGCCGCGGCAGGATTTGTACCAATGGTCTGGGGTCGGGAGGAGAACGAGTGCCTGATAGGGCAACAGCGATACATTTGGCGTCTTCTGTTGGATCGTAGAAGGACACAGACTTTCTTTTCCCGTTGCCTCCTCTGGGCGATAGTATGCTCGAGGAAGGTGACCGGTCGCGGTGGCTACTTCCTGGCTCACGCAGTTCCATCTTTACGTTGGTGTCGATGTTAGGCAGACGGTGTGGGCGGACTTCTTCGGTCTTCTCGGTAAAGGCGAGACCGCCTTTCTGTCCTTTGGTGTATTTCTCCTTTTCTCTTTCAAGCTTGCGAATTTTGCGTTGTAGGTCAGCGTCTGGATCGTCCGAATCACCGTCTAGTCCTAGGTCCAAGTCGGACAGATCAGAGTCGTCGCGGTGGTTCGCCAGCACCAAGGCTGAAGGCATGGGAGATATGGACTGGTAGGTCCCTTTGTATGGCTCCAACAACGGTGACGCCGGTGGTTTGACACCATCATTGGAGCTGTGTCGACCGACACCCAGGGTTGCAGCGCCCAGCGCTGCTGATCCTACCGCCAGGCCGGCCATTCTCCTTGATACATCGTCAGTCGAGGAGGCGTACTTGTCGCGGGAGTCCTTCTTGCTCCGTCGGTCGTACTTGTCGTCATCGTCGTCATCATCATCATAATACTTCTTGTTCTTGGGTTCTCGAGTCTCATATCTATCCTCCTCGGGCTGGCTTCCTCTGGGTGTACGGGCTTCGTATTTGTTTCTTCTGCGGTCACTGTCGCTGTCTTTGGAATCCTTCGGTCGCGACCGTTCGTACTCTGATGGTCGGGTACGTTCATACTCTGATGGCCGGGTTCGTTCATACTCTGTCTTTCTCTGACTTATCTGACTTGGGTCTGCGTACTTGAATTGGTCGACGTGGGCGTACTGGGGTGCGCCCGATCCACTGTACGAGTGCATGTGTTGAGCGGTAGGGCCAGCGTCGCCAGGAAATGCTCCCGGAGCAGCGTACCGCGGGTCTGTGGATCCATAGCTGCTATGGCGAGCTGCTGCAGGTCGGATCTCTTGGTAGGAGGCCGGGGGTTGACCATATGTTCCATTGGAGTGGCCATTGCGGTCATTGTATCTGCGACGAGAGTCTGAAGTCTCGTCTTCTGAGTCGTCATATTTCTTCCTGCTCGACCTCTCTCGCGTCTCTCTGCGTCGATCGGAGTCGCTGTCTGACTTCTTCTTGGAGCGGCCATATCCCCTGTCATCGTCGGAAACAGGGACGTCCCTCGTGCGAGTGTCCTTGCTTGACCCGTACGAGCGGTATTTGTCCTCCTCCTCCTCGCTATTATCCACGTATTTTCTCGAGCTACTCTTCCTTCTTCGAGTATCTTCCTCGTCGTCCTCGTCGTAGTATTTCTTGCTCGATTTCCTTTCCTTGTATCTGCGCTCGTCTTCTGATCCCGACTCTTCTTTAGCGTAGATCCTACTTGACCGTCTGCTGCTATACTCGTCCTGGTCATTCACGTCCTGGCTGCGAGTGTCGCGGGAGCGTGACCGCGACCGATCCCTGTCGCGGCCGCTGGGAGACTTCGATCTGGACCGGCGATCGTCCCTCACGCCTAGCATCGACGACATTCTTGAGGTGGGTGGGACAAAATCAGCGACACAACCTACCTGACTAGAGTTATGCCCGCCTGCTTCTGGCGGAACACACGAGAAGGGGGACGACCGCTGAATAAAAGCCTCGCCAGCGAAGTCATGCGGCTCCCTTCAGTTTGGCTTGCTTCCCCTGTTGGCACGCGTACCAGCCAGCCAGCTTAAGGCGCACATTGGCTAGGACGGCCAAACGGCCCCCAAAACTTAGCGGTACCATCGGCGCTAGGGTAGCAGATAGGGAGAACAGGGGGGGCTGGGGAGCGTTGGAGGGTCCCTGGGCGATCGAATAAGGCCTGCTGTTGAACCACTGCTTCCATTCCGGGCGGCGGTTTCAGCTGGCCCGTGGTCTACCTCCTCGGCAGGGACTCCCCACAAAGTCATGCCTTTCGCGCCCGTTTTCCTTTCGCCCCCTGCCGTGTCCTCGTACTGGGGATTCGGACGTTCAACGGCTGCGGCCCAGTGTCAGCCTTCTAACTTTCCTGCACACCTGCGTCGGTGCGAGATGGCCCGGATATGTATGTTGAACGTGTGTCACACAGCAAGCGTCTCTCCCCGCAGTCATGTCTCTGCATCTGTGGGTGGCGTCCCACGCCTTCATCCTCTGTGAGCTGCTCAAGCTATGATATAGAGGGTCCGGTAAGTCTTCCAGGAATACAAGAACCTTGTGCAGCAGGAGCTTTGCAATTTACTCTTCCTCGTCATGATGATGCGTTCATCTCCCTTCTGGCCCTTGTTCTCTCAAGGCATACGACACCGAGTCCTTCCACGCAGCTCGCTCCTCACCCCTCGTCGCACAGTCAAGACTCTCCCATCGTTCTCGCTCGAAAACAAAACCTGCGTTGTCACCGGCTCGGCACGAGGGTTAGGAAAAGAATTCCTCACGGCGTTTGCCCTCTCCGGCGCTCGCGGGGCGTGCATCGACCTAAGCCAGAAGGACTGCGAGGCATCGATCGCGTCAATAGCATCACAAGTACAAAATGCATACCCGGACGACCCCGTCCCCGAGTTACGAGCCTACGAATGCAACGCCACAATCGAGTCCGACGTCAAGTCCACATGGGCTAAGGTAGTCGAGGACTTTGGCAAGGTTGATGTGCTAGTCACGGCTGCGGGCATCGTCGACAACGTCGAAGCGGAGAATTATGAATATGCTCGGTGGCGGAAGATGCTGGATATAAATATTGAGCAAGGCCATTTCGTGCTCGCTGAAGAAGGAAGAGAAATGCTGACTTGGGTCGCTTGATCTAGTGGCTCGTGGCTCTTTGCCCGCGAAGCCGGCAAACACATGCTGCAGCACAACATCCAGGGATCCATCATCCTGATCGCCTCTATGTCTGCCACAATCTGCGTGCGTCCCCAGAAGCAAGCCGCGTACAACACCTCAAAGGGCGCTGTGCAAATGCTGGCCAAGTCGCTCGCAACCGAGTGGGGACCAAGAGGCATCCGGGTAAATAGCTTGAGTCCCGGGTACATGAAGACAGATCTCATCAAGGGACTGCTGGAAAACGAGGGTAAAGAGCTAGTAGGGAGTTGGGAAAGGGATATACCTATGGGGAGAATGGCCGAGCCGCACGAGCTCAGAGGGACAATTGTCTGGATGGCCAGTAAGTTTCCCACGAAACCCGTCAACCCGGCTTAATGCAGTGGCTACATCTGTGCCATGCTCACGAGAGGAAGGTCCAGCAAGCTCATATTTGAATGGTTCGGACGTGGTGAGTTCACCCGAAATAATGCTCGACAGGCGAGAAGTAGAGAAGTAGGACACACTGCTGACCGCGTACGTAGATCGTCGATGGAGGCTACACAAGTGTGGGTATCCTTCTCTCTCCGAAGGGCAATCTCTTTCAAACAGCCATTGTTGGATCTTCAGAAGTAACGCAGGCTGATTGACGCTCAGTGGTGAATCTACCGAGCTCAGCACACCGGAGGGTCGCATCGAGGCGTGCTTGGTGGGTCGCGCGTCGGCGGGTGGAAGGTGCAGATGGCACGAGTCAAGACGGTCGTCGAAGAGATTATGGTGCTCGTGGCCTAGATTTACATAAGATGACACGGATGGTCGTGAACCGAAAAGGAGGGCGGACTCCTGAGGTGGATGGGTCCGACCAGTTACTCAGTACAAGGTCAAATATAAAGATACTGAACACCCACAGAACGCTGAGCCCTGAAAGAATGGTCCAGAAAATGGCAGCGTGGGCCGCCTCGACTGCACACAAGCACTTTTCATAGCGACGCGGTACACATTAAATGACACGAGTACAACGAGGGAGCAATAAGATTGCGGCATTCGTGTCCTTTTGAGTAAGAGCTATCTGCATAACCCATCGTGGACACGAAATCTATCTATGACTTGTCATGGCACAGCACATTTCCCTTGTCGAGAAATGGGATCACTGCGCATCATTTTGGTGTTCCAGTACCCCGAGTCGTAGCAAGTACATGATTGGTGATCGTTGGGAAGGTGAATCGTTGACAGGAAGAGTCGATGTTGGATGGCAAGAATTATGGCGAAACCATGAAAACTCCGGTATCAGGAGTGCTGAAAGAGAATTTTCCACAACCTTCGCCACACGAAACAATACCAGTGAGATGGATTGAACGAATTTCTTGCGCAAGACATCTATTTCTTGCCAGCCTTGACAGCAGCCTAGGTAGGAGTGGGTCAGCTTCTGAACAAAGGGAGCAAGAGGACGGAGCGCAGCTTACCTTGGTGACCTTGCCACCAGCCTTCTCAGACTTGACGACGCTCTTGATGACACCGACGGCGACGGTCTGACGCATGTCACGGACGGCGAAACGACCAAGAGGAGGGTAGTCGGTGAAAGCCTCAACGCACATAGGCTTGCTGGGAACCATCTTCACGATGGCAGCATCACCAGACTTGATGAACTTGGGGTTGTTTTCCATGGACTTGCCGGTACGACGATCGATCTTCTCGAGGAGCTCAGAGAACTTGCAGGCAATGTGGGCAGTGTGGCAATCCAAGACCGGGGCGTAGCCAGCACCGACCTGACCAGGGTGGTTGAGGACGATGACCTGGGCGTTGAAGGAGTCGGCACCCTTGGGGGGGTCGTTCTTGGAGTCACCAGCAACGTTTCCACGACGAACCTCCTTCACGGAGACGTTCTTGACGTTGAAGCCGACGTTGTCACCCGGAACGCCCTCGGCGAGCTGTTCGTGGTGCATTTCGACGGACTTGACTTCAGTGGTGACGTTGGCGGGGGCAAAGGTGACGACCATACCGGCCTTGATGGTACCAGTCTCAACACGACCGACGGGCACCGTGCCGATACCAGAAATCTTGTAGACATCCTGGAGTGGGAGACGGAGAGGCTTGTCGGTGGGACGAGCAGGAGGGTCGATGGAGTCGATAGCCTCAAGGAGGGTCTTGCCGGTGGCCTTGCCAGCCTTGGACTCCTTTTCCCAGCCCTTGTACCAGGGGGCATTGGTGGAGACGTCGATCATGTTGTCACCGTTGAAGCCGGAGATGGGCACGAATGGAACGGACTTGGGGTTGTATCCGACCTTCTTGATGAAGTTGGAAGTCTCCTTGATGATTTCGTTGAAACGATCCTCAGACCATTTGGTGGTGTCCATCTTGTTGATGGCGACGATAAGCTGCTTCACGCCCAGGGTGTAGGCGAGCAGAGCATGCTCACGGGTCTGGCCATCCTTGGAGATACCGGCCTCGAACTCACCAGTACCAGCGGCAATGATGAGAATAGCACAATCAGCCTGGGAGGTACCAGTGATCATGTTCTTGATGAAGTCACGATGACCAGGGGCATCGATGACGGTGACGAAGTACTTGGGAGTCTCGAACTTCCAGAGCGCGATATCGATGGTGATACCACGCTCACGTTCGGCCTTCAGCTTGTCCAAAACCCAGGCATACTTGAAGGAGCCCTTGCCGAGTTCAGCGGCTTCCTGTGACACGGAGTTAGTTGATCAGGCTCGGGAAAAAAGTGTGAAATCACGTGATGGCCAATACCCCTCCCCCACCAAAATTTTTGGCAGATTGGTGATAAAGGACAGAGTGAGTGAACGGGAAGGGATGAAGACCGTAAAGGGCGACCAACCTTCTCGAACTTCTCGATGGTACGCTTGTCGATACCACCGCACTTGTAGATCAAGTGGCCTGACTGTGTGTGAGTGTTTTTGCGTGTGCCATCATTTTTGGGGTCTTCTCTTACCAGTGGTGGTGGACTTGCCGGAGTCGACGTGTCCGATGACGACGACGTTGATATGAGTCTTCTCCTTACTGTAGAGATGGAGAACGTGTCAGCGATGTTCATTGATATCAGATCGAGGCTCACTTCGAAAAGCGAACCCTCGCGCAGGCAGATTGAGATGGTCACTTACCCCATGGTGGCGGTTGATTTGAAGGTTTGATTTGAAGCCTTGTAGTTCTGTGGCAGATACTAGAAGAATTCAGAGAAAATGCTCAGATACCACGGCTTGCGTAGAGGTGCTGATGAATGTCAGTAGTTGTTGACGCCAAAGGCAGGGGGTGGGTTGATAACTCACTGAGCGACGAAGGAGGAGATTGTGAGAGACAGAGAGTGTGCGGAAGATTTTGTATGCCTGCGGGAGGGACTCGGCTTGGCAAAATTTGCGGGCGAAGTGGCTGTGAGTCAAAAGCCGCCCGCAACCGTCACTCGCCTTCGCTGTTCCTCAGTCTCAAGTTTATTCAAGGCACAGAGTATTTTGCGGCCCAAGCCCCACTACAGAAGTCGACTCACCTCTCAATCATGGCCATTCTCCCGTCAGCCCACTGGTTCGCGCGCGAATGATTGGCGAAAGTAGTCTGAAAGCTTCGGCATGTGCTAGATCCTGCATGTCGAACCTCGCATCTATTCTTGTAGCCAATTGGAACACCACATGATCTACACCGGGCTCAAAATTCGTCTTCGAGGCTGTTATATCATAGTGGCGATTGTTTGCGTATCCACAACAGTAGTACTAGGTACCTAGGTTTGCGCCGACGGCGAAGACTACAGTATCGAGAAACAAAAAAGATTTCAACATCAACCTTTGCTTCCATTCAGTTGTCGCCCCTCTTGTGTGTCCCCATGTGCTTTAGTATCGGAGTTAAGAGTCATCAGCTCCATCTGACTCGGGGCCAGCGACTAACTTATCATGGCACAGATAACCTGTAGGCAGAACCAGGCAATCTGGGCGCCGCCGAGTCATGATACTGCTCGCTAGCCTTCTCTTCTCCTTTATGCCGCAACATGCTGCCTGGCTTCCGGTAGGTAGCACGGTGTGAATCCTCGTTCAGCCATTGATTGAGAATGACTGCCGTGTAACTACCCTGCTCCCGTCCTCACTGAAGAGTGTGAGTCAGAGTTCAGGCGACATCGAAGCACTTGTCGGGCTGCAGTGCGCCAGACTCACCTTCACACATCGGGGACTGTCCCCGTGCTAAATCCTATGCCTTGCAAAGCTCTGCCTGGCGCATATGGAAGCTTCCGCACAGCGCCCTCTTGAAGACCGATCTGATCGACAGTTGTCTCCATTCTTTCTAGTCCTCAGCAGGTCTTATGCCAGCAATGGGACACTCAGCCAAAAATTTCGTGGTAGAGGGCAAGGGTCGTGTGGTCGACAGGTGGGGTTCGATCAAAGGTGGAGGCTTTATCATTAATATTCTCTCCATTGCTTGCCGCATTCGATACACTGCAATTGATCAGTGCTCAAAATATACATGAGGACCTCCTTATCTCATAGCGTACCTTGAAGAAAGAGGTGGGTGGCTCGTCGGCACTTCGTGTCTGTAGCTGGTAAAAGTAGGCTTTCTTTGAGTCGCAAGTCTCGTTCGGACAGCCTCCAGGAACTGAACAAATTCCACGGTTAATGTTGCCTTTTCCTGACGCCTTCCAGCGGAGAGCATACCTTCGTTGACCGGCAGGTCGGATTGCTCCTCGCCGAGGATGTCATCCTTTTGCTTCTGCTTCATGTATGTCCGCTCGTAGTACGGCTGGTCAAGAACGAACTGGTAGGGGCACGTCCTGCAGGTAAACGCATTTCTGCCCTGGGGGTATTGGTCATTTCCCGGTGCTCTGGCAATCGTCAAGCAGTTGCAGCAATACGGGCAGACTGTTGTCCATGGTCAAAGCTGCTTCTCGAGGTTGGGGCGAAATATCCCTACATGTCGGAGGCATAGCGATCGATGTAATTGAGCCCACTGCTGACCTGGTCACCTGGGTTCAGGTTTGCGAGTGGTCTCTTAGGGGGACAGAATTGTGTACGTCCTACTGAAGATACGATCTGGTCACTGCGCAGGAGAATTTTGTTACGGAGGAGTACTCGTACTGTACACGGCAGTCCTTGGCAGATTTGCTCGGATTATGCGGGGTCGATGGCTGGGGGGTTTTGCCAGAGGGCCTGCCTGATCTATCATCACCCGAAGCGCTTCTGAACGCAACCGACCTTGCTACGCACAACCTGCTGCGCTTCTTCTTTCGCCCTCAGTTCGACCTTGACTCGACCAGAGTCAACTTACTTCTATCCTATCGACCTTTTCACATAGCCGAAGTTGAAGACTCCCCGCTACCACTCCCGATCCTCTCAAGTCACCCCTCAGGCGTTCCAGGCACCTGGGTTACTCGCACGCAGCTGTTCTAGTCGTGTTGTGGCGCTGCCGTTCGGCTGTTCTCGCTGCCCTGGTAGGCGGCCACCATGGCCGAGCACGTTGATGTGAGCGTGGCATGCATTCAGTATGGTGTAAGGCTGACAGGCATTTGCAGGGAGCGTCGCCCAAAGAACAGATACTCGAAGCATGTCGGAGAGACAATGTTGAGTTGTTTCACGAGGTCTTGAACGACATGAAGAATAAGAGCAAGGATCAGATAGCTGAGTTCTTCAACACTACAACAGACACCATGGGGAACCATCTGTTGCACGTCTGCGCCAACTACGGAGCCTGTGAGGTTGCCATTGTGCTTCTGCCGAGCCTCAACTGACCCGTGTATAGACGATGTTATGGACGAGCTACTCAACGTGGAATTTCTCGAGTGCGATCCGCTAAACAGACGAGAGGGCGAAACACCGATTCATTCAGCCGTCAAGTATGCCAATGAGCGGGAAGTCGAACTCGGTGAGGCAATGGCGAAGATGTTGATTGATGCTGGAGGCGATCCAAGAGTCAAGGATAAACATGGCAGAAAACCCGCCGAGATATGCACACCAAGAACCGAAGGACTCCGCAGTATCCTAGTCAAGGAGGAATATGTGCTCAATGAAGGTCTCAAGAGTTCCGATGTCCACCCAGACGACGACGACGCCGATGCAGGGCCACCTTCGGATGAGGATTGATTGCATGATACAACACCACTATGCGCCCATCCACAAATGACCGATCTGCGGCGCAGTCTGGCAAAGATCAAGCCTGCTTGTCGGCGATTACAGGGCTGTGCACGGCAAACGGTGATTGGAATCTCCTCCGCTAGTCAGACCAAGCCACATGATATGCCGTTGGGCTGTCAAAGTCAAACTAGCTTCCCCTATATGATGACCGCCGAAAGCTCGCTGGCGAGTAGGTGCGGTCGGGAAGACTGAGCTTCAGTCTTGGTGACAGCTTCTCGACAGTGGATTGAGTTTTGGGAAGGCTGTTGACAACAAAAGCAATTAAAGCACCCTACGCCTTTCCCTCTTCGTTCTGACTCTCGGCCTTCTCCTTAGCCTTCGTCCTCGCTCTCACCGACAAGATGAGGCAGATGGCGCATATTATGCCTAGCCCGTCAAACCCGACCGCAAGATACCAGGCTCCTCGATATCCTTGCAACGGCTCGCTTCCACCTGAGTTGACATGTGTTTCAACTGTCCCCGCCATGCCCAGGCCGATTGAAATGCTATAGTTGATCACCGTATTGATGAGGGATGCGGCCAGACCTTGGTGTTCGGCAGGCATGTGATCGGACAGTACAATGTTTCCAGAAGGGAAGCTCATATCCATTCCCCACGGTGTGACCAGTGTGGCGACGAAAGTTTGTGCCCCTATCCAGTTGTCAGCTCTGGTGGACTGCGATTGTGCCTCGACGAGACCTAAAAGCCACGCAGAGACAAGCCTGAACGAAACCTACAGTATGTCTGTCGGACCGGCATTGTACCAAGCAGGATGTTTCCCGTCAGAAAGGCACTCATGCTGATGAGCATGATCCATCCAGACTGGATTCTTGCAATCAGGAAGCCCGTCGTTATCGCAGCGATGCAGCCCGCAATACACGTGGGTGATAGCTGAGCTGTCGACAAAAGAATCGAATGACCTCTTTCGAGCTCGAGGAATTGCCTGGACCCATCAGCGGCGGTTAGGAGCAAGTCGCGCGATGAACCGTACCACAAGTAAAAGACCCATATTCCGAAGCTCATCCACCCGAAGGCTTCGCATCCAAACACCAGATTCGTATCCACTGTAAGTAGCGACAGCGGCACCAATGGATACGACGCCCGGTACCGTTCCAGCCAGAAGAAGATAACCAACAGGATGACACCGAGTATCAACAGAACATACACATACACCTTATCCCAACCTGCAGCTGGACCCTGATTCCAGGCAAAGTTGAAGAATATCAGTCCGACAACCCCCACAACGGTGCCAATAGCATCCAGCTCCTTGAATGTCGCTCTGGGTCCTTCGACGGGCATGGGCGGTATAACAAACACAGCCAATACTCCAATCGTTGCCAACACCATGGCCATGACCCAGTACGCCCAAGGCCACCATACGAATTGTGTAAAGATACCGCTGAACACCGCTCCGATCACGAAGCCACTGGGAGCTGTAGCACCGAATATGCTCAACACCATATTCTTCCTCGGGCCCGGCGGGTATGTCCTCGTCAGTATTGCCACTCCATTGGGGAGCAAGATGGCGGGACCAATTCCCTGCATACCCCGGCAAAACGCGAAGAAGACGAGCGAGTGAGAATAGACCGCAAATCCTGCGATCAGAGACCACAAGGCAAACCAGGAATAGCCGAGGATGAAGAGAAGTTTGTGGCCGTACAGATCACCCCATCTTCCAGCCGGGAGGATGAATGTGCCCACCGTCAGGGAATAACCGGCTGCCAACCATGATAACTGGCCCGGATTCGTGGTGTTGAAGGAACGGCCAATGACGTGCAAAGGTGCGATAGACTGCGCCAGGGCTGCTTGAGTCATAAGCTGTGCAGAGCTGATGACTGCGATGAATGCGATCTCGCGTGCCACAGAGAAGGAGGGTGCTTTGGTGGCCGTGGGGACACGGGAGACCGTCTGAGCCAGACTGGGTTGCTGTGCGAGCGTGTTCTGCTGTTGTAGGGTGGAGGCTGCTGAGCCGGTCTCATGTCGGGTCAAGTCTGAGGTCGTACTTCCTAGAGAGGTGCCTATATTGCCTGGCAGGACATCGGAGGACTTTCGATGCCTGCTCTGACCACCGACCGCTTGCTCGTCTTCCTTCTCCATCACAACGTTCTTTTGGTGGTAGCGTGAGCAAGTCCCGGTCTCTAGTCACCTGGGAGCTCGGTACGGCGGAGGGCGGACCAGTTCTCGAGTCACCAAGTCAATCCGCACCGCCGATATTTCCCTAGCTCCCACTTTTATACATCCAGTATTATCGTATCTCACAGTCGCGCACGAGTTACGAGTCACGAGTATTATGCATGCTGCGGCCATCAGTGGCGTCGAGGCAAAAAAAACAGACCACTGACGAAAACATGACGTCGTACCTCGTACGGGTGAAGTGGGTACGGTGTCAAGAGGTTGAATTTTCTCGGAAAACCTCGTCGACCAAATATGTATGTAGTCGTACGAGGACGAGTATAATCACGCGAGAACCAAGCCCAAGGACCAACCACCAAAAGGGAACGCGCGAAACAAACGTCGGAGATAAAGAAGAATAAGAAGACTCTTTCACAATTTGTGCGAGAGTGTGAGTACCGGGGTGTTTTAGTGGCAATTCCTTATGGACTTAATTACTGTAATGTGCTGTGATCCTTTTGATACGGAGCCCTTGGAGAGAAAGGGAAATTCTTGGGTTCTTCCAATTCGTCCATCCTCGCCACGGCTGGTGCTGGGAGTATTCGATCTCGGTTAGTTAGGTAGGTACCGAGTGTTTGGTATGCTTCGTATGAATGAAGTACGGTGCTCGTGCCTGTCGTGAGATATCTACACACTACGGACTGGATTACACCGTGGTGATTGCGTAGGGTGCTGGCAATGAGTCGGTACTGAGCTGGCACCGAGCTGGTACCTAGTTAGGTAGGTAGGTAGGTGCTGAACTGGACTGAGTTGAACTAGACTATACTGGAAGTAGAACTTCCTCACCATTCGTAACTCGAGAGCTGTGGTGTATGAATGTCAATGATCATTCTAGGCGAAGTCGTCAGTGACAAAGTAGGCACGGCAGAGAGACAAGATACATAAGGTAGCGTTGTGCTGGGTTTCTCGCGGAGACTAGACACGTCTGGCAGCAGCGGGACGAGGAGGAGGGGGGATCATCTACATTGTTTAATAGTGACTATGTGGTGGCGGTGGCTCATCGAAGTCCGGTCGACCAGGAGAGATGGTCTCTGTGTCAAGCTGCAATGTCCCGCGTCGCAGCTTCAGGTGGCCTCCTGTCCCTGTCCTTGTCCTTGTGCATCACTCCATCTGCTGGGAAGATTATGCATCGTTGCGCGACCATTTTGCGCACGATCCAGTGGGCGGAGACAGGAGTCTACAAGTTGGACTCGATCGGGTCATAGTACGTTTGGCGGGTGCGTGCGTGGATGAGCTCCGTCGCCGAAATAGGTGAGCTGGTGCTTGTCCTTGTGCTTGCTTTTATAAGATGGACGCATGAGGTGGAGGCCTGAAGAACATGTTCATGGACGTCGTAACAAGACCACATGAGAGCATTGTTGAGCGGTCGAGTCGGCCACGGCCCGAGAGGCATGTATTATGTACATACGGAGTAACAAGGTACTCGTTGCCGCAATGCTAAAGCCTCCGGACCTTTGCATGTTATCTTATTGTGTATCTGCAGGGGTGGGAAGTGTCGAATCTGCTGAGGGATCAATACCTCGTCTCCAGCATTTTCCAAACTTGGCTCTCGCTTGGCTTGGCCTATTAAGTGGCTTGTCAAGACACTCTTCCAGCTCCTTGTAGATTCGTCAGCACGCACAAGGAAGCATCAGTAACCACCAGTAACCGGGTCCTCGCTCTTCGGCGTGTCCCCTCGGTCTGTGACATTCAGCCTCGCCATGGCGCGAAATGACATGGTAGACATTGGATTTCTTATCGCATGACATGGGAGAGGTCGGAGATGTTTCGGTGTGACATGGTAGACATGAAGCACCGGCGGCATTGCAAGTAAGATTAATCATCCGAGATGCGGATATTTGCCATTATTCTGGAAACTACGGTCTTATGTCAACGCGTGGATACCAGAATGAGGGCTTCTTGGATTTTGTGCATCTCTACGCTGTAGCAGCGACCCTGCGAGGCCTGCTGACAATGGACAATGCCAGGCCTCACGCCCTATGTCGATTCGATGGACATCCAGTATAAAGACCCGAGTGAGATTGCCCGCAAAAGGGAGAGCAACAGCGTGTCTCATACTCACAGATCCAACAAGTGTGTCCATCTTTGCGACATAGTGGCACAATTCCCATGGCTTCATCGAATACGTTGCCCGTTCGAACAGTCTCAGCGACGGTGCATCCAACCAATCCGATCACGACGACCATTTCCACGGTGCCACTGCCAGAATCTCTGGCGCCTAGTGATGTCCTTGTCAAAGTCGAGGCCGCTGCGTCTAATCCCAAAGACTGGCTTCACCTCGTTGCCACAGGTGCCTCTCTCAACTCTGGCGATGACCTGGCTGGCGTTGTTGTCGCGGTCGGGCCCGAGGTGACAAGATTCAAGCCTGGCGATCGAGTGGCGGCGTTTCACCCGATGGGCAAGCAGTATGGTGCGTACGCCGAATATGCCATTGCGCCCGAGCATACCACACTCCAGATACCGGACGCATTGAACTTCGAAGAAGCCAGTACAATTCCCCTTGTCAGCCTAACGGCCGCCTTGACTCTATTCAGAAGACAGGGCTACGTCGCGCCGTGGCAAGCAGGCGCGCAGGAGGAGAATCAGAAGAAGCCCTTGCTTGTGTATGGGGCCACCACTTCGCTGGGCACATATGCCATCAAACTGGCCAAGTTGGCAGGAATCGGCCCGATCATTGCAATCGGAGGTGGAAGCAGTAATTACGTCAAGGGTTTCCTCGAAGCTCGGCAGGACGCTTTCCTGGATTATCGGACCGGGATGGCATCGCTGAAAGAGACTGTCAAGCGCCTCACGGAGGAGCGTCATTTGCAGCTCAGAAATGGCCTTGATGCGGTCAATGAACACGAAAGCTGGGTCCAGGTCAGCCAGATGCTTCATGGCGGGGCCAGGCTTAGCGTGTTCTCCGGGGCAAGGAAATACGACGAGGAAGCCATTCCCAAGAACGTCGACATCATCTATACCTTCGTGGGAACCGCACACGAGGCCAAGTATCGGCCCAGCATGCCCAAACGGCCGTCAGTGGAAGATGCGCAAGGCGATGTAGCGTTCGCCAGCGAGTTTTTCGCTTGGCTAGAACAGATGTTGAGACAGGCCAAGTACTCCGGTCACCCGGTCGAGGTGATCCCTGGAGGCCTCAATGGCGTGGCCGAGGGCCTCAATCGACTCAGGAATGGCCAGGCGGCGGGCAAGAAGTTTGTGTATCAGATCGGGTCCATGGCTCGGAAATAGTCATGCTGTACACGGGGACCAGACTGATAACCGAACGCAGGTAGTGAGCTAGTCTGTCCTATAAGCACGCTGGGTGAGGTGAATCGAGTGTGATTGTGAAACTGAGACGGTTTACCTTCTGAACTGCGAAGGAGTGTGGAGCGTGAGAGCCTCTCGAGTTGCGCTGGAGGAGAAGTTTCTAAACAATGATGCCGCCTCGATACGCCTCTCCTCCGTGGCGCCAAATGCATGTGCAACAAGACGACGGCTGGTTTGTTTCGCCTAGATACCAATGCTTTCGTGTGAATGTCTAGCTAGGGTTAGGAACATTGGCACGCAAGGAGGTCAATGGTCCATAACCAAGGGCGGGCCTGGCCCAAAAGAGACGGGACAACCTGAAGCGCAGAAGACTGTCCGACGAGTTCGAGGTGTATAACGATGGAGATTTTGAGTACAAGAAACCTGGGCGGGAGCTGCTGCATGAGCGCAGGTCGCCGCCACGTTCTGCAGGAACCGCCAATGCATTCAAGCCTGGGGGGCGGGACTGGGAGGACCAGAAGCTCGAACATATATCTGGCGACGAATTAACCTTGACGGAGTAGTTCAGCAGTGTGGCTGCTACCTCATACGCAGCTGAGGCGCTGTGGACAGTACTGTGTAGCCAACCGTTCACGAGGTTTCAGTGCCCTTGCAGAAGTCGGCCGACCGACGGCGATTGCGCGTCGTGTTTCAAACCCAGCGCGTCCCGGCAGTTTTGTATGCAATTCCTGTGGGCGGAATGCCTTCGAGGGTACACAAATATGCCCCGTCATCGGACTTCCGTCGACGAATACCGGCTCAGCATCAGGTCGAAGCTCATCCAGGGGAAATGGCGTGGGGCAGGACGCAGCAGGGAATCATTAGATGTACACAGTACTCGTACTCCGCAAGGTCGACATAGACACCAATGGCCAAGCAGTTGAAATTGATAGTGCGGTTTCAGGGGTGGCGGGGAAGATGGCTGCTTAGAGATATCGGATACTGGTCCTTGTCCATGCGCAGGGAATGGAGGAACTGGCGGTGGGCACTGCATACTCCATACTGTGAACCAGGTAGGGATCGCAGGGGATTGGCATCGCTGCTGGTCAACTCGACGGCCCAGTCGCCGATGGGAGATAGTGTACCCAGTACGAGTCCACGCGTCTCCTTGGCAGGTACCTGTCCCGCCGTCCCGCCCTCCTCGACGCCCCTCCTCTTCCGACGGCTCGTGTTCGACTTGGCTGTGCCCAGCGGCGCCGACCACCTCTCCTCCGCTTCTCCTGCTCTCTGCTCCTTCCACGGCCAGACGATAGCGGCGTCACGTCAGCCCTGCTCCCTGTGCTCCATGCTGCTCCACGTTGCTCCACATGCCTACTCCGTCCTGCACAGCTTCTCGATGGGTGCTCTGCATGAATTCCGACCGCCAGGTTCTCGTCATCGGCATCGTGAACTCTGCCCATGCCTGCGTTACGTTCTTTGTCCCCCGTGCGCCAGCAATATCCTCTCCCTTTCTTTTCGCGGCCCTTTGTCCTGTACGACACCGACATTCCGGCCGGTATTAATAGTGGCACGCTATGGCCCACCGCGCTGGCCGGAATTGCGCCAAACCAAGATCTCGCCAACTGGTGGTTGATATACCCAGTCGCCCATGGAAGGTTCGTTTCAGACCCGGGTCCGCTCAACGGGGATCGCGCAAGCCCAGAAAAGTCGTCGTTTCGGCAAAGGCCAAGAGATCTTGGGTGAATTGGATATCGAGCCCATTGCACAGCAGCAGTCACATTTACAGTCCTCCACGGCAGTCTTCTTCTAGTCACTCACTCACCCCCCCGCTGTCCTTCACTCTTCTACCTCGCTCCTCCCCATGCTCGTCTGGCACGGCTGCTTTGATCAGTGACCGTCCGCAGTGTCGTATCCCCGACTTCTGACGAGCCGGACTCGTCCTTTGTTTTCAGGTCCTTCTTTATTCTGATTGCTTCCAACACAAAGACACGTTCCTTCGCTATTTCAGGCAATGTCATCTGTAGGCATCGCTGCTCGTGCAGCTACAGGGGGAAATTCGAGCACTGGCGGCGGCTCCCACTATCAGAATGACGCGACCAAACTCTACCTCGATGGACTCAACAAGTCGCTGGGACACAACTACCTCTGGGCCTTGCTCGGTGTTGTCGGCCTCATCCTTGCGCACTCGGCAATGACACGGGTGAACGCGCATCTTCGACACCTGGCATCCATGGGCGGGACGGGTGCTTTGCAGTACTTCGCTTCATCTTCTCCGGGCCTGTCTCTGCTCAAGAGCACGCTTCTTTACGCACCACTTCTATTCTACCGGCGAGCGAGAGAAATCAGATTCTCGCAGCATGTCAACTTTGGAACCCTTCCTACGCGCTTCCAGGCCCTCTTCATCCTCCTCATCACGGGCACAAATTTCTTCGCCTGCACCTGGAATATCCCGTGGTCAGATGCTGAACTGCAGGTCCTGCCTATCCTACGCAACCGCACCGGAACGCTGTCAGTCGTGAACCTGATCCCGATCATGGTTACGGCTTCCATCAAGAATCCTCTGATATCATTGCTCGACATCTCTTACGACACCTTCAATTTGATGCACCGCTGGTTTGGTCGCCTGGCAGTCTTGCAAGCCGTCGCTCACACTGTATGCTGGCTCGTGTCCAAAGTACAACGCTACGGCTGGTCGGGTGTGAAGACGTCAATGCAGTCTTCCTTCATCTACAGCGGCTTGATTGCCACTATTTGTTTTGTTGTCATTCTCTTATCGAGCCCAAAGCTCTTCCGGAACTTGGCCTACGAATTTTTCCTACACTTACACATTGTGCTTGCTGTGTTGGTACTGGTCTTCCTGTGGATACACCTGGAGGATCTCCCTCAGCGGGGCTTATTGCTGGGTGCGGTCATCATATGGGTTGTATCGAGGTCCTGGCGGCTTGCGATATTGCTGTACAGAAGCGTCGGCAGGGGCGGCTCAAAAGCGAAGATTGAGCCCCTCAGTGGCGGTGCAGTCAAAATCACCCTTCACCTGGCGCGACCCTGGAAATACCGGCCTGGTCAGTCGCTGTACCTGACGGTACCATCCATCGGTCTCTGGACTGCACATCCCTTCTCTGTTGCCTGGTGCGGTGCCGAGGACTCTTTAAGTCAGTCCATCTCTCGAAAGTCTAGCTACAACGAGAAAGCTCCAATCGTCCGCGTGCAAGATAGGGACATGGAAAGAGCCACAGGAGTGGAAAGTATATCGCTGATCGTCAAGAAACACACCGGTCTCACACGCAAACTCTGGACCCTCGCTATGACAGGGCAGACAAGCCTCCCAATCACGGCTCTGGTCGAGGGTCCTTACGGTGGCGAACACAGTCTGTCCAGCTATGGAACCGTCGTCCTCTTTGCGAGCGGCGTAGGAATCACCCATCAATTGGGATACGTCAAGGACCTTGTGGAAGGATACGCCAACGGCACTGTTGCGGCACGGCGTGTCACCTTGGTCTGGGTCGTGCCCACCACAGAATGTCTGGACTGGGTCCGACCATGGATGCACGAGATCCTGGCACTGGAGGGCCGCAGAGAAGTGCTCAAGGTCCTCTTGTACATCACACGAGCTGGTCTAAGTCAGGCCATCAAGAGTCCGAGCGAGCAGGTCCAGATGTCAAGAGGTAGGCCCGATGTGGAGTCCATCATCCGGCGCGAGGCATTGCACAAGATGGGCTGTATGGGAATCAGCGTCTGCGCGGGCGGGGGGCTGGCTGACGAAGTGAGGCGCGCTTCGAGGTTGGTGCTCGACAAAGGTGTCAACTTGGATCTCATTGAAGAGGGTTTTGGTTGGTAGTCGCTTTCACGAGAAACGATTCGAGAATACGGAGCAATTGCTTGTTTGATGGAATGTTTCTGAGCATGGTCAGCTTCGGCGAGTGTTCGACATTAGGACGTTAGGCCTCACAGACACGTGGACAGGACAGACTCTCTTTCAGCTGTTCATTCGCTCATTCATGTGTCTGTGACTGGGAGGGCCATCCGAGGACCGTTACCGATACGGCTACTTCTCTGGGGCACACGCTTTATTGTTTACATACGCATTCATAACGACAGTCATGCACTCCATCTTGTCCCGTGAGTGGACACGTTAATCACGTGTCGACGTCGACCGCCTGACCGCCACATTGCCAAGAAATATGAGCGCGTGACGTGCTAATGCTCGTCCGTAGATGACGTAAGCGAGTTCGAACATCGAACTCGCCTTTAATTGTACTGCTCGCGTGCCGACCTCTTCTCTCAAAATCAACAGCGCAAGCACTGCCACGCTATCGCCACAAATCAAACAATTCGCTGAGTTGCTGCGCGGGCTCTGCATTCATCACCTTGATTTCATTGTCGGACCAACGATGCTTGACAGGATAGTGGTGATGTGATCTTGCCAGCTGGCTAGGCTGACGAATTCAAGTCGCGATCATCTCAGTTTGAGATTCGGCCATCGATTCCCAAAGTCAAGAGCGTCTCATGCAGTAGTATTGAAGCGTTGAAGCATTGAAAAAAGACCGTCGATTTCGAACAAAGGCCACCGTGCCATCAATCACCTCTCCGCTGTTGTCCTTCTCAGCTCAAGCTTCACGCGCCACCAGTGCCGTTGAACCATCGACCTGTTGACATTCTCTGGGACGATACCCCAGGCTACGTCAACAATATCACCTAAAGCGCCAGTCTTGACTTCCAGAAGGGCAGCGAGTGGTTGATTTCAGATCACCTGCCCCCAAAGGACAAACGATTTCATACGACACGGCATGCCGCCAAGACGCTCCAGAAATGGCAACCACGCCAGAACCACAGCATTTGGCCGTAAATATCCCAACCTTCAACGAGCCCTCCTCTTATCTTGTGAAGCAAGTCCATTCCTCCTCCTAGCCACAATTGCAGCAGGTGCCGGAATATGGAAGAGGCCAATGTGGCAGAGAGCCATTCTTTGGCGTCTCGCATTGTGGAGTTTCTTATCAAGGTGGCTTCTGGTCGGCTTCGCAATTACCACTAGCTGGAATGACTGGGGCCGTGAGGACCGAGAGGAGCGAGACGAGGGGCATCGCAACCAAGTTCGCCAGGAACTGCAGGAGCAACTAGAGCGGAATCAGAACCACGACCGAATCTGGCGGGAAGCGCAGCAGCAACTGGAGCGGCAGCAGGAGCGCTTGCGACAGCTACAGGACATGGAGCAGCGACGGATCCGGATACAGGATCAGTTGCTGAATCACATGCAGGATGAGCCTCAAGAAGATGCAGAGCATTGGGAAGACTGAAACAGGGAATATCTGCCACGAGCCAAACAAGCTGTTATGCCGGGCTCAGCGTTGCTTGCGATACAGGAGGCAACAGCCCAAGAGTTGATGAATCAAGTAGGCTACGCAGATCCTCAAGCTGGGCCGTTCCCCCAAGAATCAATACGACCGATACGCAGGTTGACTCGGTCACGTCCACGACTATCGCCACGCAACGCCCGTGGTAACGGGCACATCATAGCACCGGTTTATTCCAACCTATGAAGAGGCCAAGTCTTTCAGGCTCCTGTGTTTCACCAACCAAACACCTACTTACCTACCTATCAAGCTACAATACTTTCTCACTTCCTGAAGTCCCCCTTACTATGATAATCCTCCCAGTCGACATAAACCTGAAACTCAGCATAACACGTCTCCTCATCACTCTCCATCTTGTTCGTATACGCAGCTTCCTCCTCGCTGATCAGCACCTTCTTCAAACCGCCGCCCTGCGCGGCCGCCTCGGCAAGCAACTGCCCCTGGCACGCATGCTCCATGCTCGTGAACAGAAACGCCGCCTCATCGACCGTCTTGCCCACTGTCAGGAGGCCGTGGTTCCGCAGGATGCACGCTTTGTTCGTGGGGCCGAGGGCCTGGGCGATCTGCGCGCCTTCCTCGGACGCAAGCACCACGCCGCCGTACGAGTTGTAGACGCTGTGGGCCTTGTAGAATTTGCACGCGTCCTGGGTGAGCATCTCGAGCGGTCGGCCGAAGACGGACCATGCTTTGCCGTAGACGGTGTGTGCATGGCAGATCGCTGTGACGTCGGGACGGGCTTTGTGAACTTCACTGTGCTGTGGGTTGGGGGGGAATTTGTGTTAGCCTGGTTTTGTGGTACTGGCGAAAACTACTTACAATGAGGAAACCGGCAGCATTGGGTGGCCGCGTGCGATTTCCGCCCACGACCTTCCCATCGAGGTTCACGGCAATCATATCAGACGCTTTCAAGAGGCCGAAGTGCACGCCCAGAGCTAGCCGTCGTTAGTATATGCTCTTCCTCCCAGAGAAAGTTGACGGCATACGATTCGTCCAGAACACTTCATGGTTCTCTGGGTCCCGCACGCTGATGTGCCCCGAGATACCTTCGACGAAGCCCTCCCTGGCCCAATGACGGAACGCAGCCGCCATATGTTCGAGCTGCCATTGGCGTTGGGCAGCAAAATCGTTGCCAAATTTGGGTACACCGGGAAGCATCACGTCGCCGTGGGAGATGGCGGCCAGTGGAGACTTGTCTTCCATGCCGTGGACGTGTTTTTCTGCATCTTGCGGGGTGGAGGACTTGGATGTGACGGGAACAGAGGGAAGGAGGTCGCTGATCGCTGAAGGGGCCATGTTTTCTTGGAGATATCTATACTGGTGTATATGTAGGCGCAATGATGGACCGCCAAGGGATATGGAGATGAAAAGAACGGAAGAAGGACCACGACGGGGGAATTGGTACCAACACAATCAGCAACTCTTGAGTGCCTCTAATACTGTATGCACGGTGGCCAACGGATATCAAAGAAGTGGCAGGCTGAGATGTTGAAAGGCGTGAAAGATATCCGGTGTCAGAGATAGATATCACCATTGGATCAACGTGGGGTCTCGGGATGCCGTGGAGAACTCCGCTTACCGTCCATTGGGTCTCTGATCTTGTAGGATCGGCTTTTGATTGAATCACAAGGCGATCAGTGGCATGCAACTCACCAAGTCGAGTGTTCCGGGGAGAGAAGCGACAGTCCGACCCTGGCAATGCGCTGAGTTGACTCTCAAGTCGAACAAGGCCAGGCTCATGAGGCCGGGCTCGATCAGGCTGCCACGGGGCTCGCCCTAGGCCTGATCCGGAATAGACTTGTCTGACGTCACAGCAAGGCTGAGCAGCCTGCGATCAAGCCTGTGTCGTTGTAAAGTGAGGGCGCTCAAGGCACTGGCACGGTAACCCTCGCTCCAGGTCAATGCAGCATGGCTTCGTAAGTAGTATGCACCGTCTTATGACTGAACTCACGCTGACACAGCCAGGAACCTCCTCGAAATCCCGTTCCGACGGACGCATTCGGTCGACCTGTCCTCCGCCATCAAACAATATATCTCGACAAAGTATGACCAGTCGCCAGGCATGTTTGCGGATGACCTGCGAGAGATTGACAGGCTGAGGAACGATGCTATCAATGTCCGCGAGGCCCATGTTAGTGGCATCAAGAGACTGCAGATATACGCGGCGCAATTGCGCTACCTCGGCGGCAAGTTTCCCATCGACATTGGTGTGGACTTTCCTTGGTACCCTGCAATCGGATACGACAGGGACAAACCGGCACTGCAGAACAACTTGAGGTTTGAGCTGGCGAATATCCTCTTCAACTTGGGTGCGCTCTACTCGCAGCTCGCCTTCGGGACGAATCGCACCTCGATCGACGGGCTCAAGTCTGCCGCTGAATATAGCATGGGCGCGGCGGGGACCTTTGCCTTCATACGGACGGAAATTCTGCCTGATATGCGATCCTCCCCGCCGGAAGATATGGATGACATAACGCTGGAGAGTCTGCAGCAATTATGTCTGGCTCAGGGACAGGAAAGCTTCTGGCAGATCGCCATCAAGAAGAACATGTCGGACGGTACTGTGGCAAAACTAGCCGCCAAGGTATCCGACTACTACATCTTTGCTGCAGATGCGGCGAGGCAATCGAGGGCCGTGAGCACCGAGTGGATCCATCACTTCCAGGCAAAACATCACCATTTCGCCGCCGCCGCCCAATTCAGGCAGGCCCAGTATTGCTTGCAAAATAAACAATACGGCGAAGAGGTTGCGAGGCTCAAGGACAGTCTTGCTTGCGTGAATGAGGGTCTCCAGGAGGGTCGGTGGATCAATCCCACCGTACTCGGAGACTTGAACGGTCTCAAGAACAGAGTCGCGGAGGAACTGAAGCGAGCTGAAAAGGACAACGATCTAATCTATTTGCAGACGGAGACGCCCAAATCGGAACTTCGGCTTCTGGATCGGACGAACATGGTGGCCGCAAAGACGCCTAACGATGTGCAGAATGGAATTTCCCTGCTGGGCGAGGGCAAACCCTTCGGGCGGCCCTTGTTCGAGAAGTTAGTGCCATACGCAGTTCATCAGGCTGCGTCGATATATGCCGACCGGAGAGACCGTCTTGTCAGCCAGTCGATCATTGTCGATCTGGAAGCCATGACCGCCAGGCTCAGAGAGGTGCTCGAGTCGCTCGATCTGCCTGGGTCCTTGCAGGCACTGGAGAAGCCACTCGGTCTGCCCGGGAGCCTGGTGTCCAAAGCCGAAGAGCTGCGACAACAAGATGCTTTGTATCGGATCAAGAGGTCAATGGAAGATACGACCAAGCTAAAAACCAACGATCTCGCAGTCTACCAGGAAGGGGTTGCATTGCTAGAAGCCGAGAAGGCTGAAGATGACCGTGCGCGGGCGAAATATGGCACGGATAGATGGAACCGACCGCCGTCTACGCAGGCCCTGGCAAAGCTCTACCAGAACTCTACCGAGCTCAAGGCGTACCTCAATTCTGCCGGCTCAAGCGACAGCCTGGTGCAAACGAAGTTCCGAGAAAACGAGCACATCCTCAAAATCTTGACCGGGACGAATCGAGATCTTGAGCGGTTTGTCCCGTCTTCCAGTCAAGTCACCATGACACCGGCAATCGACCAAGCCGCTTCTCGCTTACGAACAGTTCTCAATGAGGTCTCTCGGCTAGAAACACGGCGCAAAAACAGGATGGCGGCACTGAAGGAGAAGGCAAAGGCTGACGACATTGGCCCGGCCTTGCTTGCCGAAGCCGCACGCCTCGAGCGGGAATATCCCATGCAAAAGATCGAGCCTGGCCAGTTCGAGAAATTGTTCGAAAAGCGTCTGGAAGCTTACGAACCTGATCGCGAGGCTCTGATCGTCGAACAGGAAGAGCAGGATCAGATTGTAGCACGATTGCGAGAGGCAAACAAAGCGTTTTTGGACGCTCGACGAGGTGACACGAGCACAAGAGACCGGCAGAAGGCGCTCCAAGCTCTCGACACGGGCTATGCCAAATACAAGGAACTCATCAGCAATCTCGAGACTGGACGGAAGTTCTACAACGACCTCGCCAGCCACGTCACGCGTTTTAGGGAGAACTGCAAGACTCAAGTCTCTGAGCGGAGGGTTGAGGCCAGTCAGCTTGAGGCGGAACTCGCTGGACAAGATATGGGCAGGCTCAACCTCCAGGAGACGCGACGGGAATTGAGGAGTCAGAACGCCGCCGCACCGCAAACGAGGAGTCGTGCGCCACAACAGCCGCCGGGAGACGGGCAAGAGGCCATGGCGGCTCCAATACCGACAAGAAACCCTCCTGCAAGCGTCATGCCCTCGACAGCGCCCTTGCCCGTCAATGTCGCTGGTGGCACCATTGCAGGTGGCGGCATATGGACGCCGGACATTGGGATCAAATTCGGGGGAGTGTCCAACCAGCCCGGACAGGCGGGATATCCTGCTCCGAGACGACCTTGACTTTTATCTCTGAATAGCACCTATCCACGGGGCAACGTCTAATGAGATACGAAGATGTATGTGCAAGTATCCATCACCCCGTTTTCGCAGGGCAACTCCCATGCTGGCCGATTCTCAATTCTCCCTATTCCGCACAACGCTACCGTGTTCCTAATCTCATTCTCTTTATGAGGAGAGCCCTCCCCAGTATGAGATGACGTTGAGGGATCGAAGAACTCCATCCCCAGCAAAGTTAATGTCCAATGGATCCCCCTTCCAGGTCTCCTCGTCTCAACAGCAATAGGGTGTAATACAAGAAGAAGTACGGACTCGATCCTCTACTTTGCCTTCTTATATATGGTGTCGGTGATTACCTAACGATCCGTTCTTGAGCTGGTGAATTTGCTCCCACATATTCGGCCTGTTGTGTCGTGTTTTCTGCATCAGGTATTATTAACGGCGAGGATGTCATATTTCATGTGCTCAACTGTTGCTTTTTCGCCATGGTGCTACCGTTGTGACTGCCGTGTGCCCATAAACATGTACGTATACAGGAGAATATTGCATCGTCGATCGGGATGGACAGCTCCTGCCAGAACCACCTGGGAAGTACCGCGATTGTCTGTATCGGCTTGTACTGACGATGCTGCCGGACCTCAAGCAAGTTACTGTGTGGTTGCCGGTAGTTGTATGCAGTCACATGGTGTGAGCAACGCCTTCAACCTGGTCAAACGTCGTGCTGCATGTGCTGCATGGCGGCCATAATCTGGTTGAACGACGGCTGCCAAAAGGGGCAGGAACTCTAGTTCTAATCAAAGAAGGATTACTCCGTACTTCAGTCGGACTCGATGCAGGTAATCACTAATCAACTGCAACGTCGGTGTCCTCTCTGACTGGCCGCTACCTCGCACCGCTTTGGGCAGTTGGATTTCGGGCCTAAGTCGAAGGCGGGAGGAACAGCCTTGTCGGGGCATCAAGGGCTCCTCCAGGGCTGCAGGTACGGAGTACAGGGACCCAGCGAGGCATGGCCCTTGTCCCACTTGGTCAGGGCAAAGTCAAACCAACGACACCCCTCATAATCGAGAACGAGGCACTGGCATCTCTCCCGTCCAAATCCAACAATAGTCCTCCGTTGATCACCGATTTCCATGTGCAGAGAGACAGCTCGTGTGCGACAGAATGCGTTGACTTCCATGACGTCCGATACGGGCAGGTTCCCGAAACCATGGGCCGTGACAGCCTCCGACCCTTGGATGCCGTCCAGTGGGAGGGCTCGGTCACTCTCCGGCGCCGAGCAGACGTGCTTCCAAGAGAGTCGGAAAGTCTAACTCACGACATAGACGAGGGCGCAACTTACAGCTCTGAAGATCGTGGCCATGCTCGAAAGGAGACCATCCCGTCCAAACCAACTGCACGGCAACATGCGGCAAGGAAGCCTCATCTCAAACGTGCGGTCAAGGGTCGGAAGCATGTCCACGGATTTTATCCAAAGAAGGCCGTTTCCAAGAAGGAGAAACCTGACGAGTCCCTCCCAGTGTTGAGGTACAACGAGGGCCCATCGTGGCTGCTGGAACTCGACGGCGAGGAGATCAATCCCTTGCTACCGTCGCCGTTCCCCAATGATCTTGTTAGGAGACACATGCACAGTCGTCAGTCGACCAGAGGTGATCTCAACCAGTGGGAAGCATACTGATTATTCTTCCTAGTTCCCGAAGTGCTGGCTAAGCTGGTCTCAAAGGCCGCTTTGAGTGCCCCCTATGGCCGTGCTTTCTCGAGCGATCTCATGGCTTCGCTGTCGATGCACCCGGCCCAACTGCACGCCATGATGTTTGCGGTGATGGTCCACGATCGCATCCAGCAAGGGATCAGCAATCCAACCGCAACGGAGCTCATGGTCGGCATGGAAGCCATCCGACATCTCAACAAGGAGATCAGCAGTCCGGACCCTGAACGAGCACTCTCCGACTCGAACATCTGGGCCGTCCTGGTGCTCGCGTACTCTGGAAGGGAGGACAAGCTGAGACCCGCGCAGAGTTACCCCCGGCAGAGCTTCCTGAGAGAGCTGCAATCGATCCACATCTATCTGAAGATGGACATCGTGATCGAGCATGTCCTCGGCCTGGTCAAGATGATGGAGCTGCTGGGAGATTTGCGGAAGATCAAGACGCCCGGGATCGCACAAACCGTGTCGTGGTAAGTCGTCCCCAACAGACTTTGGGCCATGTTTAGAGCGCAGCTGAGTCCGTACCAGGGCCGGTGTAATGGGCGCGGTCCGCAATCTCACCCGACCAATCTTCCCGTTCGTGTCCCACACGGCGACCTTCGTCCACGAAGACGGCCGGCTCGCGGTATCGCAGCACGAACGCGAGGCCGTGGCCAAAGACCTAGGCCTACTGGGCGCCGGCTTCTGGCAAGTCTGGAGCTTGAACGCCGCCTCCACAGCGGCCTACCTTGACCGTCTCTTCGAGGTCATCCAAGACATGGCCGACTTCACCATTGTGGTCGAGAACCACGCCAGTGGACGGTGGATACCCAGAACATCCCCCGAGATCATCGACCAGCGAAACTTTGTGCAGCATAAATTGATGTCTCTGCACTCGGAGGAGGAATTGGTCGTCAGCGGTGGGCTTGTCGCGGAGGACATCGATGTACAATACGAGACTTGCCGCCTTGCCTGCATAGTCTACTCGTTTCTGGTGGTGTTCCCCGTCCCCCCAGTCGTGGGACCCTTCGAGACCCTCGTGGGGAGGTTGAAGCGCACGCTGAAAGCGACCGACTGGACAGTATTCGACAGGCCCCGGCTGCGACTACATTTGTGGATTCTGATCATGGGCTCGATCGCTTCCATCGGACTGCCGGATCGTCCTTGGTTCCTGCTAAGAGTTATGGAGGTGCTCGAAGACGTCGGCATGACGAACTGGAAAGGCTTGAAAGCATTGTTGAAGACATTCTTGTGGCATCCGCGGACCAGTGACTTAGACGGGCTTGACATTTGGAAAGCGACTCAGCACGCAGATACCCCCGATTTAGCACAATGACATGCATACCATAAATCCACTGTCCAAAAGACTCTCCCGGTGGAGATTCTCGGCAACCTGACAGCTGATGTATTATCGTTTGCTTTCTTCCCTTGCTCTGTGTGCGCTTGCGCGGTGGCAGATTGAAGAATCAGATCGCATACGGTGCTTTTGCATTCGTGGCACAATAAAGCTCCAAGTTTCCAGTACATATCTTCTACAACGGATGATGAACCTCCCCACCGCCTTGTAAGTTTGGTACGACCATTCAACATAGGAATGAAAGCACCATGACCATCGACCATAAAACTCGCTGCCACATTGCCAGTCTCCAAGGGTATCTATCCAACGCAGTAAAGACTGTCTGTCCAAATGCCTAAGCCGGGCAAAACGTATATCGTAACCAAAGAAAAAGGTGGAGGGCACCTGTGAACCCCAGTCCGAATCACCGGAAATATCACCTCGACATGCCCTGGATCCAATCCGCATTCAAGGGGAATTCGGGGAACTCGGAGAATCCTCCCTTCCCTAGGTAACTCGCCAGATCAAACTGCGATGCCATCCGCTGGTATGTCTGCGCGGACGCCGACTGCTGCTCATATACTGACGACGAAGAAGAAGCGGACGATGACGAGGCGGAAGACGACGCTGATGGGGAGGGTGGCCACCCCCTCTCAAGCTCCTGGGAGGACTTGAGGAATTCGATGTCCTGGAGAAGTTCCTCGACGCGCGAATGAAGGTGTTCGATCTCTTGGGCTCGTTGCGAGCAGGCGTGGTTCAGCGCCTCGTGCAGCTGGCGGAGTCGCGCCCATTCCGCCTCGAGGGCCTCGACCCGGACTTTCTGCCGCGCGCGGAACGCTTGCTGGGCCAGTCGGTTCTGTTTTCTTCGGCGCTGCACAGAAACAACGCCCTTGTCAGCGGTGGCGTCCTATAGTACGGACGGGCGGGAAGGGGGTGCGCGTAGGTACATACCTCGCGCATCTCTGCCGTCTCCCCGACTTGGGGTGGGCTTCCTGCGTCTGACGGCGTAGACATCCTCCTTTCAGCGCGTTGCGCAACTGACTCTTGCGGAGGTTGAGCTGGTTGGGAGCCCATGGTCGTGTGCAGTCAAGAGTGCGGTGGAGGTGGACTGTAGATGTGAAACTCGTACACCACAATCTCGGATTCAAGGGGGCACCCAGGAGATTCAACAGCCAAGTTGTGACGTGCGAGGTAAATGATCCTTCAGAGGGCGTTTTGGTATCACTCGAGGTCGATCACAGCTCCCAATGACGGTGGCAAGGGGTTAATAAATCGACCTCGACCACACACCATGGAAACATCTTGGCTTCTTGTGTGAGATCTGGCCCGTCTGGAGCCTTTACTGGAACGTTCATCTGCGCTGGCGTATGCCGACCGACGCAGAGGGCAACTAACAGAGAATAAGATTCCATCATTTGCTGGTCTCGGAAGGTGACTGGGAGCAAGGTTTCCTGCATGGTGCATCCGAGTGCTGAGCGATTGTTTGTACTGTTAGCGGACCCGACAATCCGGAGTCACACATGGGAGATGTTTCCACCACCACCGTCCTTAGCACTGCGCGCGGCCGGCGGATGGCTCCGTGGAAAGCTCCATATCTGTCGCTCCAGCCAGACACAGCACGATGAACCTGTTGCCCGCTACGGCATGCCCCAAGGGAAGGAAAAGTGGCGTCGGAAAAGCTTTTAGGCAGTGGGCATCTCCACGGGCGAAGGGGGCCGCCTGCTTACCTCAGTACTTAGGGGCTTCGGGGCTTAGGGGCTTAGGCACCCCTGTCGGAAATCCAACTGCCCAAAGTGGCTGCCGGGGGCGCCCCTCGTATTACCTATGGGATTCCACTGGCGTTGGCACTGGCACTGGCACTTGCTTAGGCGAATGTGCGGTTAGTCAGCCGCTGCGCATGCACGTGTTCGCACGCAGCCGAATTCGTCTTGGTTCCCGAGCCAAATCTGCACACTCTCCTCTCTTCGGCCCTATCAACCCCCCCCCCTCCTTTTGCTTTCCTCGGTCAAGATCGATGATGCTATCCTCCTACTCCTATCAGTGACGCGCTGGGAATGTCGAATGTGCGTGACATCAGACGTCATGCATCGCGCCGCATACTGTTAGCTTCGACCTTACTCGGGGTTCCTGACCGGTCATCCGGTATCGAAACAGCCATACCGTCGGTACCACAGGCCACCTCGCACGGCGTGTCGACCAACCACCATGCGCCGTCCCGTTTCGACATAGAATGTCAGATCCGACCGCGGAAGAACCCACCAAGCCGGACAGGAGCGAGGCACCTCCAAGGCTGAGATTTGTTACGGCACGACCAGACACCAAGCAGGGCAAACAGGAGGCTAAAGCAGCAATCCGGGCTCACGCTTCACAGGCCTCGTGGGCGAAAATCCGGAAGAAGGGCAAGCAGCTAAAGCAGCCGGGTATTGGTTCAGGCGACACCGCGCGTCCTGACCAGCAGCAGCAGCACCGCCTAAGCTCCGCTGGTGAGCCAGCCAGTTCCAGTTCCAGCTCCAGTGCCAGCGTCAGTGTCAGTGTCAGTGGCAGTGCCAGTACCGCGCTCGTATCACGTTTCGACGACGACCCACCACATAATGTCGACCACGCGTCCGGAGCTCCTGCAAGCGCCCGACAGGTCGTGCCCTCGAGGGCTGCGAGACAGTCCATTCTCGGATCGATCAGTGTCCCCAGTCCTCTCCGAACGGTCGGCGCGGGGGACGTTGATCCTTTTACAAGCTATCCATCACGGCTGCCCAAGGAGGTGGCCGCCCCGATCATTAGTCAAGGTAAGCCCGGGCTCCGATTCCCACCACGCTCCAGAGTTGCGGCATGCAAGCAATCCGCCCGACACGTGTTTGTGCGGAGACTGATGTGTCTCGGCCTCGCCTCTCTTAGTCAACCACTTCCTCAATATCATCTTCCTGCCAGATCCAGACCGACCCACGCCGAGCATCGTGGAGCGTTGGATATCTTGCTACATGAAAGACAGCACCTTCTTCCATGCTATCTGCTTCGCCCAATTGGCAAGGTCGTTGGCGACAGAGACTCGCTTGAAACCGATCAACCGAAAGGCGTATTGGTATTGCTACGCGGAGGTCGTGCGCGAGGTTAATAGACGATTCAATGATCCTGCGGAACGATGTTCCGACGAGACCATCTTCGCCGTGCAGGCGTTGGCGTTCCATGGCGACGCGACCACGGACGAAGCCGACACCCCAAGATCGCCCTCGCAGGGCCCCATGAACAGCATGCAGGGCCTGGACATCTATGCAGGTCGACTGAACCCCGTTTCTATGCACGTCAACGGATTGGCGAGAATGCTGGCGTTGCGGGGAGGGATTGCCGACATCGAGCTGCCCGGACTGGCGGCAATGCTGAGCTAGTAAGAACCGCCATGCATCTGAGACCACCCTCCCTTCCAGCTGACCCTGTCGCGCCGATTGGGACTTCCTGCTCGTTCGTCGTCAGTGCTGATTACTCGTCCATAGTGGAGACCTGCTCCTAGCGTCCCGATCTCTGCACAACCCAGTCTATCCCTTCGTTCCCATCGGCGAGTCACCGGCACGCTCCCTAGCCGACGTTAGTCGAACCGATCACCCTCTAGCCAAACTCGGCACTGGGTTTCAAGTGCTGCGTGATCTTATTTCCAACGAGGAATCCGCACAGCGGCTCCTCTCGACTCTCTGCAATCTCGCAGCCTATTCACTCGGTGTCTATGACTATATCATGGGCAGGCCGCAGGCGCCGAGCCTCAGAATCCTCGCCGACCAGCGGAACTTTGTCCAGCACAGTCTGATGCAGATGTGCGCCACGCCCAGCGACCGCACCGCCGAGGCTGCAACGAACAACCCTTTGAGCACCTTATTGCTGGAAGAGGCATGTTGGTCAGCTGCCGCCGTGTACAGTCTGATCGCCGTGTTTCCCGTTCCTCACCCGAACGCTCCGTTTGCCGAACTCGCCAAGCAACTCAAGCAGCACCTCGTCGACACTTCATCGCACTTTGCACGGACATGGCAAAAGCCTTCACCGCTTGTATTGTGGATGACCTTCATGGGCGCTCTGGCCTCTATGGCCGCTGAAGAGACCAAGGAGGAAAACGCATGGTATATAACCGTGCTTGAACGGCTGGTGCACAGGATGGAGATTCCCAGCTGGGTGAGGTTGAAGGACCTGCTGATGGATTTCCTGTGGTTTCCAAACACGAGTGACCCAGATGGGCAGCAACTGTGGAAGGAGATACACACGTCCAATCCATTTGGATGAAAAAGTGCTTCTCACTGCGCATATACTCCTGCGGCCTAGGACACACGATGCAAGAGCAGGCTAATGCGTTGAACTTCGGCCAACACTATAACCATCCCCCATCGGTACCGGCCCTCAACTGCTCCTAGAGCTGTGTGTGTGTGTCTGCACGTCCTATTTCCGCGATCGGTACGACACGGGACGACACGACTGCATGATGCCTTCCTGACCGGCGCACAATATCCGGGCCGTTGCAGACAGCACAAGTCCAAAGAAACAGACATAAAAGAAGCTCGGTGAGATGTCTGTTGTCGTGATTCCAGAATTGAACAACCGAACGGGTTGACTTTTGTGAGAATCCGAGGGTTCCTCCTCACAATCATCGCGAAACCGCCCGTCAGTTAAGGAAACAGCATGCGAACTATCCAGATTGGTTCAGAAGATCAACCACCTAAGGCGATTGCGAGAGACACCTTTGTGATGGAGAACCCGCCCAATATCTGGTTCGATCATGACGAACGCAAGCTCACCAACGGTCGTAACAGACATTCAAGAATTCACGGTATTGGAGAAGAAGTTAGGCACTTGCGGCACATCTTTGAGGCCGACCGAGGCGGAGCACATGCAAATAGGGACCTGACGAAGCGACGCTTGCGATAGTCGAGAAGCCCGGGTTTATATTATATTTCGGGGAGGAAGGAAATCAGCTATCCGACGAATGGCATGCTCCGTGTATAGATACCACGCTCAATGGCGACGTGAAGGAAGAACATCCGTGAAAAGATGGGTGAGTCGTCTTCAGTCATGCCATGTCATGCTGATTGAGATATCTATCTCAGTACCAGTCTCGGTATCAGTACCTGCTACGCTCTCATGATTGAAATGCTGATATGGTTGCCGCTGAGAGAGGGTCAGAAGCTGTGGCAGGGATCGGCTTGGCGGAGCTGTTGAGATCGAGCATCTGTGGACCGCCTCTCGGTGAGAAGGAGAGCCAGAGGAGATCGAGTGAAGAAGAGACGGGGAGAGGATTGACTGCAAAACCAAACTGCTGCTGATAAAGGCTGGCTGCAGTATCGTCAATCACGTGATAAACGCCACAAGAAGAGTTGCGGCTGGAGCGCGAGCTAGACCTATCTTGGCTAGCACATATTGGCACTACATATTCCTCAGGCTTCGACCTGCGAACCATTGAACCATTTACTCTTCAATCGTCCTCGTACTGATATATTCAAGGCACCTGTGATTGTAGTCAGGCTTACACGACCTTTTCGAACCACACATACTTGCTTGCCCTGTTCCGAAGAGCACAAGAAGCTGCTCCTGGACGATCATTTGACCCCGCCAAGTTCAACATCTCAAGGTCGTCAGCAAGATGCGGCTCAAAGACGTCCAACGTCTAGAATTACCGCCGTCGGCAGATATGCATGTCCATTTGCGGCAGGACCAAGTAAATGTCCCAGCAGCCCCGATACTGGACTAGACTGAAATCATACCTCCCGGTCTGCAGGTCATGGAATTGGTGGTTCCTCAGATCTTGAAGGGCGGAGTAGACACCGTCTTTGTCATGGTATGTAGATCTTGAGACGTGCGATACTCACTTTCACGTCGGCTGAACTGCTTTACAGCCCAATCTGCAGCCGCCGATCACGAGTGTAGCCCAAGCCTTGGAATACCAGTCGCGTCTACAGGCTATTGAACCCAAAGTCCATTACCTCATGTCACTCTACGTGGGTCATCTGTGGTCTCCGAGGCGGTAGTTGTCGCGGCGGTCTAACGGCACCAGCTCCATCCCTCCATTACGCCCGAAGTCATCGCCGAAGCCGCAACCGCAGGGATTGCTGGCGTCAAGATGTATCCTCAAGGTAAGGCATGGCACAGCGTGAATGAGGAGGTGTTCTGCCTCCATGCCGAATGGTGTGTTGATACAGTCTTCTTTCTTAGGCGTGACCACGAATTCCGAGTCAGGTGTGCCGGCGGATTTTCTAGACGCCTACCCCCCCGTCTTCGCTGCCATGGAGCAGCATGACCTGGTCCTCAACCTGCACGGAGAGTGGCCGGGACGTCTGCCAAGCGATGATATTTCCCTCGAAGAAGCGTTCCTACCGCAGCTGATGAGGCTTCACGAGAAGTTCCCGCGTCTGCGATGTGTTCTTGAGGTGAGTAATTAGGTCGTGGTCATAGATTGACGCTACTACAATAATGACACATGTCGCAGCATTGTTCCACCGCCGCGGCTCTCGATGCCGTACGGGCTTGCGGTCCATCCGTTGTTGGTTCGTTTCGGCCGTCCCTGTACACCCCGACCCTGATACCACCGTGGCCCATGACTTTCCAACTCCGCTTTTCGTTTGTCGCCGCCGCTGCTGGTCTCGCTCTTCTAAAGATATGGCTCCCGCAGGAACGATAACCGCACATCATCTCTACCTGACCGGACAAGACAGCCAGACAGACCCTCTTGCGTTTTGTAAACCTATCCCCAAGAAGCCGTCAGACCGCGATGCCCTGATCAGAGCTGCTTGTAGCGGCGACCCGAAGTTCTTCTTGTAAGTCAGTCACTTGGGGCAATCAGTCGGCTCCGGGTCGCGTCCTTCTCGCGGTATCATCTGGTCTGACCTGTCATGCGCTAACTGTGTGTGTGTGCCTGTTTGCCCCACAGCGGCAGTGATAGCGCACCGCACCCTCTCGGTTCCAAGACCCAAGGCGGCCAAGCAGGTCCAGTCCCGGCAGGGGTATTCACGCAGCCATTCGCCACCCAGCTCGTGCTTCTAGCCTTCGAAGAGGCAATTGCCAGGGGTGTCCTCGGACCGGACGAAGTCACGCAGGACCATCTCGAGCAGTTCCTGAGTCGATCTGGGAGACGGTTCTACAAGTTGCCTCTGCGGAGCACTGACCCTGGCAGTGCCGCCGGCAAAGGACAAGGACAAGGACAACCCAAGATCGTGCTTGAACGGAAAGGCGAGACTATTCCCCCGAGCATAAAGACCGAGGATGGTACTCTGGAGATTGGCTTGTCAAAGGCCTCGGCTCCGGTGTTCAGTCTAAGCTGGCTTACGTAGGAAAGTAGGTAGGCCAGTCACGAGCGACTCAGTCACGCAGTCGGCCAACGACATACAGCGCAAGATAAAATGGCATTGACGTCGCTATTGTATGCGATTGCGATCAGTGTCGAAACTTGAAGGCTCGAAGGTCGAAGAGTCGAAGGTTCAAGCTAGGAAAATAAAAATCATAGATGGCGCCGGAGAACACGTGAAGCGGACTACGACATTAGACTCGAATGAACGTGGACATGAACATGACCGTGGACATGAACATGACCGTGGACATGAACATGACCGTGGACATGAACATGAACGTGGACATGAACATGCAAACAGCCAGGCATCGGTGATTGTACCCTTTGTTACCGTGCAAGGTCTTGTGATCTCCGTGTGACGGCGGAGGTCAACACACACTCATACGTTAGACGGTGATGATCGTACTCATGGTTGGTGCTATCTCTAGTATTTTGATATCCCTAGTATTTTGATATCCCTAAGTGTAGGGTACTCCTCTCCCACACCATGCCCTACCACGCCACGCCATGCCATGCCGCGCCCGAGTATGCTCTGCTACGAAATGAATACAACACAATGGAATGTGCGATGCGATGCGATGTAATGCTATGCGACGTCTCCAACCATTCCCCCTGTTCTACAAGCTCCAAGACTGACCTCCGAACCGTCTCCCGAAAATACCGTGTGCGTGTACTCCATCACTGCTTGCTCGTGCCGTGCCATGCCATGCCATGCTTCACGGATTATTCAACAATAGCTCACAACCTCGCCTCTGCCGCCCCGACCCCGATGTCCCTACTCGTACTCTCCTGCCTTCTCAGCTCGGCTAGCTCGTTGGCCCCGGCCAGAGCCAGCACAACCTCATCTTCATCTTCATCTTCGTTGTCGGCAAATCGACCGATCGTCCCGGGAAAGCGTCCCTCGCGATATCTGGCCCACGCGTCCTCGACGACCTCCAGGGCATCATACCCGAACAAGAACTGCTGAAAGACGGGATCGCGCCATCGATTCTGGTATCCCTCAAAGGGCGCGTCGTTCCACGCGAGCAACTGCCTGTCCCGTTCGCGCTGGCGAGGCCCGTCGTGGAGATGGAAGATTTCACGCCCGAGGTGCGAACTGCCCGTGACGACGCGCGTGGTGCGCGGCTTCCGGAGACCCTCGTAGATGGCGAGCACGTCGGCGAGTTGGCCGCGGCGCTCGATCTTGTCCAACAGGTGGCCCAGCACGGCGCCGTCCTCGACGGCCTGCGCGGCGCCCTGGGCCAAATAAGGGAGGGTGGCGTGGCAGGCGTCGCCCAGCAGCGTGAACCGCCCTCCCGGGTGACTCCAGCTGCTCATCTCGCGCGAGTTCTGCAGTCGCCATTTCGACGTGTCGTTGCACAGGTCCAGCAGGGCGCGGAGCTGCGGGTCCCACTTCTCGAACAGGGCGTGCATCTCCTCGCGGTCGGCTTTTTGCTGGTTCACAAACTCCGGCAGGTTGTCCGGGCACGCGATCACGACGTTGTACAGGTTGCCGCCCTTGAGCAGGTAGCACACGGCGTGGCTGTCCGGGCCCATCCAGTAGTTGATGTTCGGGGTCGAGGCGAGGTCGCGGAGCACGGGGTGTTCGCGCATCCGGTCCGCGGGAACGACCATGCGGTACGCCAGATCGCCCGTCAGGTGTGGCGGGTCCGGGCGGCCCAGGAGGGCTTCTCGACAGACCGACTTCAGGCCGTCGGCGCCGATGATGAGGTCTGCCACAAAGGGCTCCGGTCGGTTCTTGATGTGCACGGCTGGCGTGGCAAAATCGATTTCGGTTACAAACGAGTCCAGGATGATCTCCACCCCTTGACGCCGGGCTTCTTCGACGAGGATTCGGTGGTAATCGGCCCGGTGTATGTGCAGGTATGGATAGCCGTAGGTGGATTCACAGTGCGGAATCAGGGGCTGGGTCGACAGGACCTTGCCGTCGCGGTAGGAGCGCAGGATGAAACTTTGTGGCCGCACCGAGACGGCTTCGAGGGCGGGCAGAAGACCCCAGCGGGACAGAATGCGGGTGCTGTTCGGGGGAACCTGGATCCCAGCGCCGACCTGTATACACGGTGTCAGGGCGGGACGGAGGCACATCAGTGAAATGGGCATGGCTCGGTCGCACTCACCTCTCCCAGGGCGGGAGCTTGTTCGAGGATTGTGACTTTGTGGCCGCCTCTGACGATTGAGATTGCGGCAGCTAGACCACCCAGGCCCGCGCCAACGATACACACGTGGAGATGAACTTTGCCCATGATTTCTGGCTCTGCTCGTTGCGCGACGAAAGGCGCACCCGTTTGAGACGGTGCCGGTAATAAGGCTGTCCCTGATCAGGGGCTGATGACGTAATCCCCACAGTGTCGAGATCTTCGCAAAGGAAGATTCCGAAAAACTCGCCAAAGACTCGCAACGGGACAGGCAGACGAGATCTCGGAATCGTCCGATAAGTTTCCGTTAGCCGGGCGGTATCACAGGCGGATGCTGTTCACTGTCTTTTGCGTGATGGAAATCTCGTAATCTGCCGACAGTTCTCATTCACTGGTATTATATCCTCCTTGCCTCGATGTTCAAATAGCGCACTCTCAATACCGTGCTGAGTGCCGAAAGTACCTGTGACATATCCCCCCTCCCCCAGCGGAAAAGAATTCGCATGTGGCCCACAGACTCGAAAGACCGTTGCGAGAGACCCAGGCCCACACCCGCCGTCTGTTTGAGGGACCGAGTCTGACAGCGAGACAGTCCATGGTGGCCTTGTACCTTCGTACAGGGTCCTCGTACAGAGCACATATTGTAGAGAGACGGCGGCTGCCACGGATTGGCGCAGTTTCTCTCGGGCTGCACACTCTGCCGCTGCCGGAGCCACGCCATCGGAATATTCCTTATCACGTACAAGTAAGCGGCGAAGGGTGCATTAGGAATACCTTGGCTTTCGTCTGCCGCCAGCACGCCACCTGTCATATTGTCATACTGGTCATCTGACGGTCCATCTGCGCGGTTTCGTGGCGGCTGCGCTTCATCGTCGGTTCCAGTCCTCGGCAGTGAAGTTTCCTCCGGCTTAGAGGTCCTCTCACGTGACTCGACAGCCCCAGACGATGATCGAGCACTTCCAGAGCGTGCGCCTGGCCTGGTGGATACGCTGAAGCTGGGGAAGGAGAGTTATACGAGTATATAGTGTCGAATCTGCGAGGAAATACACTCCGGAAAGTCACCCCTGGTAGGCGGGCACTGTTTGTCGTGAGCACCAGCTGGCCCCCGGGATCCAACTCTCACCCTCTGGCTGTCCAACTAGAAGGCCATTCCCTCAAACACAATAGACGTTGAGTCAAGTGATGTGCCGAGGGAGCATGTCAGGCACAAGAAGCGTTGCACACGGGTAATCTAAACAGGAGACTTCAGGTCAATGGACATTAATTGAAGTTTCGGACGAGCACTCGATGCTCGTCACAATGGTTCACTATTCTATGGATAGTCTAGACGAGCGAGCTGTAGATAACAATACTTGCGAACGACCCTCCAACGGCACCTACTGCACCACTATCAATGCCCACCAGCGTTGTTCGCACAGCTGAACGGCTTGGTAGTCGTCCCGTTCCTCACCATGCTGTGTACACTGGCCCAGGTGCCGACTCCGAACAGGAGGAGCGCGAAAATGATGTTCATGACATTGACCAAGAAAAGGATCCGCTTGCCCAATGTCCACTTGCGCCACTCACGGACATTGTTCATATTCATCCAAAACATTCCCGACAAGCCAAACGTGAACCAAGATGCGAACAGGGCAGACGTGAGGCTCAACAGGTCGCCGAAGACAGGAACAGCTTCAGCGATCAACCAGGCGCCCAACCACGAGAGAGAAACCATGAGCAACCAGATTCGGTATGATGCCCAGCCCTTCTGATGCATGAGGTCGTCCTCCCTCTTGTGCAAGAGCTTGACGTAGAGGAACTTGACGCCGACGTGAGCGTTGACAACACCGGCGATGACGATGGTAGGAATGGCGACACCGTAGGCGATCTTCTTGACGACGGTGCTAGCACTATCCAAGGCTGGACTGGAAACGTTGTTCCCAGCGTAGTAGTAGACCACGACCGCAGTAATGAGGTACATGGAGATGTCGCTACACTGGAGAAATGCAAGGGCCTTGGGAAAGTCTCGGGGATTCCTCAGCTCGGAAATAAAGGTGAAGAAAGCGACATGACCGGCATACGCGAAGACCATATTGGACACCGCGTTGAACCCGGCGTGAAACGTAAGGCCCGGCCGGGGCCAAAATCTGACGACGAGGGCTCCATTAACCATGCCTGGCTTGGTGATGGAAACTCCGACCATGGTGATCATGACAGCGCCGATGATGCTGATGAAACTTGCGATGGAGTAGTAGGAGAGATGCTTCAGAGTCCGTGGCAGGGTGAAGAGGAGGCTCGGGATCGTACCGACCACCATCCAGAGGATAGTGCAGGCTCCGTGTCCGGTGATGGCGTTCATCATGATGGAAAAGGTCAAGATGTGACTGCCCATGATAAAGACGTAGAACGCAAATTGACCCCAGCCAAGAATCCGACCTCCCCATTTGCCAAAGAGGACCTCGCCGGCACAGGCGAAGGAATGGATATGAGGATGGTGCATCTTAAACTGGCCGATGACGAAGCCAGTGTAGGAAGCCATTGCGCCGAGGCAGACGAGCAAAATCAAGCCTGGGACGATGCCCAGATCAGCCATGGCCCTGGGAAGGGAAAGGATTCCAAGCGAGATTGTTTCGGCGACCATGACCATTCCAGCTTGCCACCAGATCATGCTCTTGTATTCCACGCCGCCTTCGATGCGACTGGCCATGGGATCGTGCTTTTCTGGATCCACGTTTCCATCCTTGGGCAAGGTGCCGTTGCCGCCATTGTTACCGTCGAACAACGTGTTGCCAGTAAGGCCAGGACTGAGGCCAGGCAGTCCAGAATTTGAGGATGCTTCACTGCCACGAGAAGTGGTGTTGCCGCCGTTTCCAGGAAGGCCCTGGGGATTGGAAAGGTTACTCATGGTCAAAGTAGACTTAGGATCGAACGGTGGTATCTGATAGAGCGTATGCTGTGAGTGCTCTAAGGATGGGTGGAGAGTAGCCGATGGCTGGAGCAAAGGGTCGAGGAAGGGGTCGGCTCTCCCCCAAGGGATAGATGTGTGAAGAATAAGAGCTTGGGCAAAGTAGAGCTGATGATGACAGCGCAGCGCCAGAAGGGACAACGGCGCGCCTTCTTGTAGAAATTCTGCAGGAGGGATCTGCAGCATTTGCTGGGCAAGAGCCACGACGTTATGATGGCCAAGGCAGTATTTGAGCTTCGGTCAAGCGCTACGCTGAGACAGCTCAAGCAGCCAAATAAATTCTTGCGCAGACATAGCTGTGTTCAATGATGGTACGGGCCAGTTACTGGCTTCCTTGCAAACATCGCTGGATCCGTGCTTGTCGCTCGATACTCGCCGGGTCGCGCCGAAGAAAGGTTGGCCAACGAGCGTCGACGATCTCAAAGCTTGAGCCAGTGACAAGAAATCGTCAGGCTACGCTTTACCGGCCGATGAAAATCTTATTTGTTGGCCGGCGATTCTGTTCCGATGACGGGATTGTGCCCAGACATCAACTTCGAGTCGCTCTCGAGCGTGTCCGCTGGGCCATCTGAACTCTCGTTAGGATTTTCTTCGGTTGACCGAGGACCTTGCACTTACCGTATCTCGAGTACAGCTTTCTCTCATACTCATCAGTGAATCCGGCTTTTCCGGTCTCCACGTCCCGGCGTGAGACACCTAACTTGCTTTTCGGCAGACCCATCGAAGCTAGAAAGCTGACACTTTCTCTCCACTCCAGATCTTTCCTCTTGTTGTCCCACTTCAGTTCTTCGGCCATCAAGTCGATCACTTTAGGCAACGCTTCCAGCGCGGCCTGAGCGTTCAAGAACGCCAGTCGGGTCCTTCGAGCAATCACATCGACGGCTCGCTGGGCGAATTCATGTCTCACGGCATACCGAACCTCGCCGTCTATGAATGGATACAGCGCAGAAATCCGCTTGCCCCGGACAGGAAATCTTTCGTCGGTCGGACTCGAGAGCGCCGCCACTGTCCAAGCACGGTCCCCGTACGACTCAGCGAGATGCTTGGCAACCTCTGTTTCGATGCCAAAATGCTGAATTAAATTGATAAAAAGAGTCTTGGAGAAGCCGTGGGCACCCACAAGGCGGACCTGGTGTGTTTGGCAACTGCCATCAAGAGGAGCAGCGTCGTCGATCTTCTCGGTGCCGCTGATCCGTGTAGGGGTCGTTAACGGGCTGGTCTGCAAGGCGAACTGCTTGATGGCCTCGTCGACCGCATCTTCTGCCATTTGGCGATATGTCGTCCATTTGCCACCGGCACAAGTGAGTAGCCCGGATGGCGACACGGTCACCAAGTGATTCCGAACCAGCGATTCTGTATTCTTGGCCTTCGGATCCTTGACCAAGGGTCGGATACCAGACCAAGCAGCGAGGACATCTCCCCGTCGAACGTTGATATCTGGGGACAGATAGCCTTTGATCTCGTTCAAGATCCAGCCAATCTCATCCTCTCCCGCGATGGGATGTTGAGTGATGCTGCAAGCGGCATCGGTCGTTCCAGCAATGGTATTGCCCTGCCAGGGTAGGAAAAAGATGACCCTGCCATCTGACGTTGACGGATCGATCAAGCCCATAGAGTTCTTCTGGGGGCTGTAATAGCCCGGCAGGACTACATGGACCCCGGAGCTAGGAGCGACTATTTCCTGCACGGTATGATCGTCCATCTTCCGGATCGAGTCGCAGAAAGGCCCGGTTGCGTTAATGACACCCTTGGCGCGTATCGTGATAGGTGTCGTGGGCTTGCCGTCCTTGTCGGCGATCACGTCTCGAACCACTGCTCCATTAAGTCTCCCGCTCTCGTCTTTTGTCAAGCTGGTGACCTCCATGTGGTTGACCACAGTTGCGCCATACAATGCCGCCGTAGCGGCAATCGACACGTTCATGCGGCTGTCATTGTGAGCGCCGTCATAGTAGACCAGCGCCCCCACCAAGTTCTCCTTCTTGAGCATGGGGAACGCGTCCAGCGCCTTGCTCTTGGTCAAGAAGTAGCTAGTCTCGATGCCTTCACTGCCGGCCAGCCAGTCATACATCTTTGTGCCGGCCCAAAAATAAGGTGCTTGCCACCATTTCTGCAGAGGGATCATGATGGGAAGCCAGGTTGACAGGTGAGGAGCCGTATCGAGAAAATACTTCCTCTCGCGCAGAGCCTCTTTGACCAAGGAATACTGGTTATAATCAAGCTCCCAAACAGCCTTTTCAAGATACCGGACACCGCCATGAACGAGCTTTGTGCTCTTGCTGCTCGTTCCCGCGGCGAAGTCATCGCGCTCCACAAGGGCGACTTTCAGCCCACGGGTGGCAGCATCGAGGGCGATGCCTGAACCTGTGGCGCCTCCTCCAATGACCAGGAGATCGTACGGCTCACCTGCAGCCTGTTCCGCCGGCAAGGTCCTGTCTCTTTCGTCGCTCGTTGCGCCTCTCAACCGGTCAAAGCTATTCCTCAATTGCTGAGTGATTGGTATTTGCGATGCTCCTCCCACAAGTCCACCACTTTTCCTCAGGTCGGAGATTTGCTCGGCACGAGACTTGATGAGCGGAAAGGTCGGCGGAATGATGGTGCCATCTTCCGTTCGAGGGATAGGAACAATGGCGCCCTGTGAGCCCGGTACGTTGATGGGACGGTATGAGAGATAGAAGATGGTCCCGCCAACCCCAGCGAGGGCGGCACTGGAGTAGAGGAGGGGCCTGATGAGGCGACGGGCTGAAAAGGTGCGTCCGGTAGAGGCCATGGGTTCTGGTAAACAGGATGAGTCGCGGCCCAATCGCGCGTCGGACGTTCAAACGATCAACTGTGGCGATGCTCGTGATCAAGGAGGGCTTCTTGCAGTGGAAGTCATTCCTCCCACAGTGCCATCATCCCTGAGTAGCAATCCCAAAGCTCTGAAATATAATGATCCAAGAACTCGGCGGCTTTTGACCCGGCGGGATTGCGGCTAAATTGGGTGAGGTGAGTTTGTGTTGAGCGTCTGCGGAGCGAAGGGTCGACGGAGGCGCAAGGAAATTGTAGCAGGGCCTGAAGCGAGGCGAGATGAGACGGGACAAGAGTACTCTGAGGCGATCACAGAAACGGTGTGCAGGAGCTGAGTGTCTTGGGATGTCGACCTGACGGAAAGGAAGCACCCCTTCCCGCCCTGGCTGATGTTGCTGGAGGAGACGGAAGTCGACCTGAAGCCTGCCTGCAGCTCGTCGTCATGGTTCATGGCACGCACTTTGCCCGGATGCACGTCGGTGACAGATGGCCGAACAGCGGGCACGTGGGTGCGCAGAGGGGAAGGTCAGTGGTTGAGTTAAGCATGGGGCTTGCCTGCACCCAGTCAACCCGGGCCTTTGGGGGCTTGGCTTAGGCCCGAAGCCGCACTATTGGGTGCCCTAAGCGAGCCCATGGCGCCTTCTCGGGCGTGAAGAGCGAGAGCACGACCTCTCCAAGGCCCCTTGGGCCCGTGACCAGCTTGGGCACGGAGATTCACATTGCACATGTGAAGCACTTGAAAGATGGCCGAGGACATTGTGATAGACGGCATGTGCTTTTTCACGTTACAGAGGCTCGAGTTGATGCTTGAAATTATGCTATGTTCATTCAGATCTGGTGGCTGACACTGGATGCTGGATTCCATAATCTTTGGCCGAGATGCTCAGTGCGCCGGCCACAGACAGGATGCAGATCCAACTTTTGGTGATGAAGACAATTTTGCCTCGAATTGCTCAATCGAGAGATGTTGGTGATGCAAAAGATTTAATTTTGGGCCAAAATGTCTCTTGGTGCCGCAACTGAATCGTAAATCAAGGCTTTTCCGCGTGCCCGTTGACCACCTGCTCAGCGTTCTTCTCCAAGAGATCAAAATTTATCTTCCTGGCTGGAACGCTGTCGGCGTGGGTTTCCATGTTCAATTTCGACGGGGTTGTCGCTGCTTCGCTGGCCTCTGCTGCCGTCGTCGACGTCCGCAAGGGACTGTTCGGACTGTCTGGTCCGTTCAGATTCAAGCGCTCCAAGGCTTCGAGTTCGGCTTCGGAGAACTGGCGTAAATGCTTGGGGCGGAAAGGCACGGGAGTTGAGACGCGCGAGGAGAGGAACTGGGGGGCCAATGTTAGCTCTAATAACAGGAGGGAGGAGTCACGTCGACGGTGCAGGGATGGACATACCGAGCTGGCCGCGCTCAACAACGCAATTAAACTGGCTTGGACCACATCCTCATGGATGCCCACGCCCCAGACTTTTTCATTCGAACCACTCGCCGTACACTCTATGTACGTCGCGGCTTTCACTTCCCTACCCTCTCCAATCGCATGTTCCTTGTAATCTGCGACGTCGAGGTCGATACCGAGCGAGTGCAATGCGTTGGCAAGGGAGGAGATGGCGCCGTTCCCAACACCGACGACGGGATGTTGAACACCGTCGATGGCGATTATACCGGCGAATTGACGCTTCGCGGCCGAGGTATTCTGCGCGGGCGCCTGAGTCTGGGGGGGTTGGCCACGAGAAGATTTTGGCGGGGCAGGGGACGGTGACCGCACGGCTGTGATGTTATAATCGATGAGCGTGAAGCGCGGGTTCTCTTTCAGATGGTAGGATTGCTCGAACAAGGCTTGGATCTCGCGCGGCAGGAGTTCGCGTCCTTTGGCGTCGGCTTCCTTCTGCACAATCTTGCTGAATGCGACTTGGAGGCCGCGGGGCAGGTCGAGTTCGAGACTGCGTTGGATGATCCAGGCCACGCCGCCTTTGCCGGACTGTGAGTTAACACGGATGACTGCCTCGTACGTGCGGCCGATGTCTTGCGGGTCGAGGGGTAGGTAGGGCAATTCCCAGGGATCTTCGGGTCCTCTTCCTTCCTTCTTGCGGAGTTGGAACCCTTTTTTGATGGCGTCCTGATGTGAGCCGCTGAACGCGCAAACAACCAACTGCCCGCCATACGGCCAGCGCTCGTTGACAGGAATTTTAGTCGACTCCTCACACACACGGATCACCTTGTTGATGTCGCTGAAGTCGATATTCGGCCAGATCCCCTGCGTGTACAGGTTCAGGGCCAAAGTGACCAGATCAACATTTCCCGTCCGCTCGCCGTTGCCGAACAGGGTGCCCTCAACTCGATCTGCGCCAGCCATCTGCGCTAGTTCCGCGGCAGCAACCGCGCATCCTCGATCATTGTGAGGATGAACCGAGACGCAGAACTTTTCGCGCTCGGTCATATGCGTGCAGAAATACTCCACCTGGTCGGCGAAGATGTTGGGGGTGGCCATCTCGACCGTTGCGGGCAGGTTGAAGATAATCTTCGAGTCTTCGGTCGGGCCCCAGGCCTCCTTGACAGCTTCGCATACCCGTACGGCGAATTCGGGCGATGTATCTGAGAAGGTCTCTGGGCTGAACTCATACAGCCATTCCGTCCCGGCATGACTCGGGTCGTCTTTTGTAATTGAGCGGGCGAATTGGGTGCACTTGACAGCCAAAGCTAGAGTCTCTTCCTCGGTCATGCCAAAGACAATCCTGCGGAAGCACTCGCTCGTCGCGAGGTATAGATGTAGGATTGCCTTTTTCGCGCCTCTCAAAGATTCCACTGTTCGTCGTATGAAGTCCTCGCGGCAAGGAGACAAAACTTGCAAGTATACATCGTCCGGAACAACGCCCGGAGTGTCGACCAGGCTTCTCGTAAAATCGTAGTCGGTCTGTGAAGCGGAAGGAAACGAGACCTCGATCTCCTTGTAGCCGAGTTCGACGAGCATCTTGAAGAAGCGCAGTTTCTGTTCACCGTCCTGCCTCGACGTCAGTCTTGACGGCACAAACCCCGTCTGTAGCCGCATACCATAGGATCCACTAAGCTCTGGTTTCCATCTCGCAAATCTGTGGCGAGCCACCGTGGGGGCTTGTCGTTGGTTCTCGAGGGCCATTGTCGGTTGGGTAGGTCAAGTGGCTTGAACTTGCGGTATTTCTTCCAAGGCTCACGAAGCCTGTGGGTTTGTTAGTAGATGCGGTCAAAGCAAAGCAGCCCGCAGCGGTCATAAACATACATAGGCATGTTGGCGGAGCCTCCTCGAGTATTTCTCTCTAGAACCAAATCTTTCGACAAGCGAGTGTCTGAGTCACTGCGCTTGGTGGTGGTGCTGAGCGCGAGCCAGCGTTGGCTTCGAAAGGGTCCGAGTTATTCTGGTACCGGCCAATTCAAAGGGAAGCCCAGGCAGATAAGACAGCGGGAAAAACAGCAAATGCTATGCTTATAGTGAGAATATGAGTCAATCGACCCAAAGGCCCAAGAGGCAAAAAGTTTTCGAACAGCGGCCGCAAGGCGGGGCAGCGCACACAAACGTCCAGGGTGCAAACGGGCTCAATGGCGTCTGCAGGTGGAATCGGATTGTGCGGGTATCAGTGTGGGGTACATCAAGGCACCCAAGGCACGCCCAGCAGTTAATTACGTACCGAGGATATGCACCCCGGCCGTGCAGCCAACGAGCTAGTTACGGGGGTCCAGGGGAGCCTAGGTGTCCTCCGGACCGTGCACACCGTGGCTGCGATACACGATGCAGTACTCAGGCAGGTACATAAGTACTCTAGTGCAGGTGACGGCTTCAGGTACCTGTATTTGCTGCCCTGGTATCACATTTCGCTCTAAGCAATGTGCCAGACGACAATGCGACTAGTCTATCAATATACAGTAAACCCTCCGAGACTCCCACTGGCTGGCACTCGGCTGTGCTCCAACACCTTGCCAGCTGCCGAGAATGCCCTATGTCCATATTGATTACGGTTGGATCCGACGGGGTTTTTCACCAAAAGCCCACAGCCCAGCCATATCGTCCTGTCCCAGACCATACTCTCGTTACCTCTTCAGATGCGGTCTATACCTGTAGAAATAGGCCCCGCAAGTGACGCGATTGGCTTCAGTGGTCTCGGCCCTATTTGCTCTTCATTTGACGCGGAAGAGGCGGGGGTGGTGGCCACGACGAATATCGTATCTTGCCCTGCTTTGTCGACGGACGGAGAAGCAGATCGACGCTTCCGCTTCGGTCCATTGGAGGCTGATCTATGTCGACTGACTCTCAGCGACTGCGATCGCGGCGCAGCTGGCAGCAGGAGGCTTGCTTCAGCAGGAACGCCCATCTCTCGTGGTTTCCGTGGGCTGATGTACTCTCTGCTGTGATGGATACTCGGCTCCGTAGTGCTTCTGGCAGAAGTGCTTTCCGAGCAGGTCCGAGGTCGTTGCCGTGGCTCTTGCCAAAGCTTCGTGTGGGCACCACCAAGTGTACTGCCGTTCGCTCCGGCTTGGTTAGCAATATCGGTGTTCTGGAAGTCAGCGCTCAGCTGAGGAGTGTTTGTTGGAGGCCGAGTGCCGATGCCACTCGCCGGGCTGTTCGAGGCACTGAGGGCTTTGAACAGTTGCTCTCGGCGAGCCGGACTCAGCGCCTGCACAATCTCGTCAGGATTGGCTTCATTCACTTGCTGCTCGAAGCTGGTTCGCTCGACGCTGACTCCAGACATCTCCGTATTGAAAATACTCTTGTTGGAGGTATAATCGGGCATGGAAACATCGTGACTAGTGGATCTCAACATCGATCGCCACTGCTGTATCGCCGCTGGGCTCTGGTGTGAACTGACGAACGGGTCGTCGTCTTGCAATAGGGCCCTGCCGACAAGGTGTTGTTCTGTTGATACGTTCTTCAGTCCGTCCAAATCGAAGCCTTTGCTGCTTGGGCCATGCTGAAAGCTCGGACGATTCTGAGGATCTAGGACCTTCTGATGCTTGTCATTAGCAGAGAGCTGCTTGCTGCGTGAGGCGATAGGCGGTAAACGCTGCGGTGAATGTGAATGCGCTTCATGGCCTGGAATGCCGAAGACGCGAGATCCAATTGGTCCTAGTCGCGATGCTTTCTTCTGCACATCGGCGAACATCTTCGCATTCGGCCAAGCGATCTGCGAGTACTCGAGGATATCTGATGAAGTGTCAGAGAACAACCGCCGGAGGAAGTCATGGCTCGACTCACCCTGTGGGGCATGCTGGAAGGAAAAGGCAACGACATCGCGAAGTCGGTCAAACCTGGCTGTCGAGGGTGCCGGGGGGGTATTTTCCCTCAAGACTCCCTCTGCGATCACGACCTTGATCCGACCAATGAGCTCACCTGGCTCCCAGTCTGGCTGTTGCAGGATCTCTCGGTGGAATCTGGGAAACCGAAGATATTGGCCGTTCCGGTCTATTTCATTAGCAGGTCCTTGGAGAAGCAGAGAAGGACATGAACAACCTGAATCACCTGTGCCGAATTAGCCAAAGCAGGGAGCAGTCGAGTCGATCATATCGTACCGATCACTTCTGGCCAGATGTTGTCGTCGAACGTACGCTGACTGCAGTCCTCGGTTAGACCAGGCACAGCGTCAGGACTGACATCCTTACGCCACCAACACCCCGTCCAGGTATACACGAGATTCAAATAGAGCGGACTCGTCTGGAGTTTTATAACTGAGCAGAAGCTGAGACGGCTTGGGCTTCTCCCAGCTGTGGATTGAAATCCTGAAGGACGCGCCACGCTCAAGGCTCGCAACGAACGAGGTCAGAATGGGAATTAGTGTCATGGATTCGAAGCGGTTTCTGTGCTTGTCTGCCGTGGCTTCTCCTACGCTACCCACATCTGGAAAGGTCAGCAGGATCCCTGTTGTTGGAAGACCAGTGCACTAACTCTGGTCAAGCACGAAACATTTTGTGTCGAATTCCTGGATAGGGGTTCTGCAGTCACCAGGAAACAGCAGGACGTCCCAGTTCTGATACCGCATGGCGACTATCGGCCGAGGATGTGGAATAGCAATGAAGCATCACAGACTGCAAGAAGAAAGGTGGGAAAGATGACATCCCGAGCACGCCTCTTGACTTACACCGGTTGTGGTTGCCCCAGCGTCGATCGACCCTTGATGCAAGAGCTATGGGGAGGAACGGAGCGCAGGGATTCGTGTGACATGTGCAAGAGAAGTTGCCCACGGCTTTGACATGGAATGGAAGCTGCGCCTTGACTCTGCTGGAAAAGTAGGACCAACTCAGATCCAGCCAGCCCCTTTGAAGATGTGATATCACTTCGACACAGAACGCCTGATCATCACTGCGATAGCGAGCGATGGGAGAGGATTAGCCTTGAATGATGAGGCCATAGCCGTGCCGAAAGCCAGAAGCCCTTGAGGCGAATGAGGATCCAGCTTACCACAACATGTATCCGTACAGACGTGGACGCAGCCTTGCTTGACTTGCGGTCTCGAGAGAGACATCCGCAAGAGCCTCCCCAATCTTTTCTGAAAATCTGCCGGCCAAAGCATTGCAAAGCGAGGGAAGACGCAAGTGCGAGAGCTGTGTGGCCGATTTCGAGGCTTCGACAAATTTGGAAGAAGTACGATAAACCCGGTGACCATTCCTATGTCAGCTACTACCACATTCGACCCAGGAACATATGTCCAACCAACAAAATCATTTTCGTCTTGAGCAGCGGGTATTGTAATAAACAAAAGCAAGTATTTCCAGAAGGCGCAGCCATTTTCATGCACAGACGCGCCCGCCAACGATGCATGAGCCGCCAAAGGGCCAGATCAAAAACGCCAAAGCATTAGGCTAGTAATTGGTACAAAGCATCGTCTCCATCGATCTAATATCCCTATTCATTGGTTTCGACGCCAAAGTCTCCTCCAATGCCCATAGGATTGTCGAAGTTGAACGTGTCCTCGGTCGAGGTATTGAGGAAACTGTCAAAGTCGAAATTCTCCAAGACGTCGCTGTTTTCCAAAGAGCTGAAATCAAGGTTGAAGTTACCGGCATCATTGAACTCACTGAAACTCTGTTGTGATAGATCTGGCTGGTGCATTTGTGGATTGGGCGGCATCGCTGCGTTTGGCGGTGGTGCCTGGTTAGGGTTGGGCATGCCGGGAGCAGCACCCTTTCCGGCCGAGTTATTGAAACCTTGCGGGTGCACCGGCGTGATGGGCGTGGAAGGTGTGGGCGTTGCAGGTAGTTCAGTCTCCGCAGGGGGGGCGTTTGCCGTTGAATTCTTCTTGGTGGGCCGTTTCTTGGTATTTTCCTCTTTGGCCTTCTTCGTCTTAGGGTTGGGTTTGTTACCAGTGGATGGTGTGGGCGGTGCATTGCCACTTTGAGGAGAGCCACCCTGGTTGCGTGGAGCATTGTTAGCTGCTGGCGCCTGGGGAGGCGGCATTTCGTTCCTCTGTCCAGGGGTGCCCATTGGCTGTGGTTGACCTTGAGACGGGTTCTGAACCATGGGTTGTCCGCCCTGGAACTGACCGGCCATACGGGCCTGCTGCTGACGAGCCATGTTGTTCTGCATTTCCATCGACGTAGGTGGCCTCATGCCCGGACCTCCAGGTACCATGCCTTGGTTGTCCTTCATGAACATCGTCGGGTTGAAGTCGCCTCCGCCGGGGATACCGTTCATAAAGGTCATCGGAGCAGCCGGCGAACCCCTTGCCATGTCCCCAGCGGAAGGCGAACCAGGAAGACCTAGTTGTGGTGTCCGCTTCATCTGGTCGACGGGGTTCGGCGAAGTGCCAGTCCGGCTGCCTGGCGACATGCCTCCAGGCTGCATGCCGACCATAGGCCCGCCGGGGCCGCCATCTCTATTGACGGCATTATCTTGTTCCTGCCGTGCCATCATCAACCTCTTTTTGTTCTGTTGTTCCAGCAACATCAGCTGCATTTGGTAATCTTGAAGAGCATGGTTCCCGCTCTGGCCTCCGCCGGGTGCGCCTTGTAGTTGCTGGCCGGCCATCCTCTGGTTGTACATGTCCATTTGCATGTTGTTGTCGAACTGAGGATTCATGCCTTGCATCATAGGGGATCCAGCGTTGGCCATGTTCATCATGCCATTAGCCATTTGGGCCTGCCACTGTGTTAGCTATGTGAGTGGGCATCCACAATCGTGCACAACTCACCTGCATGGGCTTCTGCGGCATGCCACCATTCTGCCGGAACTGAGGATTATTCATGTTGGGTTGGAAAGCATTCTGGATCATCATGTTTTGTGGCGCCACGTTAGGCATTCCTGGCCGCACATTAGGCATCATGCCACCGTTGAACTGTTGACCGTCGAGTCGTGGTCTCTTGGACGGCGACCCACCGTTCTCGCCTTCGGCCGGCGACGAGGCGCGACCGTTCATGTCTACATCGCCTTGTTCTCGTTGCATCTGCTGTTGCTGCTGAAGCATTTGCGCCTGCTTGAGTTGCTGTACCTGCTGCGGAGTCCTGCGCGATGCAATGTCAGCGACGTTGGGGGCCGGAAAAGTAAGAAGTTGTCCGGGCACTCACATCTTGCTGGCCATCTCCCTTGAGACATTGCCATTGATCATGTTGTTGCGCATGTTGGCTGGCATGAACCGGTTGCCAGCCATCATGCCAGGCCGGGCAAGGTTCTGGCTTTGTTGATTTTCCCGCATGCGCTGGATATTCTGCAGCTAGGTCAGTAGCGCGTCGAGCCCTGCATAGCACCTGTGACATACCTGATGTTGCATCAAATACTGCGCAGCGGTGCCCATGTTCCCGCCTTGACCACCCTGCATCTTACTCGAGCGATGCGCTGTGAAGAGGTCGGAAAAGATACTGAACCATTCGAAGAGGAAGCCGACACCGGGGGTGCTAGCATCTCCCACGTGCATGGGGCGAGGCAGGTCGTCGGGAATATCGTCTTTGGGATCGGTGTCCATGGCATCTCCCTCGACGCCGTTGACTTCTGCATCTTTGCGTCGGCCGGGACTCTGTTTGACCGGAGGTTTTGTACGGAGCTCGAATTCCTTTTCACGCAGCAGGCTTCGAGCGATATCGTAGTGGCCGAGTTTCAGGAAATACTCGTAAATATAGGTGTTTAACTGCGCCTTGACTTGTTCTGGAGAATTGCCCACGTTGACCTGTGTCGCTGGGCTGCCGTTGTTCATCATAATCATTCCACCTCCGACAGGTCCTCCCGCTGCCATGGCCGCGGGATTCATGCCAGCCATATTCATCGTGGCCACCGGCGCGTGGGAAGGTCTAGAGTAGCTCGGTGCGTCGGTCGGACGCAGGTGAAGCGCGAGGAAGACGAGAGAACCTCAGCCGAAGAGGTGTCTCAGGTTGAGTGTCGGAAGGCAATAGTTTGAGTTGTAAATAACGGGCGTGCGGAGAGATTCGGTCGCGCAAACCGGCAGCGACTATCAGACTATGCACAAAAGCCTCATTTTCCGCAGGTAACGATGGAGGGGAATGGTGGTGTTGGTTGACGGATGCTTGAGCTTGATGTGGCTGCGATAGTGAACGGAGGTACAGCAGCGAGAGCCTCTCGACGAAACGCGACCGCCACAAATTATGGAAATTGGGGGTGGCAGGCCGGCTAAAGTGCAGCCAGGCTTGGGGCTGCAGGTGAGTAAGATGGGCAATAGATCCCAGTGTTGGGGCAATGCAATACGAGACTCGAATGATGAGAGCGTGAGATGAAGGTATCAACGGTAAAAGTAAAAGTGACCCGGTCAGAAAGTGAGGTGACAGTGATGTTGCGGTAGTGGCAGGGTTGGCGTGGGCGAGGCGAAAAGGCAGCGAGAAAGGTGAGGTTGGTTTTGGGTACGGTATAGAGAGGGTTTCGGCGCTGGGTAGGCTGCGCTCTGCAGGACCCAGAAACCTGCAACCCTTGGACGTCAAGGTAGTCTGGAGAACCGGGTGATGACTGATGAGCTTCTAGTCAGGGCGCTGGCCGAACATTGAGAGGGCAGCAGACAGCCATCACGGCACTTGCAGGCAAAAAGGCCGCCTATGATTTCTGACTCTGACTCCAACCTGGCCACTCAGAGCACGTCTCGTCTCAGCCCTACGAGCAGTGCCCGCGCAGATTGCAGCACGCCATTCCGCAAATGGAACTACCCATGGTGGGGTGCTTGGCTTTGCACCACACCTCACCTCGACGGCCATCTTTCCAGCACCGCAGGCACTTTCTGATGGAACCAACATCTCTGAAATTCCACACCTCGTTAAATCACTCCGTCCATCGGCAACAACGAGTCATATTCCGCAGAGGCAAATGGTCTCCATCTGAGCTTGCTTGAGCACACTTAGGAGTGCCTACCCCTCAGTCCTGCCGCTGAAACTGCCTCAGGGGTGATCCTGAATCCTTGCCTTTCAGCATAATTGATAGCAGATAATAGGGAAAAGGGGAAAAGGGGTTATCAGCACGTGACCTGTCCATATTACGACTTGTGCCCTGACCACTGGGAGTGCTTGGAGTTGTTTGGAACCGTAGCATGCGATGTTGTTTGCTCTGTGTAGAGGGATGGTGTCCGTTATTCGTCGTCTGGGGGCATCTCATCCTCAATGTATCGATTCAGCGTGACTCGCATCTCCGTAACGTCGTTGCCGCGAAGTACATCGCTCACAAAATGTGCCTCGATTGACATTTGCACCTGGGAGAACGTGAGCATTGCGCTCAACGTCCCGGGTGATATCTGGCCTTACCATTTCCAACGCGCCGCGCAGCACACCGCAGAGGATATTGGAGAACCACAACTCATCTTGAGCTCTTCCATCGTCGGGGAGTTCCACGAAATCCGCCAGGGGGTTCTCATCAAACAGTAATGAAAATTGCTTGTTGTCTGCCGTCCAATTCGTGACTGTGGGTGTGATGTTCAGGAACATTTTAAAGCCGACCTTTGTAAATCTTCAGTCGAGTCGTCTGCAACGCTCAGTCAAGGCTGACCTTCGAAATGATTTCGGCTGTATCCCTGAAATTGCCACAACGACCGGTGTTTGACCTTGCTAAGAAGTCTTCAATGAGTCGCATTCCAATGTTGTATCCCATCTTGTCGAGCTGCAGGTTGACTTGGGCGTAGTCATAATCATAGTCGGTACAGAGCTGGGCGACAATGGTCCCATAGGTGAGCGTTACCAGCTCTGCATTGACCTTGTCGACTCTCGTCCTGCCCGTGTCAGTCGCTGCTGCCGCTAACTAGACTCCGCTTACTTCCAGATTCTGGCGGACGCTGAGTTAGTGAGGCGCCGGATGATCTGTCAGATATGCGCTTACTCTTCGCCCATACGGGCGGCTTTCTGACTCGACGCCATCCGAAGCAAGATACCGCTTTCACCGCAAACGTAGCATCTCAGATAACCCCGATGGAAGAGAACGTAGAGAACGAGTCCGGGAAGCGAGCAGCGATGACAGCCTCGTGCGCCAAGGCTGTCGCTTCCTCGGGGAGTTGAATCGCCGGTTGCCGATCCAAAAAGTTCAGGGCGCAAAGAGCAGTCAACGATATGCCACACTCGTGAAATACACATCTGTCGGCCCCGAGAACGACAGGTCGCTCTACAGTCCTGACCTGACGATCCCGTCGGCATGTCGATCAAACGGCAGGCATCCGACAGCTTTAGCCAGCCACAGGCTTTGGTCAAGAGGCAGAAGTCGAGTTCAGACCTCAAGGACAGCAGAGCCCTGACAGTTGGCGCGAAAGATCAGAATGGCGCCCTCGTGCATTCGGTATGTTCATCCGTAATCTGGTGTAGGGTGCTCTAACATGTCCCCCATAGGCTCTGCGCACCAGCGCCCTCGCTGCACCGATCATGGAACTTACCGGCCACTCTGGCGAGGTCTTTGCGACGAGGTTTGATCCAACAGGACAACACATTGCGTCAGGCTCCATGGATCGATCCATCATGCTGTGGAACACCTATGGACAATGCGACAACTATGGAGTCATGACTGGCCACAAGGGCGCAGTGCTAGATCTTCAGTGGTCGCGCGACTCGAGGACAATCTACTCCGCATCCGCAGACATGACCGTGGCAAGCTGGGATCTCGAAACGGGCTTGAGAATACGCAAGCACGTCGGTCACGAGGAGGTCATAAACTGCTTAGACCTGAGCCGACGAGGTCAAGATCTACTACTCAGCGGCAGCGACGATGGTACAATCGGCATATGGGACCCTCGACAAAAGGCAGCGATCGACTATATCGAGACAGACTTTCCAATCACAGCGGTAGCACTGGCGGAGCAAGGCCATGAGATCTACTCTGGTGGAATTGACAACGACATAAAGGTCTGGGATGCTCGCAAGATGGAGGTCACATATACTCTAAGCGGCCATCAGGACACAATCACATCGCTGGAAGTCTCCCCAGACTCGCAAACACTACTATCCAACTCCCACGATTCCACAGTACGGACTTGGGACATCAGGCCCTTTGCACCAGTCGATCGAGCTGTGCAGACTTACGATGGTGCTCCATCTGGGTTCGAGAAGAACTTGATACGTGCTAGCTGGAGTCCAAAAGGGGACAAGATATGTGCTGGTGCTGGTGACCGAACGGCCGTGGTATGGGACACCCGATCAGCTAAATTGCTGTACAAGTTGCCTGGGCACAAAGGGACAGTGAATGACGTTCGATTCTCCCCGACCGAAGAGCCGATCATTGTTTCTGGCTCGACTGATCGAAACCTGCTTCTGGGAGAACTAGGGAGGTGACGAAACCATCTAAACATCTATCGAACACGTCGGGATTTCAACCTCAGAAGTCAGAATGCTTTCCACCTTTCTCGTTGTTCGACAACAACTACAGCCCCAGCCAGCAGTTTCAAACAGAGTAAGTGTCGGTCAGGCCTCACACCCGATCGGTACGAGGGTGATTCCAACCTGTGCACATCCACGGGTCACGCGAGCCACGTGAGAGACCACCCGCCCTCCCAGTTAAAGCAAAACGCGCTCGGAGCCCCCATCTCTTGACAACACCTCACAAATCGGCCAGAATCGAGTCAAATAGTGCCGGCGGCAGAGCACTTCAAGAAAGTTAGCAAGGGCCGGGCGCTTCTGAGGGCTCTTCAAACGTCGGTACCAACCTGGTCATTTGGACCTGGAAGATTGGGTACGTAGAATTGAAGAAGCCAGTTACAGCTGTCGACTGAGTTGTTACCACCTGTCGGATCGCCAAAACAGCAGAACCTGGTAGCGGCATCGAACTGGGGACCTGTGCCCTCTGCGGCTTGGCACTTGCAGATACACCCAGCGCTGGCTAATCTGTCAGAGCGACAAATTCGCTTGCTTCGTCAATCTGGAGACCCTTAGGGTTCGCACCCAGCAAGGAAGAGTGCAAGAGACATAAGAGCAGTGATGAAAGCCGTCATGATTGATGAGATATTCACGACCTGCTTGACCCTTAGGTGTAGCTCCGAAATCGGATGACAGTCGAAGATATCAATCGGCGTGGCTGTGACTGTGCTATTTTTTTTATACTCCATTAGCTACACTACAGATCTCGTTGAGAACGGAGTACTCAATCAGTCTCTGATGTCGTTGTAGGCATTGGCATCTCACATAACTCTTACAGTCCGCTTTATGAAGGGTTGAAGGGGTTGAATCCATCTCCGAACATATCGACATGCATGCCATACTGATTCCATGAGCGAGTGATAGAGCTTAGTACGGACGTCGTGGAGTATGGAGTACGAGTAGGGAATATCCCTTTGCGGACGGCGACCTGGTCCCTCGACCTAGGTATCGGTCAACGTTCCGGCCAAATGGGACTGACGGGTTCGTACGAGCTACACAGGACGCGAATGCAAATGCAACCCAGTGAGCCCGGCACTCAGATTCACCACCACTGCCAAACCGGGCAGGACTTATCACGGCCGGACTGCAGGATGCTCTCAAGAGAAACGCTCTCGAACAGCGCAATAGGTATCATACCAGACGGTGTGGAAGTGAAGAGGATGCGAACGTACTCTCCGTTGTGATGTGTTACCACCTGTAGCGCGCAGACTTGCAGCATGAGCCGCTCAACAGCCCAAGTTCCTCCTGAGACCGGAAGAGATCAGAAGTCTGCGGATTACTGTATGTCGTCCTGGGTAGAGTACCTCGTCAGGCCATCTGATGGCCAATAACGAAGCAGAAAATAAAGAGTCGAACGTGGCGGAACCCTGCAGCGGCGTTCCACACTTCCTCATGGTGCTCATCTGGAGTTGACTATGAAAACCTTTTCCCATCGTACTCTTGTCGGTAGATCCATCCACGCGATATCGCCAGAAAAATGGTAATAAGCCCTTTGACGATGAACTTCGGCACTGTGTGAATGCGTGATGATGTCTAGACCCACGAGAGGAATGAGAGTTAGAGTGTGGTTCTTCTTGCTGAGCATTCCTGGAGCGGATCGCGTCAAACTCCTGAACGTCTTCTAGGACTTTGGCCCCTTGACAGAACCATTCGACGTTGCGTGTCCTACTTGATTGCCCTCGAGGATGATGGAGGAAGGGTGTCTGTTTGCACTCCGGACCAGAAAGCTAACTTTACCGAGGCTTGGCAATTTATATTTAGCAGTATATTTAGCAGAGCCAAATTCTGCTTACGAAATGGCCTCTATGGCGCAGTGGTAACGGTAAGTGAATTCAAGGCAGATTTTCTGGTAGCTCTAGTCTGACAATGCTTCAGCGTCGCACTTGTACTGCTGAAAGGATACTTCCTCTTGTGGCGATCAATGCGAAGATCACAAGTTCAATTCTTGTTGGAGGCAAAGACCATGTTTTTGCTTGGATACCCTTTTTCCTACTAAACCCAGTAGTTTTGAGTTTTTTGGGGATGTGTGATCGGCTAGAGGAACAAAGTTTCATCCAACCTTGAACCGACCCAAAAACACCCCATTAATCAAGCTGCGAACTAAAGATCTTTTACTCCTTCGGAGTTACTGTGTCACATAGCATTCTCGGATGAGAAAAGATATCCAACCGATTTCGGCGTGGTGCTGCGATGAGGATGAAGACCGGTCTCTAATATGAAGACTGTGTCCCAAGGCTCTGCAGCTCGCGGTTGAAAGATCGTCTCGGAATGCATCCGCAAATTGCCATACCTGGTATGTCCTGACTGACGTGCGACTCACGGATGAGTCCTTGATTGCAGTTTTGGTGGCCACACTGGAGTGGAATACCAACATGGAGATGCATGCGATGGCGCTCGAGATACTCAGGCGCGAGATAACAATATTCGCAGCCCTTTTCACGGCATTGCCGAGCGCAATTCAGGCGAGCGGACAAGGAATGAGTCGTCAACCAGTATCTGTGGCTGAGAGAGCTTGTACATTCACACCCTGGCCACGGGCAATGTAGCCTGCTGGAGGACGGCTGTATATCTCTTCGAGTCACCTCTTCAGTAGATGAGTGGGTATGGCGGATGGTATCAAAGGCTACGAGATGATAAACCTCGGGATTGATTCACCGTTTACCATACTCCCAGCACCAGCACTACGGCTATCGATACTGAACCAGTTACGGAAGGTGTTTACATGGTGGTCGGGCGCTTGATAATGTTGGCTATATAAGTCTCGGCTAGCTGGCTGTGTACATGCAGTGCCTGTAGCAGGCACCACAGGGAACGACAGATTGCGTTTTGAATGCGACGTGTCGTGACTTCTGGCAACTGTTTGTTTTAGTGCTGGCAGATTTGCGCTCGCGAAATCAAGCTTTTCTGCACCGGCAGTCGCAGGCCTGGATTCGCACTGCAGTTAGGCGTCCATTGGCGGCCATCGGTGGCCCTGGTCAGGGCTTCGTGCTGCCAAGATGCCCAAAGCCACGCGAGAGTCGACCCCTCGCGCTCGTACGGAGTATTGGCTCCTATGTTTCAGAAACGCGTCCTCTCCAGACCGTCCTGTCGACCTGCTTGTTCCCAAAGCTCTGTCAACAACCTCGCGAGCAACGGGATCGTCATGGGTGAGACCGGTCGTCTTTTTGATATGAACAGGAATGACAGCCTGTCATACCTCTCATCCCTTGGTGCCGGAAGCCGTTAATGTTTCACTCTCATCACGGGGAATGCATTCCACCAATTCTGCTCTCCTTGCACATTCGCGGTGTGTAGCGGAATGAGCAGAAGGAGCGTTCACTCGAGACCACAAGTGGTCATGCCATGGCCGGCATTGAGACACAGCTTCACGCGGCACTTATGGCCTCTCTGATGTGTTGTTTTGTTCCTCTTCTTAGCAAGCGGGTCTTCATCAGATTCACAGCGTCTCTTCCCACCGGCTGCCTTCTACCTCGACTTCCCTCGCTCTTTCCATGAACATTCTCTCTACTGACACCTAGGCGGGAACGACGAGCCTCGACTCCATCTATCGAACCTTGCATCTCTTCAGGCGCTTTCAACCATGGAAGAAGGAGCACCTAGTCAAACATCCCAACCGCAGCTGTTGCCAGCAACGACCTTCGGCCAAAGCGCGGCACGCAGCATGTCGCGTCTGTTCAGACCAAGCCATGACCCCGAAAGCTCCCGTCCCTCTCCAGCTCCAGGGAAGACTTTCGTGGTGCCCCTGTTTCTATCTCGCTCTTCGACGCAGACCCAAGTCTTCGCTCGAGGCGCCTTATCCTCGAGTACGAGATCGCGAAGCTCGACGCGCTCGGTTATTGAGGATGCAGTCCGTGGGGTCCCATCAGTTGCGGTACGGCGAGACAGCCAATCTGAGGTTTCCGACCTGTATACTGGAAGCTTGCACCACCCCGAGCCGCTTGAACCTATTCCTCTGGCCCGAAACATGGACGACGAGCCTACCCCCTCCGAACGTCAGGCTATGCGGTCGTATCGAAGCGGCAGTAGCAGCAGCACACGAACTTCTAAGCGCAGCGGCAGACGACACGGCATTTTCTCGAGGAAGGCGTATCGCGATCCGGTGGTCAGTGCAAAGGCTAGGATCAGTTTCGCCTTTGGTGTTGCCTTGTTGGTTGCTCTGGTAATCTGTAAGCTGCCACCAAGAAGCGTTCTCGGCTGCCGCTCTTGCTAATGTGCTTAGATCTGGTCCTTGCTGCTACCGGTGTCGCGAAGAATACCATGTTTCATGTGATATCGATCCTTTTCCTGTTGACGTTGATGGGGATTTTTGTCCATCAACTGCTCCGCACGTTCATGCTCATTCGACACCCAAGAAGATCGAGGCACCGAACAACACCCGGATCAAGACGCGGGCATGCAAGGGATCGTCCTAGAACCCGACGACACCGCACCCGTAAACCTGCTGAACAAGAGCTAGTCCCTGAAAAACCGATTCCGATACACATGGCCTCTGACACAGGCTTCGGCCCAGACCTGGAAGCTCAGCCAATTATTCAACAACCACCACCTGTATACGGAAATTTTCGAACCAGCATGAGGATAAATCCCGACTTGGTCCACTGGAAAGAAATCCAGACCAAAACACCATCGCCTCTAACACCGACATATAATGAGGCAATGAACCAAATTCACCGGACCATGGGATATCGACCACCAAGCTACATATCCGAGAGTGGGGTTACCGAAGTTGTTGAGGCGCAGAGAAGGGATGTAGATGCTGCGTTGGAAAACATCCATCCACTCGAACGCGAACGAATGAGAAATTTGGCTGCCGAAGCACTCGAAGGACATAGCCACACATAAACTAGTCCGCGGAACAGAATTGTGCTTAGGAGTTAAAAATGTACAGGATCAAAGGAAGTGGTATGATTATCATTCATTCAAGGTATGGAATGGTTCGAGCTATTTCAGCTGTGGAAAGTCTTCATGCTTGCCCTCATTGTGAGGTTTGTCTGGGGTATCTTAGAACTCCTTCTGGCCTTCCTGCCAACTCCACCACATGTCGTTGTCGTCACAAAACACGTTTAGTGCTTGGCAGCCTCCTTGTGAACATCGGCCTTGCGGTTATGTCCTTGCTCGTCGATCTTGTCACCGATAGCATCGAAGCCAGCCTGGGCACGGGTGTCGAGAGGAGCATTGCCGTCCTTGGCGACGTTCTTGTTGGCCTCCTTGGAAGCGGTCGAGCCGGCGCCGGAGACGGACTCCTTGACGTAGTTGACGGTGTTCCTGTGGTTCAAGTCAGTTACCGTCTCACGCTCCAGTGAGGAGTGCATGAAAGGGAGCTGGGAGGCGAGAGACACCTACTTGATGGAATCCATTGCGAAGAGTGATCTGTGTGACTGAAGAGTCTCGGAAGTTTGATTGAAGTGTGCTGAGTTGGTATGATCTTGATGTTTCGTGATGAAGAATTGTTCTTGAACCAAAGGGCAACCTCAGTTTAAATACACAAGAAGTCAACCCCTCGTCGTGCCCCTCTCAGCCAAACAACGATGGTCAGCTGCTTCTCAGTGAAGCACGTCAATCGCGGACTACGTCACTCGTAGTTCTTTGTTTCCCCTTCCGGAACGGCCCTACGTCACTGACGTTGTTTGAATTCCTGCAAGGCACAAACCTTGGCGTTGGCGGCCCCAGATCCTTTCATCGCGCCATAACATTCTGTGACATGCCCAATCATCGAATCCCGCTCATCTCTGCTGCCTCAACTGCCTCTTTGGCACTGCCACCGGTTGGCGATCGATCGACACGGTCGCGGTGGCACCCGTGGGTCGATCTGCGCTTGCGTGGCCGTGCTGCTTTCAAGCTGCTTCTCCGCTTTCATTCAGACTTGAGGTCACAGCTGAGCCGTGCCACAGGAACAGGTGAACAGGGGAAGATGTCATGCCTCGGCAATTGCTGTTGGCTTGCCCAGCGATGTTGTCATCGAATAACTTCGAGCCCCCACGCTTCACGCCAGATTTGCCAAGCTCGGCAGAGGTTCAGCTTCGACGCGCGTGAAGACGAGCCGCCACCGACATTATCATGTTGAGAACGTGTACGGGCACGACTGTGCTTGCAGCTAAGTCTGATTTCTTCTATATGCTCGTACAAATTTGTGAAGTCTGCGTTGCTTCTGCTGCACTAATGGCTTGGGCTGTATGTCTACATCGGCAATTCACCAGGTGTTGCACGAATCAGAGATATTCAGCCCAACACGTGGTAGCGGCAATGCAGCGTCCATCTGCCAGTAGAATATTCTGCGCGCATTCAAAAGCTCGCTCATGAACGGTTTGAACGTCTATTGTTGTTTCCAGTCGTTTCCTGAATCCTTGCGTGTCGAAGAGTTTGCTCCCTCACTCGTTCGGCGAGCTTACTACTCACGGTCGATCATCTGCTTCAAACTCACCAATCGTATCCTTGTATTGAGTAATAGCTAATATCAGCGATACCACCAATCACCATGGCTATCAGAACGCTATTCCTCACTGCATTGACTGCCAGCCTTTCATTGGCGTCACCGCTTGAGCGAGCTGCGACAGCAGTCAACACAACTACGTGCAATGGGCAAACCTATGTATACCAGGCCCTGGCTGGCTATGGGTTCACTCCATCGGACGCTCGCGACAAGTTTGGCGACACTGCTGGCGGGATCGGTAGTAGTGCTGCTATTGATCAAAAGTCGTGGAAAGTTGACAGCAGCGGTGTCTACACAGGGATACTCTGGAGCCTTCCAGGTGAGTTGCTCTGTCTCTGACGTTGGACCTGTCGACCCGTACATTCATCCCGAGAAGACGACAACCTAGACATCCAATATCGGTATCCCAACCCCTACTCCAGTGGAGAGGGTTGAGTGCTCGATTGAGCCAGTCTCGGTGTTGCCGGAACGACCTCTAATTCATTCACAGATCGCGGTTGGAATACCGAAGGCACTTTGAATTACCAACCTCGACTTCACAAGTTCCAGATCACCTTCAAGCCTGACACGGTGTCGAGCTCGAGTGCGCCCAACCTCCAATTGAAGTATTTGGACACGATCCGCTTCACCGACCCTGCGGGAACACCCTTGACTGGCCTTGATCCCGACCTACAGCCGCCTTACCTTTCATTTCCTGGCTTCCCCGAGCTTCCATCCGCCACTTACACCGGAGATGGCTTCGGCGGCAACGGGACGGGCGGCCAAAGGGTCGTTGGCGACACCGAAGGTCTTGTCCTCACCGACGACGGCTTCTGGATCTCAGACGAGTACGGGCCATACATTTTCCACTTCGACCACAGCGGGAAAATGACTGGCGCTATCCGTCCGCCGCCTGCAATCATTCCCCAGCGCAACGGCAGCGACTCCTTCAATGCGGCCAGTCCCCCAAGATACGACCCCAACATTACCACCACTCCGGCAAATCCTACCAGCGGACGGTCCAACAATCAGGGTCTCGAGGGTCTCACTTCCTCGCCTGACAGAAAGACCCTCTACGCACTCATGCAGTCCGCACTAGTCCAGGAGGGCGGCCGCAACGCGTCGACCCGCCGCCTCGCCCGCCTGCTCGAGTACGATATCAGTGACGCGTCCCATCCCGTCTACAAAGCCGAGTATGTCGTCCCTTTGCCAGTCTTCGCCAACAGCACCCTCGTGGCCGCGCAGTCGGAGATTCACTTCATCAGCCCGACCCAGTTCCTGGTCCTTGCGCGCGACTCGGGTCGCGGCCACGGCATGGACAACTCCCAGTCCCGATACCGCCAGATCGACGTCTTTGACATCTCCAACGCCACAAATATCGCCGGGAACAGTTACGACGCGACCACCGCGGCCGTCGCCTCCGTCGATGGTGTCCTCGCCTCCACCGTCGTCCCAGCGACCTACTGCCCGTGGCTCGACTTTAACGTCAACGCCCAGCTCAACCGATTTGGCGTCCACAATGGCGGCGACCAGGACGCCGGCCTCCTCAACGAGAAATGGGAGTCCATTGCTATTGTGCCCGTCAACCCGCCCTCGACCACCGGGTGGAAGGACTGGCATGCTGGGTCTCAGGGCGAATTCTTCGTCTTCAGCCTAAGTGACAACGACTTCATTACCCAGAACGGGTTCATGAATGGTGGGCAACTCCCGTATGCGGACGAGAGTGGGTATAGTCTTGATAATCAGGTTTTGGTCTTCAAGGTCTCTCTTCCTGTAGCGTGAGATCTGGTGTATCAACCTAGCAGGGCGCCTGCCCATACTGGAGTGGGAAGGATAATCTGTGGCGAGGGGATTGAATGACACAAGCTAATGACTATTTGTGCATCGTAGGTGCCTATACATAGCTAGTACAGATAACTGTATATACGCGAGTCGTGCGATGTATATCGAACCGAGATAATCACATTGGCTTATACGAGATCTACATACATAAATATGTATACCCGAAGCTACATACTCCCCCGAACGACGAGCGTTTGTCCCGGAGTGTACAGCCTACGGTTAACAGAGTGGCGAGCACAGTATTCAGTAATACACATTGTAAGTCACCTACACGAGGTAGACGTACCTGGTATGTACGCTTTTGAAATCCTTCTGTTCGTATATCAGTCATCCGTTTCCAAGTCCACTACATTCCTGTTACATCACATCACGCGCGGTCACTTGACGTCGCATCATACCACTGTTTTGTTGGCTCCCGTCCTAGCCAAGCCATCCGCATACAGGCGAGAGACACGTTGAGACGTTTTGATGTATGTACAGCTTTTGTCTTGTGGATAATGCCACTGTATAAAGTCCAGAGTCTGCACATCCAGTAGGCAGCGCGTGGCGTCAAGTCGCATCGCATTGGGCCAACGTTTTGCTGCTCAATAATAATGTGAGTGGACGGTAAGTTTGGGTGCTTTTGGTTGATCACGGAGTTGGCAGTTGCGACGCCGCCGACGAGGAAAAGGGGGCCAATCATTCGGACAGAGCAGAGCTATCTGAGCAGACGGTCTACATCTACGTTCTTTCTATGGTACACTTGCTGGTTGGGGGCGGATCTCCCAACATTGACTGCGCCTCCATGCCACTTCTCCTCCTTCCGAGCCGGACTCAGCCTCCAAAAAGACTTCCACTCCAAAGCAAGTCGCCCGGTCGGGGTAGATGCGCGTGGCGACTGCGGTGCGCTCGTTGACAAACACCTCGAGCGCGCTGACGTCGTAGAAGGCTCGCACGTCGAGCGGTTCCCGCGTCACGGTGCCGGATGGGTCGCGGAAGCGGAATAAAGTATGGGGCGCCATCTCTGGAGTTGTGTTCACGTAGGCAACGGTCGTGGAGTGCGACCGGTCGATCACGAACGTTTCTGCTGCTGCGTCGAAGTACATGGTCGTACGCTGCTTGGCGTCGGAGGAGTGCAGGATCGATAGTCCCACGCGACGGGTACCCTGCGCCAGCAAACACGATACGTCGATCTCGAGGTGCTCCGTCGGGCGGGCAAACATGGCTGCAGCGTGCTTCTTGGCCGGTGTGGGAAATGGTAACAGGTTTCCACGGAGTTTCTCGAGCGCTGGATGTGGGGCCGACGCGAGTGTGGATACGGTGTATGTGTCTCGGGGGTCCTGTGATTTTCCGATCGAGGTGATCTTTCCCAAAGGGGTGGCCAGGGTGCCGCAGACGGAGTGTATCTCGCTGTGCTTGACCACCCGGGGGAGCGAGAGCATCCCCGACCAGCCCTGCCTGTCGTGCCACATCTCGGGGAGGTCGTGCTCCTGAAGCCATCCGAACACGACGTGATGTTGCGAGATCGGGTCCCAGAACGAGTTGGCGGCGTAGTATCTTCTGCCGTGGTCGAGACGGCCTCCGTAGTCGAATGTCATGGTCGGTTTCCCTTCGTCTATCCTTATCGATGTGTGCATCCACATTTGTGTGTTGTGCGGCGTTCCCTGCTCTGATAGACATCCTTCCACGGACATGATGAGGTAGTCGTGAGGTGTCGCTGATCTGTCCGTCAAGGAGAGGAAATTGCCGACTTCCCAGTTAACGCCATAGTCGCCGGTCCATAGAGACGGCGTGTAGTTGATGCCTTGACCACACAACGATCCTAGGTGTTCCCACGAGTTCAACGCGTCCTTTGCGATCGCGTACAGAAAAGCGGCCGGCCCCTTGTCCCTGATACCGCCAGACACGAGTCCGTATAAGCATTTGCCAGGCTCTCTGCCACGCGCACGGTCCATGGAACGCCACTCGGCCACATACGGATCGCGCCAACCAATGACTTCCATATCCGGAGGTGGTTTTGGGACAATGGGGTTCCCTGTGTATGGTGTCCAAGACTTGCCATCATCACTAGATGTCGCCATGTGGATACGCTCGGAGCCGCGGACGTATGGTAGCGTGTAGTGAAGGGGAAGTCTCTGAGCAGAGGTGTACAGGATGGTCAGCACTCCATCGGCCTGACCATTCACGTTTGTTGGTCGAAGACATCCCGTAAACACACCTTCGCTACCACCGTCTGAATCTGGAGTGATAGAAGGAGTGCTTGAGACCTCCCACGAACACAGATCTCTGCTTCGCGCGTTTCCCCAAGATATGCTTTTCCAGTGAGCCGACTCAGGGTTCCATTGGTAGGCCACATGGTAGAGACCCGTGCTGGGGTCGTAGCCAAGTCCGCAGGGGTCATTCATCCAGCCAGCGGGTGGTTGCAGATGGTATTGTGGCCGCCATCGCAGAAAGTCTCCATCAGGGGATAGATTCTTGAGATCCATACCATCGGACGTAATAGCGAGCCTCGTCCCCTCCGACCATGTATCTCGTTCAGCAAAGATAATGAATCGTTACCCCCTCCCAATCAACAATCACTGGGTTCTGGGGAGTCGCTCTCCAAGAGCATATGGGAGCTGGTGAAGGTCGTGTCACTCAATACTTGGAACCTGATTTTGATGAGAACACTCGGCAAGGGCATTTCGATCAAGACTTTCAGAATGGTGCGGCTCGTCTCCAAGCTGGGTCGGAACGTAGCGAATGTGTCAAGTACCGCAACACATTTCTCCTGAGTCCAGCTCAGCACGAACCCTATAGCAAGCAACACAAACTCATCGGGTCGGTTGTGAGTAGAAGTTGCCATACGCGGCTTATACTCCGCGAGGGCGAATACGGCGGGCCATGTAGAGGGGCAACGCACATCCAAACCAGCCTCGCAGCCTCGCAGCCTCGCAGCCTCGCCTTACAGTAAGGACTCCGTAAGTCCTCCGTACTCTGCGGTCTTCAGGGTGCCGGATTCCTCTTTTTCTCAAGCTAGTGCTGCCGTGCAAGCAGCCCGTATGAGTACCGTGGACCTGGCCGATTTATCACCGTTCGAACCGGTGACGATGATGCGAGGGATGCAGGGTTACTCATCGCCGGCCCTGCCCACCAGCCATCGCACGGCCGCCACCCGCAAACACCCGACCACTGAAATTGCTGGTCTCTTGAGGGTGCGGCATAAAATTCCTTCGCCGACACTTCACGCAGCTCGATATACCACGCTTCATCCTGCTCTCGGATACCGTCTCCTTTGAAATAGCACGCTAATTTCCTAACCATGTATCGTTCTTTGGGTTAGTACGAGCGAGATTGCTGAGTCATTGCTGGGCACGCTGGTGGTGCTTGGATCGTAAAGCTCACCTCATCCCGATATCTGGGGTTGAATGAGACGCTGCTTCGCTCAGTGACAGTCAGCCGCTCTTTCAGCTCTCGGGGCTTTGCCACCGGTACCGTTAGCCTAGTGAGATCGCAGTTTTACAAGCCTACAAGGCGTATGCACCTTTGACTGCAACCTCCGCATTGGGTATAATATGGCTCCCTTCTTTCCGATAATAGCGCGTACCGACTGAAGTACCGTAATCGAGGGACCACCCCATCACAGCGTGCCGATCTTCTTCCAGTTCCCTTTGCCTTGCATGCTCGGCTCTGAGGATCAGGGACACGAGCACATCAAGAAAACCATTCGCATACCGGATCTGGCTGAGGCTATGGCTTAGGCCCTCTGAGCTGAGGTAAGGGCCGCCTGAGGAGCGCCAGCAGCCGCATGGTCAGTCTTCTGGTTGCGACCCGTCCAAACTCTTCTGCATGTTAAAGGCGCGCTTCTATTCTCGTTTAGGAGTCCGTCCTTTTCTCTTGTGTTGTGGCTTGCTTGGAGCGTTGCTTCTTGCTCGGCACAATCTGATCCACGTTTCCACATGTGCCCGGTATATCGTCACGACGAGGTCCCGAGCCCCGAGCAACAGGAAGTCAGCTGCAATAAATGCCTGATGATGGTACTTGCCAATTGCGACTATCTTCTCCTGCTAGCTTGTTCATTTGCCTGTTGGTCAACAGCGACTACTCGGGGGAGAGCACGAGGTTGTATGATCACGGGGCCAACTCGCAGACGCTCTACTGCAAGAACTCATCGCCACCACTGCACGTCACGGGGCCTAGAAGATCTGTTGACTCCTTCAAATATCCCTTGAAAGACACCGATATACCTCGTCAAGCTATCTTTCTTCGTCTCCGAGTTCGAGCAGCCAAACGATCACCAAGACCAGCAATCCCACCCGAACAACCAACAGAGATGGTCTCCAAGCACTCTGCTATAACAGTCCAAGTCACCGAGCTGGAATCGCAGATGGAAACCCCAGGCGTTTCGTGCTGGGACTTCGCCTATCCAACCGGCAAATGCGACCCTGCGCCCGCGAAAAGCTGTTGCTTCTCGACGGCGCCCTTATCAAAGCAGCATGAGCGCTTCGCCTCTCACACCAATGCTCCGGCATGTGACATCTCGCACGGTGGGCACCATCGTCAGAAGAGCAAGAAGCAGAGCAAACACGCCGGTGAGATCCTAGAATCGAGGACATATCTCCTCTCGTCGCCGACGCCGGTCTCGATCACTTACCCGCAGACCAAAACCACCATCTCCACCCTTTTATCCCAGCCGAACACAAAACTTATCTACTTGGTACCTCAAGCAAACATAGTGTGTCCAAAGGTCTGCGAGCTGATGCGACTGCCCCGTGCAGTGGGGAGCAGCTTCCAGATCCTTCCTGTCCCACCGGAGATCGAAATGAAGGCCGGCGGTAAGGACAGTTGCTCGATTAGCGACGTCATCGCCGTCCAGGAGGTTGTCCGGAAAATACTCAAGAATACAAAGACCAGAAAGTTCGACGGATATATCGCGTTCGAAGAGGAGCGGGAGGCATGGACCTTCTTGGAGCATGTCGGCAAGGGAGTGAAGTGTTCGGCGACGAAAGGTTGAGATTCGGACAGGGGGTGGGCTCCTACTAGGCCAACCGTAACAAATCTGCCGTCCGTTCCGTCCGTCTGTCATCAGCCTCGTTTGCGCCTCATCCAGCTCCAATGCCCCTTCACATTCACCAGCATTTCTCTCCATGTGGGCAAGTCCTCAGCTCCGGGTCCGAGCCTCAACTCGATCGCCTCAATGCACAACTTGGTGTACTTCTTCGCTCCTCTTTCACTGCCAACGGAATTATAAACCAATGCTGCGAGGCAGTACGCCGGGTCAAGATAGCCGTCCAGCCCTTGTTCACGATGGGTCTGGATGAGCCGTTCCGCCTGTTTGGTACTGGCCGTAGAAGTCGGATCCGACCAGCGCGAGAGCGACTTTTGCAGGGCCGTGATCTCCGCGAGCGCCGCATCGCCGGATTCGCCCCGTCGGCAGCGCGAGCACGTACATTCGAACCCGAAAGAGTCCAACAGGTACTTCCGTCGTTTCACGAAGCCATCCAGCGGATTCGTGTACGCAATGGTGATCTCGTCGTCCTTCGCGATCGGCCTCGTCGCACGGACCGTATGCGCCAGAGCAGTCGAGTTGATGACAAAAATGGCATTTGGCGCACAGTCGTGGTTGATACGCGAAGGCTCGGGAATCACGGCAAGATGCGCTGCGCCACCCACGGACATCTCGAATGAATTCGCCGAGGCGACATCTTGCATGAGAAACGCTTTATCGTGGAACATTGTCGCGAGGGCGCGGTATCCGGCTGCCGTCCCAGACGGCAGGCGGTTCACAGCGTGGCGGAGGAACGTCTCCCTCTCAGCCCTCGAGAGGATGTTTTCTTTGTACGCGAGCAGGACGGGCGTGTACGATGTGATCAGATCCCCTGGGTTCAGGTCATGGCTAGCGAACATTCCAATACCTTTGCTAGGAGTCGTCTCGGTGTACCAGGCTTGGGTGGGGATGTTGATCATGGGCCGGTAATCCTCAGCGTCGGAGTCGAGGAGTGAAGCCACCGTTTCAGCGTGCTGAGGGGTGGTGAAGATGGAAATACCCCTGCCGTTGCTGAAACTGGCGTCAGTATAGACGCATAACTTGCTTTGAATCCGTGCAAGGTGTTCCGTGCAGATAGGTTCATAGGACCATGGCAAGAAGGAGTTTTCGCCCTTCACATTGGATCCGTCCTCTTGCCCCTCGTCGTCGGTGTGCAAATCGAGCTCGAGTTGGCCATAGTGGAGTAGTTGGTCAAAAGCGACCTGGTGCGCTGCTCCAGTGCTTTGAGCCACTGAAGTCGTAAAAACCCGTGACACGCACACAGATAAACTCAATGCCACGATATGTCTCCAGGTCCATAATAATCTCCGGGCCATGGTTAGCGACGGTCCTGACTTGCATCTGCATGTGTGAGATTGTGCGGAAATCTAGCTGCACTGCGAAGGTGGGTTGCTGATCATCGAGATGTTGCCATGTTCCCGTGATGGGTATTGTAATCTATCGCTGGAATGGCCTCGAGTCTGTGCCCAGAAGTAATAAAAACGGCTCGCAGCTCCCGCCGGACGCGGCCGAGGGTGAGGCCGCCCTGTCGACGACCACTGCAGTACACTGAGTCTGACTGGGCTGCTGTTTCCGTTTCCGTGCCGGGTAAGTTGATGAGTTATTGGAGAGAGAAAGATAATAGGCGTTGAACACCCTGCAATGAACCGAATGGAGGCAATGAATGAAGCCCCACACAAGTTCCCCAGGAATCCCCACGGCTGTTATACTTAAGTCGATCGTCGCGCCAGTTCCAAGATGATCCTCGATCGAAATTCTATCTCGACTTGACGACAAGCCTGCCTAGAAATTGAGAAGGATGAAAGCTCCCGAGCACGCAGAGGTCAACGGGGGTGATGTCAGGACGACAGTCCAGTATCTACAGCCAGGCTCGAAAAACGTGCGATACTTTAGCAAGGGTAAAGAGGTGAACATTGGCAAGTACGACGATGTATCCGTCGTCATCCACGACGCACGCCCTGACAAGGAGGAGTATACGCTGGAGAATGGAGGATTTGCTTTGATTCAGCATGATTCCCAAGTATGCTCCTACATACAACGCTAGAAACTGGAGTGGCTCATCAGACATGGACAGGTCACAGATTTCCACTCGCGTGAGCAGTTGGACACGATCTACCCGGGCGAAATCGCCGCGCTGGTCAAGTCGCTGACTGGCGCCGACGATGTGGTCGTGGTCAGCCCGCCCGTGTTGCGCAAGGTGAAGACCGAAGTCGGCTCGACGCATCAACCTCGCGCCGCAGACGTGCACACGGACTGGTCACCCGCAAACGCCGAAGACACGGCTCGACGGCACGCAGATGGGCATCCAGCGTACTCGCGCTGCATCTTCGTCAACGTCTGGCGCGCGCTGTCGCCTCCGCCGCAGGACTGGCCACTGGCTGTAATTGATGCGCGCACCGTCGGCGCCGACGAAGGCGTGCCGTACCCGATGGTCATCGTGGACGAGATCCCCGAGACGTTGCCGATGGTGCCGCAGCCGTCGCATTTCATCGAGGGTGCCAATTTCTGCTACAACCCAGGCCACCGATGGTGCTATTTTCGAGATATGAAGATCAACGAGGTTCTGGCGTTCAAGCTCTATGACTCCGACAGACATCGTGGGTCGCAGAGCTGGAGGTGTCCTCACACGGCCTTTTTGAATCCGCTGGAAGGGAGGATACCACGGGAAAGCGTCGAGGTTAGGACGATTTGTTATTTTAGATGACAGCACGGGGACTTGTGACCTGAATTAAGACATTGTTCAGATTTTACTTCGAGTTCCAATTGTTACTCAGCAATAGAGTTTTAGACAGAGCGTAGGATGGTAGGGATTCGACGGGGCTTGCGTCGGCAGCATGGACCCGGCCGGTACACTTGTGTACACGGAGCGAATATGAAGGTTAGAGAGCAACAGTACCAAGGGAAGTAGGAAAGAGACGATGAGTGGGAAGGAGAGTTGAACACGAGCGAAGGGTAAGAGAGAGAGAGAGTTTGGTTTTTTGGGGGACCCCGGGGGGAAACGAATGTTCCCAAAAGTTGAAGTTCAGTTCTGAGGGTTAGTTGGCTTGTCTTAAAACTCACCTGTCTTGCAGGAGCCGCACTCTCCCTTTGCTCAAAGAAAATGGTGGTGAGCCGGGTGTGATATGTTACAGAGACCACCAAAATTCTTCTGGCGTGCCATGTGCATTAAGCCGGTGTTGACTCAGGGCGCAGTGGAGGTGAGAGTTTTTGTCCCCGAAGTCGAAGTCGAAGTCGAAATCGAGCGTCGGAGTTGATGTTGATTTTGCTACCTGCGGGCAGGAATAACTGTGAGTGAGTTCTTTTGCGGGAAGACCTCGCGGAGTTGAAATTGAATTGAGTTGCAGGAGAAAAGAATGTGATTGTGAACAGACAGTGCTGGATATGTACGTAAACTGAGATGCCTAGTTAGTGAATTTTGAAACGCCAGATCCCGGAGATCTTCCGATCGAGGGGCTGCGGCGGTGCCCGACCATTACGTCATTGTCACTGTCCTCGTGCCCGTCGCCAGCCGCTATCAAATGCGCCTGAGAATCGAGGTCCATCCCACTGTCACCATCCCACCTTTCACCTTGCAACCCGTCAACCAAGATTTCCATTCTCTTGCATCTTATAAGAAGGCGGTTTCCTTGTACCAGTCACATTCTCCTTCAAATTTCCAGTCTGACCCAGAGTCTCGACCACATCCTTGTTCACTTTTCAGCCAGTAAACAGACCAAACAGGCAACCTCGTTTCTCTACCACTTCCTACATCCAAGATGCCTCTCTTCAACGTAAGTTCTGCGCATCGAATTCTAGTTCAGTCAGCGTGTCGTATACCGTACTGACCATATCTCGAAGGTCACACTCAAAGAGAATGCCTCTCCCGAAGAGCTCAAGAAGGCCAAGGATAAAGCAACGGCCGATGGCGGCGAGATCAAGCATGAGTTCACCCTGATTAAAGGTTTCACGTAAGGGCGTCTCGAAATTTCTTATTTCTATTCCCCGAAACTGACAGTCTGTGTCTTGTAGCGTTGAATTCCCCGACGATAAGGTCGGCGTCCTCCAGACCAACGACCACATCCACGTCGAGCAGGATTCAGAGGTCAAGACACAATAGGCGAGTGCCTGGTGACCTTGTTGTTGTTGAGGAGACAGTCGATGCGTGCTTGACGATGACTTCAGACGACATGAACGTGGAATGAATGGGCTTCGATTTTTATAAACCAAACATCTTCTATTCTCTCCACTCCGTGGGACCTGATGATACTGTTATGATGGCAATCATCACGACAAAATGAAACGAGCACATAGATGCACGGATAGGGGACGCGATATAGGGTCCAAAACCAGATCTGCATGATCCAGCAATGGATATTGGCTGGATGGCATGGACATTACATCGAATCCTCAGACGCACTGACACGCGGACGAAAGCTAGACTTGGAATCCAATGCTCACATTGAAGCCATCACACACTCCTATACATGCTCCTCGTGATTCCACGCTAGAAATCCGTAGCCCTCCCATTATAAGTCCAATCCCCTGACGCGCCCCATCGCAACGGCTCGTTCTTTGGCCCTCCAACCTCGCCCGTCTTCGGGTTGACATCGCCTTCGAACTCCGGCTGCGCCCCTCTCACCACATTGGGATGTAATTCTTCGCCCTTGCCTCTCGCCTCAATCACCTTGTCGTACATTTCCTTGAGCACCGAGGACCCCGTTGCGCCCGAATCCTCGCCTGCGGTACTGATCCTGTCGACGCGCTGGGAGACCGTGTTCTGTGCGTCTGCAAACTCCGCCGCCGACGAGTCAGGAGACTGGTTGATCCGCGGCGGAGCCCGCCGTTCGGACGCGGGCGTGGAGAATGCGCCGGTCGATTGGCGCTGGAGGGATTCGAAGATTTCTTGCTCTTCCTTGGGCAGCCGCGGCGGGGCGGGCATGCCCTGAAAGGAGAACGAGGATGGCGGCGGCGGCGGCTCGTCTTTCTTGACACGGGGGGATGTGCTCAGGTGGCGGGCTGGCGAGGTGAATCGGGGGTGGCTGCATGAGCGTGCCAGAGGAGATGTGAAGAGATGGGCGCGGGGAGCCGCGCACTGAGCTGCTCGGGGGACAGAGATGGCGGTCTTCATTGTAGTCGGCGGGTGATACTGAGCCAGATAGGTGTTGGGCTTCGATCCAGTAGAGTGGTGACTCGTGCTATGTCCGACCACGAGTACGAGTAATTAGTGAGGAGTGAAAGAGAGGGATATCCAGATGGCAAATAAACTCTTTGGCCGCCGCCGCGCAAAGCTCAGTCTCCGAAGTCGCCCCGGCTAATTAGCCGAAGCTTCGGTAAGATCAGTCCCCCTTCAATGACGAAGTACTCCGTACATCTACAAAAGAAAAGTTACTGTATTGAACGAACCATCATATGAGGTTTCAAGCGTTAAATTGAGATATCCATGCCTTCGACAAAGGACATCTCGAGATGAAAATCTAGCTACCGAGAAGTGACCAGCATCATCCTGAAAACAGAAGGGAAACACCTTGTTGGCCCATCGCCTCCGAAACTACCATCACCCCGTACATTTAGAACTCCGACGGAGCCGCTGCTGGAGTGGTTGTCGTTGATGCTGCACGAGTAGACGACGTCGTGGTGCTCGATGAGCTTGCGCCAGAAGATGGAGGTGCACCTCCTAGACCTGCTAAATTCGCAGCCCAAGCACCGCTGTTGAACTCGGCATTGACCTCGCTGATCTGCCCTGAAGGATTAATGGTAAATGTGTCGATGCCTTTGACATCATACTGAGCCGAGCCAATTCCTTTGGCGACCCATCGCCAGGCGATCTTGTTGCAGGTGTTGAAGATCTCCAGAGTAGTCACAGTCGTAATAGGTGGCTGGCTGCCTTGGCCGGCAATAAAGGCCTGCTTGCTGGGGAAGGTAGTCGCTCCGAGCTAAAGAGAAGGTCGGTCAATATGTACTGGCCAAAAGACTGAAGAGGAGACTTACAGGATACCCAGCGAGGAAGTTGATGGAGTCGCTGTTATCTTTGAAGTCATCAGCCAACAATGTAGTCGCCTTTGACACGAAGTCTGGTGCTTGCGGAGCAGTCAACAAGGAAGAGAAGGTTTTGACGATGTTCTCGGCCTGAGCGGAGCTGAGGCAGGTATAGGTCGGCCGAGCGACTCCGAGACAGGAGCAAGCACTACTGTAACGGGTGCTCCCACTGCAAGCCGAAGCGTATGATGGAACCGTTGGAGTAGGCAACGGGCTGAAGAATGCAGAGCAGTCTGCCTGACGAGTGGCTAGTGGCTGCGGAGCATTCGTGCCGGTCACCGCTCTTTGAAGCTGTTAGCACCACGCTGTGATCAGATGGTTCCGGTCCTTACCTGGCACAGTTGTCGGCGGCGCACACACCTCGCTCCTTCATGAATGGATTAGATCCCCATGGGTTGGCAGCCACGAAAGGCACAGAAGCGAAGACAGCAAAGAGAAGAGACTTCATGGTGACAGGGGTTTCCAAAGTATATTGGGTTAAAGTGTTCTTCCTGGATCTTGTCTCAAGAGGCTGCCTTGTTCAACTCACCACGACCACCATGAGGGAGAGACAGGTCTTTTATTTCCCTTTTTCTGAAGACCACAAGCATGGTAAAGGGGTCGCTACATTCAAACCTACCACGGCATGTCTCAACCAATTTGTAAACAATCTTAGACATCGGCGACCGGACAAGGGGTCGAAATCCGAAGTCGAGTAAAAATAGACGCAGAGGGCTCATCCTCTTGGATCTAGCCACGGGAATTGTCTAGCATATTGGACGATTCTGCAAAGCGCATATCAGCTGGCTTCGAAAATACTGCTGAAAGCCGACGCTGCGTCGACGGATTGATGGCGCATCTGAATCAGGGACGGTCCAAGGAAGGCTAAAATCTGGAGATGCGGTCGGTATTGCAAGGAGTCCCAATAGAGCTGTTGTGGCGTAGAGGAACACGTAGTATGCCAGTCATTTTCAGGTGGCAGCACCGGTTGGAAAAGTGATCAGTCCGAACGTCAACCGCCAAATCGAAAAGGGGCCCCCTTGCATGGATTGTCCGCAACTGGGTGAATTTCCTGGATGTGGAATGCGTAGGTCTCAGATGAGATCTCGCAGGTCAGCTTCAGCTTTTCCATAGATTGGGATAGCTACCTAGGTATCGAGACGTGATTTGCGGTATGGAGCAATTCTTGAACCCATGGCAAAGGATGAGGCCGGAGCTCAGGCGCGTCATCCTTCCTTACCCAGAGACGAGTAAGACGGCGTGATGAGGATCGGATCAGGACCTGACCTCCGTCGACAAGCTTGTGTGTTTGTGTATGAGAAATATTAGGCTGGACGTTGTAAGGAGGACAACAGCTGCCCGGAGAGTACGAGTTGCGAATCATCCAGGCACGCTGCTGGCGCCTCTACAGGTCTGCTCTGTCAGTAATGCGGGAGAAAGACTCAGAACGCACATTTCCGCCATCGCTGTATTTGGCTTAAGCAGACATCGACTTAAGCATCACCGTTAAGGAAGTATGGCCTACACGGTATCCAGCATGGAACTGACTTTGGTGTGGGAAAAGTCAAGTACTCCTTCACTTATCTCTCCTTGCCCACTTGCCCAACTGTGGGATAGTCAGTGACAGATGTGTTCAGATTCCCCGCACTTTGTCGGTTTTCTCCAAACTTTTCGTGACTTCACCGGTGACTCGAATTGAAAAAAAGTGAAAGGCGCGGTCTCTGTTTCCCGTAGATCTCTTGCATGCCCATAGAAAAAGTCTTCGCTGTCTCTCTCTAGGCTTGGTTGCTCACAATTGTCCTGGAGCTGCAGCATCACCCTTCGTCAAACTGCTCCATTCCTCTTGCAATATGGCCCTCGCAGTCGGGAGGAAACTCGCGAGCTCGCAGCTCTCCAAGCTGTCGGCACCTTCACAACGAGCTTCTCTGAGCCTGAGGCGATATGCTCATGCTGCTGTCGTTCCAACCTCATCCAGCCTTCCCGTCCAGGAACAGGCACAAATCCGACATGAAACCGCCGTCCCCAACCCAGACCCTGCCCCAGACTCGCCCACTGCGGCGTTCCTCAATCAATCCGCTCCCTACATGGTCCCTACCTACGTCCGGCCCGCGCCTATGATGGTGCAAGGAGATGGATGTTTCTTATACGACAACGAGAATAGACAGTACCTGGACTTCACTGCCGGGATAGCGGTCAACTCTTTGGGTCATAATGACCCTGAGCTCAGTAGGCTTATCGCGCATCAAGCTCAGCGGCTGATTCATGCGTCCAACCTGTACCACAATCCGTGGACTCCCACGCTGTCTAAGGCCTTAATTGAAGAGACACAAAAGCAGTCTCCTGGGTCTCCACTAAGTCAGGTCTTCATCTCGAACTCCGGTTCCGAGGCGAACGAGGCTGCCTTGAAGTTCGCAAGGAAGGTCACGTATGCTAAAGACCCCAACACGAAACAGAGGGACATTGTATCGTTTCACGGATCTTTCCATGGGCGTACCTATGGGTCTCTGTCTGCGACGCCGAATAAGAAATACCAACCGCCGTTTGGCCCCATGCTTTCTGGTTTCCGCTATGGTCAGTACAATGATGTTGCCGCTGTCCCGGAGTTGGTGAACGAGAACACTGCAGGAGTCATTGTGGAGCCCATCCAAGGTGAAGGCGGCATCAACGTTGCTACTCCCGAGTTTCTGCAGGCACTCCGCAAGCGTTGTGACGAAGTGGGTGCGGTCTTAATCTTTGATGAGATCCAGTGTGGGCTTTCCAGGACTGGAGATCTGTGGGCCTACACTTCAACGGGGGTTCACCCGGATATCTTGACATCTGCCAAAGCATTGGGGAATGGTATCCCTATTGGGGCAACTATGGTGTCAGGCAAGACCGTCGCACCGTATATCAAGACGGGCGACCACGGCACAACCTTTGGGGGCAATCCCTTCGCCTGCCGAGTGGCACATCATGTCTTCGGTCGTCTGGCAAATGCCAAGATGCAAGAGGAAGTCAGGCGCAAATCGACATTGTTCTTCAGCTTCTTTGACACAATCAAGGAGAAGTTCCCTGGTGTTATCTCCGAGGTCAGAGGCAGGGGACTGATTGTCGGCTATCAACTCAGCGACTCCGCCAAGGAAAAGGCCACAGAGATCATAACGGCCGCGCGAGAACGAGGCCTACTGGTAATAACCGCAGGGGATGGCGTCATCAGAATCGTGCCGCCTCTCGTCATTTCTGACGAGGAGATCAACAAGGGTCTTGCCATTCTTGAGGATGCCATTCGCGTTGTGTTCCAGAAACCAGGCGAAGTTGAGGGCACCGCCGGTCAACAGGAAATGGCTGCTCGCTGAGTGCATCTCTATTCACGCCGTCTATTGCCTCTTTTCTCCTTCAGGAACAACCATGCCATGGACGCCACGGTAGTCAGGCCGCTCCGCCGGCTTCCACTTCCCTCCTAGCGCCTTATCTTCATCCACCAGCTTGAATACCTCTACTTTCAGAGGCCTACAGCATTTGATCATCTCCTTCTCACTATCACTTCCAAACCCCCACAAGGACAGGTCTCCACCTGGGCATGTCGACAGCGCCATCAAGAGATCCTGTTCGGCAAAAAATTCGATATGGTCACCGGGTTGTGCAGGGCTTGGATTCATGAAGTACCTGCCCTTAGAGTCCAAGCCGGTGACCTGGAACAGGTTGATCACATCATGCACGTCAGACTCGTTGAGACCAAAGGGTAGTACGGCTCTGGTGAGGTTGGAATGACAGTGATAGTCGTACGATGCTGCTGGCCCGGAAAGCACCGTATTGATATACGGGTCGCATCTGGTTCCAAGGAGGTCATGAACTCTCCCACCTGTCTCGTCGACTCCATACCAAGAAAGCGAATCAGCGATGATAGTGACTAGCGGTCGCATATACGGTAGGCAGGACCATAGCCTATCGTAGGTCGTGACATGGGACGAGTGGAGCTGTTTTGTTCGAGAGGCCCAGAACCGCTCACGAGGGTTGTTTGCGTTCCAAATATTCAGATCGCCTAGACAGGGTCAGGAACTGACTGATTAGATATTGTGTTTCAACATACCAACTTGAGGTCCCTCTGGTGTACTGATCCTTATAATGCTCTTCGCAGGAGCTTTCCAGGCACGGCCCGAACGGATAGGCAGGACGAAAGAGTCGACGAGCTCTCTTTGGCCTTGCTGGATAGAGGTGTACAAGTCATTGTTGACCGTAAGGGGTGACTCCGCAGTGGGTAGATATGCTGGATATGGTGTCGGAAGAGGCTTTCTCGCCCTCAAGCGTTCCTCGTTGGGGAGCAGGCTGGACATGATGCAACGGCTTACACCAAGATGAAATTCGAACTCCTGTCTTTCCTTTCACTGACGACCCTTCTGAGCTTCCAGTTTCGCGGCTCAGGGGACGACGGACAAGATTTTATGCTCGAGCTGACAGCAGGAATTGCTGCGGACATGTCCGAGGTTGAGATTGTCCAAATTGGTTGTGCCATGGCAGCCTCACGCAGACTTACAAAGGTTCGACTTCGGTCGGCCTGTCATCGCAATATGGCAGGTATTCTTCGTCTTCTTGAATATCCATTTGGATGTGCGCAGCATTACCAGATGCGCAGATCGATCACCGAAGGAGCGAGATGAAATTAGGCAACCCATGGCTTCTCCTTGCACCGGCGACATGAACCATGACCAGTACAGAAGAAGTTAGGCACTTCGCCGTTGGCTTCATTTCTCATTTCTGCCGCCGCAATGTATACTCATCAACCGGCGAGCTGGTCTTCGTATCAGGACCCCTTATAGGGCATGCTCCACGTCTACTTCTGCCATGGCTGGCAAAGGAAGACACGCTCCGAAGACACGTACCGCGTGCCTCACCTGTAAGAAGAGACGGGTCAAATGCGGACTCGAGCGACCGTCGTGTGCAAGGTGCCTCCAAGTCGGACGAAAGTGTGATGGCTATCAGCTTTCTGTGATTGAAGCACGGCCATGCCCGTCGTCCATGCAGGCCACTTTCCCCCACCCCAGCGGTTCTTCGTCGCTGCTCTCAGCCTTTCGAGCCACAGAATCAGAGTGGTTGGCATACGCTTTCTACACCAATAAGATTTCTGGCATCCTGAGCGGCGCTTTCGACGCGAACCTATGGCAGAGGCTCGTGGTCCAAGTAGCCGACACTGAGCCAACCGTGCGGCACGGCATTTTCGCTCTCGGGAATCTTTTCAGACACTATGGTGTCTCAGACGGCATGTCAGAATGTGTGTGCCCTCGTTGTCGACAAGCATTGCGCCACTACAACAAGGCCATTTCTTCCTTTGCGCAATACATGCAACGGCCACGCGATCAGCTGACAATTGATGTGGCTCTGCTGTCTTGCCTGATCTTCATCTGTATCGAATCGTATCGATTGAATGACAGGATAGCAATCTCACTCATAACGAAGGGCTGTGGCATGATTGCGGAAGCCATGCCCAGAGCACTGGCAACTCAGACCGTCGCGATCGATTCAGGGCTACTGAATCTGTTCGACCGACTATGGCTGCTTTCGAGTATGTTCGGACATCATATACCTCGTCCGTCACAAAGACCTGCTTCTCCGACATCTACCCTTGGTCAGCTCCCTCTTGAGGGCACCATTCAGACAGCAAGAGATCGCTTGCATGAGATCATAACACTCGTCCAAAGCCTCAGACTACGAGTATTTCAGGCTCAAATGAAATCAATGTCCGTCTCGGAGAGGGTTGCGACGATAACCTCGCTCCAGCAAGAGCAACAAACCGTCTTACTTCTGTTGGAGAACTGGCAAAGCGGCCTGCAGGGCCTCATCGACCGACAGGGACTGCACTCTTTCCGTGATTCACAAGCCTGGTCCATCTTGACCGTTCATTGGCTGATCACCAAAATCAGGGCCGGCGCAAGCATGGATCCCTCAGAAATCGACAGCGAAGATCAGTCCGAAGACTTCAGGAATCTCGTGGCGGTCGCTGAAGGAAGTCTCGTGCAGCATCCCCAGGAAAGCGAGGCGAACGACTTCTCGTTCGAACCTGGTTTTCTTCCAGCCCTCTATCTCACGGCGCGCAAATGTCGAGACTCAGTCACCCGGAGAAAGGCTCTCGAGTTGATGTCCCTTGCAAGCGGGAAGGAAGGCTTGTGGTACAGGTCTGAACTAAGATGCATTACCGCGAGAGTCATCGAACTAGAAGAGGGTCTCGCCGTGTTGGGCTCACAAGACCAGCTGGGGACAGTGAATCAGAAGCCCATTCGCTTCTACGATATTCTGGCCGATCTGAACTACCGCCACGGCGGAAGGACGTACGTCAACGTTACGTATCTGATGTACGATGCAGACAGCGACTCGCGTTGGCGAACCGCGCGAGAGACGCTGACCATTACGGAGTAAGGACTGCATGATTGCACCGACATGGAGAGCCCGCTTACAAAGAGGTCGTTCTCGCCCTGCTTATGACGGTCGGATATTGAAGTCGGTTGGCTTGTTGTTGTCGTCGTCGTCGTCAGGGATCGCGTTCATCATTATCATCAGTCTAGCCATGCTTGTTGCCGCAAAATGGGCCCGCTGCACTTCCATTGGATGGAGCGAGGAATCCGACATTTGGCTGGAGCCCTACGCAACAGGGAATGAGGCGAGAATGCGAGTAGCACAACGCCACTGATCTGTGGGAGTCAACTGGAGCAGCAGTGGCAACACCTCGTCCAACGGTCCTGCATGTTTACACAATAGAAGCTCTCCGTAAAGACGAATAGCAACGTTGGGGTCACTTCTCTCCATACTATTGACGTGCTCGGGACTGAAAAGCCGTACACTGAACTCGAAGGACGGATCGGGCACCATTTCTACAAACACTCAGAGTATCGCACATTTCATAGTGGTGGATGATGAGACGCATTCGGGCGGTCGTCATCCTCGCAATGTTCTTGATGCTGCTCAGACACAGTTATGCCATACACAGGGTGTTTTGAGGCATCATCAGCCCATCGCCACCACCTGTGGCTGACTGCGAACTGCGGCGATGCCTATCGCTCCTTGGCTGCATGCGGGCTCGGTTAGCGAGACACGTCTAGGTTTTCGCCCTCCCAACAAAAGTCGTCGCCGTAAACTTGCTTTCACATGTGCATCTCATCCGCGCCAATGAACACATGTCGGCCGCTCGTGAGATCCATATCTGCATGCATGCGCAGCGTGGAAAGTTGCGGGCACCAGACATACTGCCCGGTCCGGAGTCTGATGGGCCCTGCACACCATGCACTGTGCTGCTCGGCGTGGAGGACTTCGCAAGGGTATCGGCGCGCACGAGCCTGTAAGCTCGGTGGAATCCGAGGAATGTGGTATGACAGGATGATGATATGACATTTCTTTCTTCCAACTTTGAGGTCTCTTCGTGTTCGGATATGCTGTGCCTCGGAAAGCCCTGGTATTTGCACCGCAAGTCTTGTGTATAGCATCTTGTTGTCGCTCGGTTGGCCTTCTGCTTCTCTTCTCTCTCGCCGGATTGCGAGCCTTATCTGGTCTCGGTCCGAAACCTGTTCGGCGAAAGTCTCGTAGGGGCTGACATTGTATGAGATATCCCTTGCACTCGGAAGTTGGGATATCATCGAGCTCGGAATTACTGACTTGATTAGTGGTGGCAACGCATCTTTCTTCAACAACTGTCGTTGCAGAGCTTGATGGTTGTTGATCTCGACAAAGGCTCTCTTGAACAACGAAGCTCATTGGAAGCCTTGATTGGAAAGCTGTGTGGGCAACAGCCAAATCTCAAGGTACGTGACTGCGGTGTGAGACCTGCCTGTTTGATCAGTACAGCTTTCGACACCGATATACTTGGCAAACTGCTTTCATGAGCCCATGGCTGTTGGAGTTCGATTCTCTTGGACCTTGCATGATCTGCCTGAGGACTGCTGGATTGCCTCTGCTCGACCTGGGGAATTTCCTGAGCCTCCTGTCATCGCGTTGACAGACTGCCTTGTTCTGCTGCTGAGCGATGCTGGTACTTCAAACGCTGCATGGAAGGCTCGAGTCACGGTTACGGCAGTCACGATTCCATTCAGCGTCATGCCCCTGTCTTGGATCAAGCCTGAGTCACCTCTGGAACCACAGTCGGGAAGAGTTCTCGTTCTTCGGCCACATTGTTACTCACTTATCGTCTTCGCTGACTATGATTTCTTGCCAGGGTCACCATCAGGCGCTTCTTCGCTGTGGCAAACGCTTGCTTACCACCATCTCTCTACACCCTTGACCTAGCTGCGCTGTATTCTGTCTATTCCGTCTTTTCCGTCACACAACCACTTACGGCGGTTCGCGATGGTTTCGACAACCATCACTTTCGAGAACGACAATGTCCAACCTCCGGTTTTTATCGCTGGAGGTTTCACCGAGTGGGCGCCCATCGAGATGACGTACGGGGCGACGGAGGCCGACGGCTCAGTCAAGAACGTCTTCTCCTACAAGGCCGAACTCGAACCAGGCGAGTATCAGTACAAGTTCCGGCTGGGGCCCGGTGATTGGTGGGTTCTGGATGAATCCGCGCAGAAAGGTTCGATATGCTGCATGCCACTAGATTTATCGCCACTGACCGTTTCACAGCGACGGACGAGCTGGGCAACGTGAACAATGTCCTGTCGATAGTAGCGGAAGAACACAGAGCCCCCTCGCAGTCACAAGCTGAGACCATTCCAACTCCACCTGCACATGTTCTGAACACTGAGGATGCCTATATCATGGAAGACGACACCAAGGTGAATGGATCTGCAGACCATGAGCAATCTGCTCAACCTTATCCACCACCGGAGGAAGTCGTACCAAAGCTTGTTGATTCTCATGCACCTGAGCAGCCAGCTATCGATGCACAAGAGCCCAGCGCTGAAACCGAGAAGCAGGCCCAATTCGTTAAGCGAGCTGGTAAGGAGACCCCGGAAATTGTTACACCAAGGAAAGACTCTATCCCTGATTTCGCTCCTCCGCCATACTCAGTTTCTGCAACTGGCGCGGTTCAGGAATCCGATGATAAGGTCCAAGTGGCGCCAGTGGCCGAAGCCGCTCCCCAAAAGCTACCGTCCAAACCAGCAGCTGTCGAAGTTGAATCAGAAGGGAAGAACCAGTCATTGGGTGTTCGGCCATATAGCACAAAGTAAGTGTTTCACCGTCAGCCACTCAAAGCTGTCGCTAATCGTCGCCTAGGAGTCTAGTGATGGTGGTGGTGATGGTCGCAGTCCCTGTCGCTGTATCTTATTACCTGCGTCGGTAGCGTCGATAGAACAATGATGTCGTCGGCTACGGCGTCCCTTGGCGGTGTACTTCTTCCTACGGCAACAATATGTGCTTCCTGCTCTTTCTCTCTTGTTTTGTTTTTGCTCCCCTTTCAGCCACATTCACATCTCCATCACAATCACAACTCGTTGGTGACCGACAGCCCTTCATATTCAAACCAGACGCTCAACCACTCCTCCAATCAACCCTCGTCAGTGTGTTCTGTGACGCTCCCTCTTCGTACAATGGCAGAACGGATCGTGATGGTCAATACACCGGCCCAGCGACAACCAGTTGATCTTCACCTTCCGGCTGAAAGACGCCCTCATTTGGGACTGCGTGAGCAAGCAATGGTTCGAGCAGCCCAAAGAGCAGAAGAGATGAGACAGGAGCGAGCCAGAGGCATCTGGGGATGGATGTGGGGGCGGATACTGTCGCTGAGACGGGGGTTGGGCGCTTTCTGGGCGTGGTTCGTGGGTATTGGAAGGGCGTGGACGGCGGGTACAAATCCTAGGGCACGATGGGCTTTTATCCCGCCCGTGGCAGTCTGAGACGTTGGAGAGGGTGGGGTCTGGGAAGGCAGCGTATGATCGATGACGATGGCGACGGCGACGGCGACGGCGACGGGCGTTTAGGATATGTTACATGGGCCTTTTTCAGCAACAACAGCATAGCATGACAACGACGAAAATGAGAAGGGCAGCAACCTGCGGTGAAGAGGCGTTAGAGACACATCTGCCTTGAGGAGAGCCGCGTGCTCTGTCGCTGGATGCGACTGATATGAGCTAATGAACACATTACACATCCTGTTTTGTTGCCCCTAGATCTGAGAACCACACATCACACACCCTGTTTTGTTAGCCACAGATCTGAGCGCGACGTTCTGCAACGCTTCACAGCTACACATTGTCTGGGTAAAGTCTCCCGTGGCATTTTGGCCCATTTGTTTGTTTAGCTAGCTTTCCCCAGTTGGCTGCCTGATAGTCTCGAGACATCTACCTCCACCTCACAGTAGCTTCATTCATACTCGTTACTAGTGCTCAAGACCTATGTCTGTAGATCCCTAACCACGGCTTCAACTTTCCCGACCGTCTCCCTGACCGCAGGACAGAAATGCCTCTTCATGATCTCCACTTCCCACACCCCGGTCCCGACGCTGAGCACGTTCGTCCCTTCCACAGAGTCACTCTTCCCGTTGAACACGCCATCGCCCTTGCGCTCGTCGCTGTACCACAGCGGTTCGATCTTGCGCGCGTGTTTGTCCGCGACCTTGTGCAGCAGGGCCAGGACCGCGAGGCACGATTTCTCGGGCAATTGCAACGACACCGTCAACAGGCGCTTGAAGAACGCTAGCGCCGTGAGCGTGGGCGGTGGGGCTGAGGGAGTCAAGAGAATGGAGGCGAGGACTCTGGTGAGTAGGAGGATGGGCGTCGAGATGTTGACTTTCATGCTCTTTCCATTTCCGTTGCGACTGCCGTTGCCATTGCCGGTACTCGGCGACATCGAAGCAGAATGCGGATCCGGCAATCGTAGGGATTTCGGTCCGAGTTCGATGTCTGCGTCCAGACTTAGCGGGTATAATGCGCGGTAGGTGTGCGCGGTGAAGAAGCTGAGGTCGAGGTTCAAGGTCGAGGCCGCGCGGGAGGCGTCCTGGCCCGAGAGGAGCGTAAAGGCGGTTTGCGTGGCGAGGAGTGATTCGCGAGTCAGGTTGCGCATCGTGGCGCCGTTGGGGGTCTCTACCGCGCCTGATTCCTCGTCTGTGACAGAGTTGAGATGATGCGCGGGAGACAATGGGTCGTCGTCGGCCTGAGCTTGGGCTTGGGCTTGGGCCACAATCTCTTTCAACGCCTCCAGCAGATCGCCGAACAGGTCCTGGTTGATCAGGTGGGCGTAGCGCGCCAGGCCCTCGAGCACCGCGCCCATCAGCCAGGGGACGCGCTGCTTGAGGACGCGGAAGTATGTGACGAAGACGAGCTTCAGGGTCTCGGATTGCAGCTTTTCGCGCTCCTCGTGGTTCACCAACGCGGACGCCTCCGCCATGTCCTTCTCGACGGCTTTGCGTTCTTTGCGGAGTTTGCGCTCCTTCTTGGTCATGTGCTGCGATTTCTCCTTCTTGATCTTCCGGCCGTGGATCTTGGATGCAGCGTCTGAGCCTTCGTCCTTGTTCGTCGAGCCCGCGGGCGGGAGTTCCGACAAGAGGCGCAGCTGGAAGAACGTATTCAACGTCTCCTCCCGGACGCGGTAGTCCTTCGCCTTCATCGTCTTGGTCAGCAGACTGACTGCTTCGAGGGAGGGCGCGCCATCTTCGTCGTTGGCGAAGAATTTCTCGAGCGTGTCGATGCACTTGCTGAACTCGGCCGTGGCTTCGCGGCTACAGATTTCGTGCACCAGGACGTTTAACAGTTCTGTCCGGAAATTGAAGTGAGGGACGGACAGCAGAAGCGTGCACACGCAGTTGATCGCCACGCTCCTCAATGACCGGTGCTCGGCATCGCCCTTTCGATTCTTCGCCAGACTGTTGAGCTGTTTCACGTAGGCGTGGTATCCCGTGACCAGGGCGTGCTCGTATTGTCTCGTCTTCCGCACATCCTTGGAGATTTTGTTCCCCAGTTCTTCATCCTTGTAGATCCGTATGCGGTACCCAGGGATGTTATCCTTGTAGACGGCCGCTTGGGCCGCGAGGACAAGTTTCTGCACTGCGACAGGGGATGTAGGCGTAGCGAGTTGGGCCAGCTTCTTGAACGATGAGGAGTGTTCTTCCGGGTCCTCGTTCAGGAGGGTTGCTAGGCGGGCAATTTCTTCTTTGGCCGACAGAACTTGCTGCTTCACGGGGATTTGTGGTGTAGATTGTGGTTCGGGGTCAGTGGGAGGCGTAGATTGCTGGGCGGTTGCGTCCTCGTCGTCAGTACCGGAGCCGAGAAAACTGTCCGAGTCTGCATCTTCGTCATCGCGCGGTGTCTGGACTTGTCTGATCGTCCCTTCTGCCGTCTTGATCGGTAGTCTCGTGGATTCCTTGGTCTTCTTGCCCCGCGATCTCTGTTCATATTCTTGTTCGAGATCCCAGTCTGCGACTCGGGTGAAGAGGTCGGCAGCCTTGACGGTTTCTGAGACTTTGCTGTCGTCGACTGGCGGCGTCAAGCGCCTGCGCTTTGCAGGCCGTCCGTGACCCATGGCTGTGTCTGCTCAGAGAGAGGAGAGGAGCGCCCATCGCTTGCATAGCAACTGCGTGCGAAGTCGAGCATCAAAATTTCGACCAGAGTTTGACCGAAGATTTTCCGCCCCGCAGAAATTATTTCTGTCTTGTTCCGATATTCGATACTGGATGCGACACTCGCAATTCCTTTTCATTCACGCCTTTACTTGCGGCGGCCGGTTCAGTGGCTCTCCATAGACTTGTACTGCTCTACAATCCACAGCCAGAATGCGTCCCCTCACAGACACGGAGACCCAAACACTCTTCACCAAACTGGCGAACTACACCGGCCGCTCGCTCACCCAACTGATTGCACCCTCCGACTCCTCCTCCAAAGACGACAGGCATGTCTTCCGCCTGCACGAATCGCGTGTCTACTACGTACGTCTCTCTCTCGCGAACCTTGCCACCTCAATTGCCCGTGACAACCTCCTCTCGCTCGGCACGTGTATCGGCAAGTTTACGAAGACGGGCAAGTTTCGACTGCACATCACCGCATTAGACGTGATCGCCCCGCACGCACGATACAAGCTCTGGATCAGGCCGAATGGAGAAATGCCCTTCCTGTACGGCGGCCACGTCCTCAAGGCCCATGTCGGACGATGGAGCGAAGACTGCCCTGAACATTCGGGTGTCGTGGTTTTCGCCATGGACGACACGCCCCTCGGTTTTGGGGTGACTGCTAAAAGTACGGCCGAGGCGAGGAAGTTGGACCCGACAAATATTGTCGCCTTCAGACAGGGGGATGTGGGCGAGTATTTAAGGGAGGAGGATACGTTGTTCACGACTTGATCGGGGTACGGATGAGTGTTGATTGAATGTCATCGGAATACCAAACCTCTGAGCACAACCCAGAAGAAACAACGCGAGCGGACAATCGCACTATGACCTGCGCCGGTCGAAGGATCGAGTCTAGAGGGGGAGCTCAAGTCATCGAGTCAAGTTTTGTTCTTCTGTGGACTGGTGCAGTGTCTCGTACGCCACTGGGCAAGTCCTTCTAAAGGTTGACAAGAGAGGGTGCGAACCGGTGGACGCTTCTGGAGAACTAGTGCCTCCCACCTGTTGAGGGGAGATTCTGTTGAGAAGTTGAGGTGATGAGGTCGTCACCTCGAACGATCTTGGCTCTCGTCCCTATCCTGCGAGAGTCCGCCAGAGTTACGAGGCGACGAACGGGCAGCAGGCACAATCTCAACATGAAGTGACAGATTTCGAGCCGGAGAGCAAAAGTTTGACTGGGGTGGACAGAAAGCTGCTGGGAGGATATTTGACATGAAACGCGTTCGGCATGCGACTTCAGAGGAGCATTTCGAATACGAACAATGCTCTCGGCGAGACAAGAGGTGGTAGATCCATCGTTCTGCGAAACCAACTGAAAGGGTTACGTTTCTCATCTGTCAAACCCACACGTTCGGCGCGCATGGATCTTCTAGTCGGGAAATCAGTCAAAGGACTTGCAGTTTCAACTGTGGCGGCGGGGAAATCACGCAGTAAGTGCTCGGATTTAACGACAAGTAGGAGCTTGTACCCATGAAAAGACCTGACGCCTGGTTTCTGTACATATGGCAAGTCAGTAGTCAGCTCGCCTGGCTGCACCCGTCTGCCACACAGGCGGCCGAGCCCGTTTGGGACCGTCTTATTGCCTTTCTCTGTCTACTTCCCCTTGGAAACCAAATCCTCCACACTTTTCCTGGCCTCAATAGCCTTCTCGTCTGCCCACTCGGCGGCTCCTTGAGTGATTCCCCGCGTCTGCTTCCACGCCTCCTGCACGAAGGCGCTGATCTGCGAATGCGTATCGGCTACCACGGGCACTCTCTTCTCGTACTCCCAGATCAAGTCTGAAGTGTTCCGCATAGTCACGGGGATCAGATACCAGCCCGCAGCAACACCCACAGCCAGCGGAAACGTAGTCCGTAGGAAAATACCTCTGTTTCGCGAGATTATCGAGCCTGTAAGCGTCGCGACGAGGACGTAAATCGCTCCCGGGAGGAGTTGCTCTCCTGTCTCCGGCTTGGGAGCTAATGATGCGATGGTGTTGCTGAAGTCTGTTTCTTTGCGGAACGCCCAACTTAGGAAGTTGTTGAAGGACGTCTCGGCGGAGAGAGAATGATGATAGAGGAAGACCCGAGCATTCTTTACCTGTTCTGCGAGCCTGTCCGTCGGCGTGGGCGAGGTAGGGTGAGGTTGTGACACGGGTGAAGTGGACGACGGCTGAGGGGTGGTGGGCGCGACTGGGTAGGCGGAGTATATGGGCTTTTTATCCGGAAGCTATCAGAGAATTAGCAGAGTTGCATGGTTTCCTTCAATACGATGTTCCGCACTTCGTCTTTGGAGGGAGCTTCAGCGTAGGCTGTGCGGAAGGGTGATGGGATTGCTGGAACTTGGGTGCCCGCTGCTGCTCCCAGGGCAAATACTGCGGCTTGACGCGACTGTCACGGTCGTTAGCGAGGCCAGTCGGCTCGATCGGGAGGTCTTACAGCTCGCAGCATTCTTATCCGCGCCATGCTGTTAGGTTGTTGGGCAGTCGTGGCTGCGGGCGCATGCTCTGAAGGACTGGTTCAAGAATCTTTCAATCGGAGCTCTGACGCAGCTGGACCAATCGCCATCGGGCTTGGCATCCGTGTCTTCACTTCACCCACGAGGTACGATGGCTGCTGCGAAAGACTGTAGACTCGTCCCTGGAGGGGCCAATCTCATCGATCAAGAGGTGAGAGGGAAAGTCCTACGCTATATTGGAGCACGAGGCTACGGAGTGGGCCAACACGTCACAAAAGAGAGACGACAGTTCCATCGAGGGAAGGCTCCTGGGGGGGATGGGATGGGACGCTCCTTGAAGATGGAAATACCATCAGAGAAAGTAGGCTCCTTCATGGAGATGGGAGGTTCCTTCTTTGCAATACTAACAGACTCAAGAGGATGAAATTCTCCTCGAAAGGAAGGAGACTCTTCAACTCTTGAAGGAGCCTAGAATTTCACGTTCCCTGACAACATGGATGACCACCTTTACCGTCCCTAGTGTGTAGTTCGCAACAATTTGCCTTGCTCCCTGCTCTCGGCTCTCGAGTGACAGAAAAGCATAGGCTCGGTCATGCCTGTCCAGGCATTCCATCTCGTGAACTTGCTGACAAGCTCAAAGATGTCGCCATCACTCGGCCTCGCTTGGCGGTTGAAGTCCCACAAATGGTCGAGCGATCACATAAGGCCCATGGCTCGTCGTTGCAATCCATGCTCCAAATATTGTCGAGCCCCTAGAGGTCCGTGGACCTGTAAGAGGCCCGGATATCGCTCCATTGCCTGCTAATCAGCCCGTCGCACTCCTTGCTTTGGTCAAAACAGGGACAATGATCCGAGCAGTTTGAGCGGACGTGTCCAGGTTGTCGCCAATCGCAACAATTCGTACAGAGATGCTGGGGTCCATCGCCCAAAAGCACTGCAACTTGTACCGCGTTATCAGATGCAAGCGCGAGAAACGCAAGAGACACGCCTGGTGAGGTAAATGCTGGCCCACGTATCCCTCTTCCGTAAACAAGAATTGTGTCTCCGCTCCATGGCGGCGCAGTTCCGAGGATGCGGCGCTGGAATAACAATAATCCGTCTGCGCCGATACCGCAAGTCACGTCATTTTCGCGACTGCGCGATCAAAAGTCGTAAGGGTCCGATAACACGCGCAAATCAACATGCAACCGGGAGTAGAGTATCACTTACTGTGTGACAGAGTGAACCTGCTTCTACGGCTGATTGTATTATGCACAAAGTGCTGCGGCGACAGCCATGGACTTGTGCCAGATGCCTTCGCAAGCAGAACAGATACAACAGCACCGCTGCCGGCGTGGTAAACGACGATAACACCTTTCGTTCTGCGTACCTGAATGGAAAACCTTCTGCTCACGGCAAAGGCGACAATGAGCTCTTGCGCGAGGTGTTCAACCGGAAAAGCCTGTCCAAGGCCACACCTACTCGACGATCAGGCCTGATAGGAAATACCCTCTTGACCAACCCCAAAGGCTTTCAGAAGTTTGCAGAGACATCGGTCGTGCAATGCAAGAGGTTGGTAGAGAGGACACTCGCTGCTTCGACAGTTGAGGAATACAAAACGATCCCCAGAGACTTGGATCGTCTCAGTGATCTGCTATGTCGGGTTATAGACCTGTCAGACTTCATCAGGAGCATACACCCCGGCGCCGACGTTGCCGCCGCCGCATCCGCCTCGTATTCACTCATGTTCCAATACATGAACGAGTTGAACACGACTACTGGGTTGAATGAGCAGCTCAAGAGGGCGTGGGACATGCCAGAAGTCCGGTCACAATGGAGCGAGGAAGAGAAAATGGTTGCGGTACTCCTGATGAGGGATTTCGCCAAGTCTGGAATTCATCTTCCTGCTAAGCAGAGGCATCAGTTCGTATCGCTTTCGAACGACATTGTACAGCTCGGAAACGACTTCATCAATCAGATGGACCACGCGAAGGAGTATGTATCATTTTCAACGCGGCAACTGGATGGCCTAGACCCTACCTTGATCCAAAGCCTCAAATATCGCGAACGGGCCCAGATTCCCGTTTCTAGCAGATGGTCAAAGATGGTTCTCCAGTCAGTCAAGGATCCTGCAACGCGGAAAGAAATGTACATGGCCGAACGAAGTGCCTCGAAGAAGACCATCATGACCCTGGAACAGCTGCTCCTCCGTCGAGCTCAGCTCGCAAAACTCACGGGCTTTGACAACTTTGCGCAAATGACCTTGATTGAGAAGATGGCCAAGACCCCCGAAGCAGTGAACAACTTTCTCGAGTCGATCAATGCAAACAACAAGACGCATGTTCAGAAAGAGCTCGCACCACTCTTGGACCTCAAACGGAAAATGGACACAACCGCCAAAGACCTCGATCCATGGGACCACCACTATTTGCTCGCCAAACTCCATCAGATGGAGGGCGCCTCCGGACCGCGAACCTCCAAGTCGCGCTTACAAGAGAGCGCACGCTCCTACTTCGCCCTCGGCCATGTGATGCAAGGTCTCTCTAGCCTTTTCGACTCGCTTTATGGTGTACGCTTTGTCCCCAAAGAAACCGCTCAGGGAGAAATATGGCACCCCGACGTACGCCGCCTTGACGTCTACACCGACAAGCACGAACACATCGCCACCATGTACTGCGACTTATTCTCCCGCCCGGGGAAACAATCCCACCCCGCTCATTTCACGCTCCTATGCTCGCGCGAAATCTCCGACGAAGAAATTCGCGGCTGTGCCGAACGAGACGAGCCGATGAACAACGGCATGCCCACGCTCCAGTCCACGGATGACGCCTCTGGGAAGACCACACACCATCAGATTCCCGTCATCGCCCTCGTTTGTGGATTCCCTCATTCCAGTAACGCTGATGAACCCGCCCTACTCAGCCAATACAATCTGGTCTCCCTCTTCCACGAGATGGGTCACGCCATTCATTCGATCCTAGGCAGAACATCCATGCAGGGCATCAGCGGAACCCGCGTCGCCACGGATTTCTCCGAACTCCCCTCCGTGCTCATGGAGTCGTTTGCAACAGACCCCTCCGTCTTGAAACTCTTTGCGCGCCACTACGAAACCGACGCCCCCATGCCCGAGGAACTGCTCCATCTTCTCGCATCGGAATCCTCCAGAGAAACATCCCGCCAGGGCGCGTCGAGCAACGAATCTCAGATCCTGATGAGTATCCTCGACCAGGTCTACCACGGTGATGGGCCCGTCCGGGCCCTCAAGTCCGGGAGATACGACTCCACGGCTGTGTACTACGACGTGTGGAATAAACATGGCAGTATGCCTGAGCCGTGGGGCACTAGCTGGCAAGGGTTCTTCGGGCATCTGCACGGCTACGGCGCGAGCTACTACTCTTATCTGTTCGACACGGCGATTGCACGACGGGTGTGGAAGGACGTGTTTCGGAGTGGAGAGGATGCCGGCGCAGTGGACAGGCGAGCGGGCGAGAGGTTCAAAGAGGAGGTGCTCAAGTGGGGTGGTGGAAGAGATCCGTGGCTGTGCCTTGAGGGTCTTCTGGGAGAAGGGAAAGGGGTCTTGGCGGAGGGAGGCGATGAAGCCATGTTGGAGGTTGGACGATGGGGCGTCGGTGCCGGCGGGGTGGGCGAGGTTGAGTAGAGCGCTCAGCGGGTTGCTTTGATGAAACGAGTGCAAGAGGCGGCGAATTCGTTGTAGCAGGGAAAGAGTATGCCATCAACCGTTATTGCAAATATACGTATCTTGGATATTGGGACACCCCATCAATCATCAGCCCGTCAATCCCGTGAATTCGTGGAAACGCGGAACGCTGCAAAATGACTGCTGTCTATCGTATCTGCATGCGACGAAATCGTGAAAGTAGTACGGATGTCCGCAATCATTCTCAGATTCCGTGGCCCAACCATTACCTGTAAAGGACTCCGTAAACGCCGCCGCCTTTGAAGGAAACACGTATGTATGTGCTCATTCTCGTCAATGCATAGCAATCTCAGGATAGCCCCCACTCGACTGGGCTCTCGGGGCGACACTTCCGGCCATCTTTGCACCCATCGCACCTGTCCCTCCGCCACCGCCACCACCACCACCACCACCACCGAGCATACCGCTCTCGGCCGCGCCAGTCTCATAGCCAGCTCCCGTGGTAGCGTCATGCATACCCGCCAACGTGGAATCCACACCGCTCATGGCTAGATCCAGATCCGCGCTCGAGAAGGCGTCTCCGTCGAACAGTGGGTCCTGCCAAATCGTCGGCATCGACAGGTCGAAGAAGCCCTCGAAGAGATTGTCGAGGTCGTTGAATGAAGAGTCGTAGAGGTCGAACGAGGGATGCGCGTCCATGGCGGCAGGATTGAAGGGCCCCGCCATGGAGCCGGACGTGAAAGGGTGCGACATGGCGGGAGAGGCGTGGGGATTGCCGTTCAGGGAGATGTATCCCGGCATCGGTAGCCTGGAGGGTCGGTTGGAGTTGATGTTGTAGGTGGCAGGGCCATTCGAGACGGGGGGAACCTGGCTGTAGGCTGAGGTATAGCTGTTTCCAACGTGCTGGGGAGTGCTGGTGTTTGTGCCAGTGCCGGCGCCTGTGCCTGTGCCTGTGCTAGGGGCTGGTGTGGGAGATTTGAGACTTGGTGTGCTTGTTAACGTCGGTGCCACAGTGGTGCGACTTCTTCGACCGCCGCTACGTGCCGTTGAGGGGGAGACTGCTTTTGCGGCTCCTGGTGCGGAATTGGAGTGCGTGGCCGCGGCATCGGAGAGGACATGCAGTCCATTACCTCGGCCGCTGCCGGAAGATGCCACTGTGGAAGGACCGCGCGTGCTTCCAGATGTTGTCGCCGCGGGAGTAGCATTGTGGCTGGGGTGGTGGCCTCTTCCCTCGAACGGTCCGAACTTACAGGCAGAGACTTCGGCTTCCATGGCGTTGGCGATGTTGGCGACGCTAGCTTTCCTCACACCCGTCTCCTTGAGACTCTTGAGTGCCTTCCTTCCAAGCCGGGCCATGGCGTCGGCTGTCCACCAATACGTGCTTAACGCTTCCAACATTTCACATCTCGTTGCCAGGTCCGCTTGAGCCCGCTCACCGTCTTCGAATGCGTTGTCGCGAAGACCCCGGTAGGTTACGGTCAACGTCAGGCCGACTGCGTAAGGGATGAGGGGAAGGGGTGGCACTGATAAGTGCTTGCCATCAGAGAGAAGGTCTTGGATTCGACTGGCGGCCGAAATGCGGCGGGCGTAGCTTGCAGTTGTTGGACCGCCGGCGCGACACGAGAGAATCGAGATGACGAGGTAACAGATCTCCAGGACGTCTAGAAGCGTCAGTGAGCCTCGATGGTGGTGAGCAAACTATGAACAGCCACCTACTTTGTTCTGACCCATGGATTAAGTCGCGATCAATCCCCTCCGCCAGAGAATCGTACGTTGGGAATTCCGTCTCCCATCCAGTGCAGTCTGGGTCCGCAGTCGGCCTGTAGAACTCAATGACGTCGTCGAGGAGGTCCCCGAGCCTCAGCCACATGTTGATAACATTACTTCGTGGAATTGTGCTTTCCAACGGCGGGCGAGATATATCAATATCCCTGTTCGCAATCACGATCGGCCTACCGCCTAGACAAGCATTGATCTTGTCCAGTGTCCAAATGGTCCACCACAGCATGCTTGACTGATCTTTAAGTGTTCGCCCGGGGGTGTGGATGTGTAAACCAGAGGTCCATGCATCGTGGATCGCCATGGACAGGTGAAGGGAAGACTCCTCGATCCCACCCGGACCGTCGTTGTGCAGATGCATCAAAGTTAGAATCTGGATCTTTGTGACTCGATCAGGTTCGAGATCCGCCTTCATTGCAGCATCCAGTCCTGTGTGCAGACTCCGAGCGAACGGAATTGGATCGAGCAGTGGCCCGTCATCATAGAGCCGAAGGTACGCTGCCGCCTCCTCAGTCTTGCAGGTCACCAGGCATATTGCTTGCATCAGGAATATCGAGCATCGCCCTTCGCTATAGTCTTTGAGTAGCTTCATGCCGTTCAGGATCGGCAGGAGGCCATCAAAACAAGCGATGTAAGTGGTGACCATGGCATCCTGTGTGGCTTTTGGCAGGACGCGGAAGGCTCCTACAGCCTGCAAATAGTTCCGTTGGTGGCCAGTCAACGTCCGGCGGCCGCCCTCGACCTTGCCATACTTTTCGACATTCAGCGGTGTTTTCTCGCCCGACTTCTGCGCCGGCGGAGGTCCAAGGTCATCCGGCGGTAAGCTATCCTGGACATCTCGCGACTGTTCAATCCAAGTACCGACTCTACTGATACGTTGCGTGCCATGTTTGCGTGATGATAGATCGGTCAATATCGACTCCGGGTTGAGGTCACCGACAAAGCGGATCGGTTCTTTGTGAGTGAGATTGGGGAGTACTCTTTCCAGCCCGTCCGTGTCGGCTTGCTGATCTGGCGGTCGTTGAAAGGTGTGGTGACACCGCTTTTTGGCAGCTCGACATTTCTGGCAGGCCCGTGCTGCTCTCTTGCGGCTGGCAAAGGCCGCAGTGTCCGCTTCCCAAACAACTTGCATCGAGAGGAAGGAAATCTAGAACGAGCGCGAGATGATGAAACAAGCAATGGTGGGGGTGTGATGCCGACCTGAAAACTGCGATCTGGCCGAATACGGTGATCTATTGGGACAGTGGCCGCTGTTTAAATGGCTCGCCGTATGATTTTCCATACGCGATGGCATGGGACATGGATACGTCGGCGACGGAAGACAAATATGAAGAGAGACCTGAGGCAAAGTACGGTGTGCAATCGGGTGCGTTTTCAGTATTGCCATTGATTCCTAGATGACTTTATCTCTCGAATGGGCGCCGTAGACGGCGTCTTCTCTCCTCGCCTTTGCACTAAGGGGAACTAGCCACGTGTTTTATGGTACTCCGTATGCGTGATCAACTCCACCGCAGAAGTGGTGGTAGGAGGATCGGTGTGGGCAACCGTTGGAAAAGCCTTTTGCGCTATGCAGTATCTGTTTCTGCTATCGGGATACCAATCATCTAGACTGAAGCCTGACTCCAGCGGAGCCATCCGACATGTAAAGTGTCCCCCACTTGAGCCTGGCAATGGGATCCCAACCTTTCATCACCATCAGACCAGCTTATCCCTTCGTTCCCGTAGGCCAGTCCCTCAATTCGACTTCGGTGATGAAGCCTCAACCCGGCTGGCTGGCTCCCGATATGAGCAGGCCCCTGTGTATTTGATCCCCCAACGAGGACACGCTGTCGGCCTTGCACCAATATCACCTTCAAGGCCTCGACGGCACTAGCAACAAGATGTCGGCTAGCGGGCCGGTCATCGGTGTTGATGGCTTTTCTGCAAATCCAGTCAACCTGAGATTTCAGCACAGCCCAATCAGGCTAGGGCGAAGCCTGAGGTAGACAAGGGTTCCCGCAGCGGCAGTCAAGCTTCGGTACAACCATACTGTCCTCCAGAAGTTGAGACAGCCTCCTCGTGGTATACATGTCATCGTCATAGAATGTCCTTCGCTTCATCTATCTCAGTCCCATCCACATTGTTGAGAGAGTGTTGACTAGCCGGCTCTGTCGCGGAACGGACAAGTCTATCAGCCAGGAGACAAGGCCCTTTATCGGTCGTTACGAGCCCAGGTCAATTCACCCCGGCCTCCTGGGACCCCTGGCGCACACTTTGACTTCAGGTCGTATGGCTCAACCAAGGACCTTCAATCCGCCCTTGGTTTTCGGCTGCTTCTTCTGCACTCCACCATTTTGCACCTTTCCATGCCCGCCAGCACCCTTGCCTTTATTGTTCTGCTTCACTGTCGTGGGACGCACGTCCGTATTCGCCTTCTTAATTGTAACCGGATGGCTGCCTATATATTTGCCAGCCATATCCCTAGCAGCCCGGAAGTAATCATCTCCGTCGGCAAAACTTACGAATCCGTAGCCTTTTGATTTCGTGGTTCGCTTGTCGCGAATGACGCGGGCTTTCTGGACGGAGGGGTACTGCGCAAAAGCCTTGAGCAAGGAGTCGTCGGTCGTTTCGCCTGCCAGGTTGCCGACGAAGATGCGGAAGTGAGCGGGATCCCATTCTAGAAGTGTTGGGTCGGTCCACGTCGATCCACCGCCGCTACGGAGAACGGTTTTGGGCGTGTCATCCTTGCTGTGTGGCGTGGAATCTTTCTGGGAAGCGGACGTGGTTGCGCTCGAGGACGGAATGTTATGCGACGCTGCCGAAGACTTTGTGGTAGTGGTGTTACCAGCATTGTTACTCATGTAAGCGGACTGCCATTGCTGGATTTGAGCTTCGTATTCGGCGTCGTAACCAGCATATGGACTTGCAGAGGATGCAGCATCTGACGTTGGGACGAAGGGATTGCGGATTTGAGGAGCACTCGAGTATGAAGATTCATATTGAGGCTGCGCTCCCGGCGGTTGATATGGCGCTCCCGAGGTATAAGTCGCTGCAGGGGGAGTGGGAAATTGTGCTGGGCTGCTCGTGCGATAGGTGTTCGCGACCGACCGAGGCGCAAACGCTGTGATCGCAGGTTTAGCTACGTTGCTCGCAGCTGGTTTGAACGCCGGTCCCGCACTAAAGGCTGAAGGTGGCGGTCGCGCAGGAAGCGATGCAGGAGGCTGAGCGGTGTTTAGACCTGGAGGCGGAGGGTACGACATGATGAATATGTGAACTGGAAGTGAGATTGCTGGTGTCAGTGACGTACCAGATGCCCCTCTGAAGCCGATCTTGTAGCACAACAAGCGATGCTCGCTGTGAGACCACAAAGACGCGAAGCGTGTTGAAAGATACGTATGCGCGAGTGTACTCTTCTACGTCCAAAGTCGAAGTCGAGAAAGTTGCTGTCGCAGGACTTGTAATTTGGTCAGTGGCCGCGGCCTTGGGTCAACAGCGAGATACGAGGGTACGCAGGCATTCAGGAAGTGGCATCGCCAGACAAAGCAGTGGAAGGTGTGGCGGGGCGCTAGATCAAAACTAGTATGGATGCTCACGTGACGGGTTGGACAAATCGGCCCAATCGTTCTGCACGAGCAAATTTTCATTGTTGGTTTCAGATTCGGTCGCGCGGAGTTTCCTATCTTCCTCATCGATTATTGATTCAAGGGCGACTGTCAACTAAAATGGCCCTGGTTGCCTCCTGAGACTGTCACGCTGTGCAGCGCTGGCAGGTCAGGAGGCCTTTTAACTTCGAGAGCTGTCAAACAAAACCGGCCGACAGCAGCAGCTGGTGTTGGCAGACCCGGCCGGCTATCTTCGGATTTGCTGAGGACTGCGATCCCGGCAATCGCAGCGTCGCCCATCACTAATGCTTTCCCGTTCTTCATTGCTGAGTCAACTGCCTTGTGGTTATTCACGAATCCCCGCAGCACATGGCTTTCGTGCGGGTTGTTGCTGGCTTGTTCAGGCTTCATTCACGACATCAACGTAATCGCAATCGTGAAGTAGACGCTTCATTGGGGAACTGAGCGTGCCTCGATGAGTGGTCGAGAGGCATGGCCTGAGTAGTCAGCCGGCGGAGGGCGACTCAGTGCCCAAGGTTCCGATGGCTACTTGACTGCCCCTCCATGGAGCCCGTCTGCGAGAATTTGTTTGGTGGGGTTTGAATGCCTGTCCGTTGCCTGCGGTAATCCAGCTGCCAGCTCTAATCAACATATTACCGCCAATTCCCGTCCTGCTCCTTCCTTTCCTCTTTCTAACCATTCGTGACTCTCGTCTTTTTCGGTGCATTAGACAGAGACTCGATTGAAGCCGTAGCCTTCTTCAACTTTGCCTCGATCTACTCTCCACACCAAGCCAACAGCCGATTCAACCGTCAACATGTCGGGCCCAGTGTAAGTCCCACCCTCCGAGAGCGACGTCTTTGACCTTCCCACCAAATTTCCCACCCTTTACCCGAGTGTCATGCATTTCCTTGGTGATTGCACCGATTGACGAGCAGGATGCTAACTCTAGAGCGCGACTGGCTGGCCTCAAGGTCGGCCCTGCGCAGTCGGAACCCAGTGGTGATTTCGGTCTCATTGGCCTTGCGGTCATGGGCCAGAATTTGATCTTGAACGCTGCCGACCACGGTTTCACCGTGGTTGCGTTCAATCGCACCGTATCCAAGGTCGACCGCTTCCTTGAGAATGAGGCCAAAGGTAAGTTGCAACGTCGGGTTCGCGCCCGATTTCCGGCTAACATGAAGCGCAGGCAAGTCCATTGTCGGGGCCCACTCGATCGAGGAATTCGTTTCCAAGCTCAAAAAGCCCCGCCGTATGATGCTTTTGGTCATGGCTGGCCCTGCCGTTGACGACTTCATCGAGAAGCTGCTGCCGTTTTGCGAAAAGGGCGATATCATCATCGACGGTGGAAACTCCCACTACCCCGACTCCAACCGCCGTACCAGATACCTTGCCGACAAGGGCATTCGATTCGTCGGAACTGGTGTCTCCGGTGGTGAAGAAGGTGCCCGTTATGGTCCTTCCCTCATGCCCGGTGGTAACGAGGAGGCCTGGCCATACATCAAGGACATCTTCCAGAGCATTGCCGCCAAATCCGATGGCGAGCCCTGCTGTGACTGGGTCGGTGACGAGGGTGCTGGCCACTACGTCAAGATGGTCCACAATGGTATTGAGTACGGTGACATGCAGTTGATTTGCGAGGTGAATCAATCCTCACGTGTGTTTCTGGATGGCCACTGACCCCACTTCAGGCCTACGACATCATGAAGCGAGGCCTCGGAATGAGCTACGCCGAGATGGGAGAGGAGTTTGCCAAATGGAACAATGGCGTCCTCGACTCGTTCCTGATCGAAATCACCCGCGATGTCCTCCGCTTCAACGACGATGATGGCAAGCCGCTTGTGGAGAAGATCCTCGACTCCGCTGGTCAGAAGGGTACCGGCAAGTGGACTGCTATCAACGCTCTCGATCTCGGAATGCCGGTCACCTTGATTGGCGAGGCTGTCTTTGCCCGTTGCTTGTCTTCGATCAAGGAGGAACGTACTCGTGCCGAGAAAGTCCTCAGCGGTCCCAAGCCCACTTTCACCGGTGATCGTGCTGCGTTCCTCAAGAACCTCGAACAAGGCCTTTACGCGTCCAAGATCATCTCCTACGCCCAGGGTTTCATGTTGATGCAGACCGTAAGTTTGATATTCAACTGCATCTGAGGTGCACAAGTACTGACACTTTGGTGCAGGCTGCCAAGCAATACGGCTGGAAGCTCAACAAGCCATCCATTGCCCTCATGTGGCGTGGTGGCTGTATCATTCGGTCAGTCTTCTTGAAGGACATCACCGCCGCCTACCGTGCCGAGCCCGATCTCGAAAACCTCTTGTTCAACGACTTCTTCAACAAGGCTATCCACCAGGCCCAGGAAGGCTGGAGAGACGTGGTGGCATATGCAGTCAAGGCCGGTATCCCCATGCCTGCTTTCAGCACCGCTCTGGCCTTCTTCGACGGGTACCGCACCAAGGATCTCCCAGCCAACTTGCTCCAGGCTCAACGTGACTACTTCGGCGCTCACACCTTCGTCATCAAGCCCGAGTACGCCAATGAGAAGTACAAGTCCGGCGACCACATCCACGTCAACTGGACCGGTCGTGGTGGGAACGTGTCTGCTTCCACTTACAACGCATAGACGCATTTATGCATTCATACAGGCATCAGTCTGGTGGTCTCTTCAGGGACGAGATAAAGGAACGCGCTTGCAGCATCTCTGCGCGCAGCCGTTTTCGTAAGGTCTCGGGTGTACATCCACGGCATAGATAGTGTTCATATTGGGCTTTGTTGTGCCGGGGGTCAATAAAAAGTGATGCTGCCGAGCTTGCCCCTTTCCGGGATTCGGTGAATCCCAAGTCCGATCGGCCAATCAGCAGCGGTACTGTGGACGGCTCGAGTCGTTGTCCGCAGTTCCCTCCAGCGAAATAAGTTCGTCCACCAAAGCGCAACGCCAACGGCAACCGCACCTGCACCCGCACCTGTCAACTGCGGCACCTCGCGCTCATCGACTTCTTGGGGTTGTTGACCTGCGCTTTTCATTTTCTCTTCTTGTAATTTGCTTTTTGCTTCCTCGATCGCCTTGCGACCATTCGCATCTTGGCGCCCGGCGTATTCGTTTGGCTTTGGATTTTGGGCGAGCGAGCATCGTGACTGCCGGCACGAGCCTGGACAGGCGCCGCCTCATCACACCGACAACGAGTCGGGACTGTCAACCAACCTCGTGCGCGCTTCTCATCGCGGAGAGCTGGCCACCTGCGGCACCCCTGCAAAGGGACGCTCATCGTCGTGATAGCCCCATCACCGGACGGAAGTCTTGCCTTGCATGAGGATGGCAGCCGACAGCAAGCGCCAGAATGCAGGAACTAGAGTGCCGGTTGCTTTGCCCAAGGGCGAGCCATCTCAGCCCGCAGCGTCCTCGGTTTCGCAGGATGTGAGTCTGCAGCAAGCTATTGGGAGCCGGTAAGGCAGCGTCGGAAGTGCAGGATGGCTCGTCCACTTTCGCTGACAGTCCGACAGAGTCCGCGTTACCACAGCCGTACCGAACCAGGCTACTCTGGAAGGCAGCGTTTACACAGCCGATCCTCTGACCAACCTACTTGTCCTCAACATCAGCGCGGCCACTGGCGCGTCTTTGACCTCCGCCTCTCTTGTTGCCCCTGCCGGCACCTACCGAATCATTCCGATCTCGCAAATCAGCAGCTTTCAACTGCTCTCGCTTCCTCAATCCTCCTCCGAGCCGACTCCTAGTTCAGCCTTCAACGCAGTCGATACCAATGCTGTACAAGCGCGGCTTGCTAAAAACATAGCCGCGCAGCAAGCGGCTCAAGCCCGGGTCGGTCCCAAGGGCACCAGCCCCGTTGATCAGGCTCTTTTTGATTCGCTTTCAAGGACCCATCCAGCTCGCTGGTCAGGCAATGTCATGATAATCTCGGACACTTTCCTGATCGAGAAGCCCTACGGCCAGTCAAATGTTCGCCATATTGATGGTCAGAGCGTCGGCGATCTGGAGCGGATGAGGAAGGTGGTTGACATGGAGCGGAATAAGATCACATTGAGGCTGGCAAAAGGCTCGCTTGATGGGAAAATTGGGTCTGACTCCTCGCTTGGCAAGGCTGCTACGAATACCGGGATGAAGAAGGGTGGATGAGAGGAAGGACGGGTTTTACGAAGAAATCACCAGCTGATTGCTGGAAAGCGCTCCTGGAGAATACGAGCGAGAAACCCTTGGAGGCCTTGATCTGAGCTTCATGGTCGATACACCTACCCGAAGGTGTTGTCACAGGCTATTGCGGTGCTAGGACGTTGGAGACTCTACCAGGATATCCCTCTGCGCCATTTGGAGCCTCAAGAACCTGCACTGGTCTTCCGATCAGCATGCCTCCATACAACTGTCTCTACCACCTCCACATCATCATGAAGGGTTGTACTTTGGCCGCGGAGGGTGGTCGATTGGTGTCCGCTTTGACTGAGAAGTCACCAGGAGCCACGGATGGGCTGACTGTAGCTTGAGGCAGCTGTGTAGCAGTCTTGCTTGGCTGGCCGGAATTCAATTCACAACGGTCCGGGTTTCTGTCTTCATCGTGCCATCCACATCCTTCTCCTCTGCCCCACATTATCATGCCACATGTGTCCGATCCAATCCAGCTACGAGGCTATCAGCCCTACAAGCCAAGAAATTTCAAGTGCCACTACTCCACGAACTGAACGGAATAGAGTTGGGGCCTCCTTTCGACTTCAGCCTCGCGAGCTTCTTCCATGAACAAGTAAGTGCGAAGAAGGACTTGATCACCGCGCGGCATTTTGGGGCCTCCAACATCATCCAGATAGCGGTCCGCATGGAACGAATGGCCATCGCCCGGCTGTCTAGTGTGCGTGGGCGTCAGTACTTTTCCCGAAGATACTATGTGTCTTGCACATTTAGTCGAAGAATTCCCCGCGCGCGTCTAAGTAATCGAGTAAAGAAGTGCAGTCCGGCGGTGTTAGCCTATACCGATGGTTACGCTGCCACGAGGCCGCGGACTTTGGGCCCCCCGGAGCTCGTCGACTGCCATTGCCATTGCCATTCTGCTTAGCGCACATGTATAGCAAGTGTCTACTATGTACGCGGCAATAACGACAACGCCTGCCGGGGTCTGTTGTTCGGTTTAAACGAGAAGGAGATATCTCTAGAAAATAAGACCACTGTAATACTGTGGACCACACCTAACAAGTCGGTTGTTCGGTTTGACCGAGATGGAGATATCTCTAGAAAACATACGACTATATCATACCACACCTACCCTACGAGACGGAACTTGACGAGCGCCTAATCCATCGTCGTGAGTCGTAGCCGTGGATCTATGTACTGTGTAGTCAGCCTTTGCGAAGTGGCAGCAGCTGTGACGCGATCGTGAAGTCACTGGTGGTGCTGGCAATGAGGAGGACAGGGACACATTCGGGGCCGTCGCGTCGACTCGTAAGTACGTAACTAACTGCTCTCCCGCGAGGTCCACACGAAATAATTAGCACCGGGAAATACTGGGTAATGTGTCGTGGTTCGGGCTCAGCGCGTGGCGAAATACAGTACTAAGCTCGAGAGTCACGGTAACCCTCACCTTTCCACCTCCCGGGCCCTTGGGACGCGGCACAAGGCAATACAGTAGTCATGGGGAGAGGAGATCTAGTAAGCTGCAACAGTGAACGTACTCCCTACGTACTTGATTCTAGGGGCCTAAGGGAACCGGTGTCGGCGGATGACGTCGATAAGGACCTAAGTGCTTCGAGATTGCAGAGTTCAGTAGAGGCAAGGAATACCGCGCCAAGCGGACAATACAAGACAAATAAGTGAGGAGCAGGAGGACACAGGCAATGCCGCCGACGGCAGTGGCATATACATAGTAGCTGGTTCGCCAGGAACGAGCTGTAGGTAATTAACACCTCGACAGATGGGTATCAGTGGGATGTACTCCGTACGGAATATAAAGACTGCCTAGCCGGAACAATGTAGAGGACTAGTTTTGGAGAGCGAGGAGGAAGAAAAGCAACCCTGCTGGGTACACAGTAGAGATGCAATTGGCGGAGATGGAGGAGATGGCGGAGGTTCTGTGGTACAGCACCGCGGTACTCTGGTCAGGGCTGGCGGTAGCGAACGCTGCCGGTCGGAATGAGTCTACAAAGTACGGAGTACAAAGTACAGAGTAACCTGGCAGGAACCGCGTCCAGCCTGATACATAAACACTAGGGCTGATGGGCTTGTGGCAGATCGTGCTTCACGCTGTGTCGGGTATAGCGGCGAGAGTGGGTAGTTCGCTCGTGAGGCTGTCACGCCAAGAAACCAGCTTCCTACCAGATTAGGAAATACCTGCGAGGCACCCACGCACCGCTGGAGAGGGACGTCCCGAGAAATGCGCCGGCTCTTAGGTTCAGACACAGGCCATTCCCGCATTCTGGACACATACTGTACTGTGTCCAGTAACATGGTCTTCATCGGAGGAGAGGGAAACGAGCAAGGCATGATCAGAGTATATCTGGTAAGTTGTTGGATTTCTCAGGATCAAATGCTCCAGGGCTGCGATTCGTGTGTGAGACAGGTCGATCAGTCCGCTCTACACAGTATACAGTACCAGGACACGCGACACTGGCTCTCGGCCTGGTGGAGAGACTAATTGGCTATCATGCCACATGGGTTCCAAGAGATGATTGTTACGGACGGAAGGGACGCTCCACAAGGGCTTCTCATTACATTCGCTTATAGCTTCATAGCTCGGTAGTTCATCACTAATCATTCGGACCACCACCACCATCGCTTACAATGATGGTCATAAAACCGGGATGGAAAGCCAGTAATTAGTCCTGGGAGACTCCGTCCAAGCGTACCAAGAATTGCGGCTCCTGCTACGAAGTTCTTTTCGGCCTCTTTCGCTCAATCGCACCCCCATTTAGACAGTTATTTTCTTGCTGGGTCCCAAAAACTAAGATACGTATCACTGTGCCCTTTGAACAGCGCCCCTTGCCCGCTCCGGGAATGTTTTCATAGATCACATCCTCTGACCTCCAGCGTCTCCTCATCACGTCACATTTAGTCTTGGCTGCAAACCGTTCAGGAGGATGAAGAGGGAGGTGAGCACTGCTCCGGAAGGGTGCGCTGTCGTCGCTTACTCCACCGGCCTTGGTTTTGTGGGTACCATGTAGGTTCTTTTGAACATCGACAAGTAGCCCCGAGCTCGCCGGTCGCAGAGTTGTGGCGGTCAGCACTGCTGCTTGTATTTCATGTCAAAAGGTGCAATATCAGCATTGGTCACCCTCGCCCAGTGGAACAGGTCGGCGGTGAGTTCTCCGACAGCAATCGAGTCTGAGATAATATGCAGAGTTGCCCATGGTTGCTGCCAAGCTCATCGTCTAGGCCGACGTGGTGGAATGTTGATATTTGACAACCTCGGTGATAGGTGGGACGTGGTGAGAGCACCTTGAGGGAGGGCCACTACTGTGTATGGCTTCCTGATGGGCCTGTCGCACTCTGAAGGGGTTGTTCTTCGTGCACAGTACATGGCGGCTGTTACATAACCGCGAACACCCACAGCCAACCCGAAACAGGAAGAGTTAACTCGCTCTATGGACGGCTTGTAATAGAGCTCAGTAAACTACAAGGACTGGAATGTA